TCATCATCTGCGAGGACCCGCCCAATCACTTCAATTACTTGCAGACCTGGCCCACTATGAACCCGCAACTTGCGTGAGATGCATTCCACCCCACCCTTAACATCAGATGGAAGATAAAGTCCCACTATTGGTTGGATTTTCTCTGCTTTGGAACACCTCGAAGCGCCGTATGCTGCCGGTCGATCCCAGATGATCTAGTCATCACAGCCCTCTACATTCGGATGTTGTGTTACAAGCATCAGATCGTGACAAGGAACAAAAGCATGTGTGTCAAAGCTTCTCTCACTGCCTTGAGGCTCGATAGTGCATGTGCTTACAGTTTTGACCAGCTTCAGCTTGCGGGTTGAGGCGCAGCTTCGACCACTCTGTTCCCCGCGTTTCTAATACTCAGTGGGAAATAAAAGAACCCTTTTCGAATTTCTATTGGCTCTTGGTTCTGCAGGTCAAGTGGTCTGTCATCACCCCTGCTTCCTGTGTAAGCGCAAGAACAGGGCATTCGTCTAAGGTTGTATGTAATAGTCATTGAGCATGTGTCTGACGTCTTCGAGGGTAGCAATCCATATCATGATAGACTTCTAACTCCGAAGCAGATCAAGTTTTCATCTTAGAATATTAATTTCAGGAAATAGACACCCTGATACAACACCTGTTACGGTGTTCTTGGGGGGCTGCAGTTCGCCATCGTATCCCACGTGCGACTATGCAACAGTACCAATATGTGCTCAAGCTGACAGGGAACATGACTAACACATGCAATACTCGGAGGGCACGCTGGATACGGCCCACTAGAGGAAGCTTGAGTCGAGGGACTACCTTAAGCACCCACCTGCGAGTCACGCCAGTCGAGAAACAAACGACCTGACAAATTAGCACAGCGTGTTATCAACTTCGATTTTGGCTACTTCAATATCACAAGCTAAGTTTTGGCCCTCACGGTTGTGCCCGTAATAGCCGGCGTGCTTAGTTCATGAAGGAAATAGCTGCCCAACCAGGCGAGCTAGCATTGGTGTATTAGCAACAAACAGCGTGGTGAACACTCACGCGTGTCTTACGACCCGACACGACTAAATATCGCATGACGCAATGCGGAGTACTGCGTGACTTTTATCTCACGAGAAGGGTATCCACAAAGCCTGGCGATGATGCACATCATACCATGCATGTACGATAGATCGTGAGGGCAGGTGGATGCTCTATTTAACCATTGGGCTTCATGTAGATAAAGCGGTATGATTTCGCGGGGATAAGTGTTCGATGTAACGGCAATCTGACGGACGAAGACTGGTCTTTTCTTCTTCTTTCCCTAGACATACGTCTACACACTTGCCCTCTTAGCTTAGAGCTCATGTACGCACTTGACCCCAGAGGTCAACTAATACTGTAATGTGCTTTTCATGCTCATCGATGCTATGTCTATAGGATTATTTGACACAGCATTTTCTTTGAAACGAGTAGGGCTTATCCCAGGTGAATGGGAATTGGGCAATCTCATGTGTACATGTATATGTTCCATGTGATGAAACTATACGGTTCTCATACTGAAACAAATGTAGTTCAGTAACCTATAAATTAATGTTTTGCTGGTGTAATTAGTCCTCTATAGTTGATCATGAACAGTCGGATCATGCGAGTGAGCTCTCATGGCTCACCTCCAGTTTGACATACAATTGTACAGCCAGTTACTGATATTTCTGATTCCGAAGCAGAAAGACTTAGTTGGTATCGAGTAAATAGAGATCGTGACTCTAAGCCATATGAACGTCATGTGGAAAGATCGTTGATCATTTAACAAACGTCCTATCTTATTGAGTGTTGACAATAAGCCCGAATTCTATGCGTCAAACTTGTGAAATGGAATCAGTTGAGGGCAGTTTGTGGATTAATTCTCCCACCATTTCAGCCATGTCCAGGTCCCGATGGACTCAACGGTAACTAGGCACAGACAGGGCATCAGCTCGCCAGTATCAAGCCAAGGAGCTCAGTTCTCCCAAATCCACATCTATTACACATGACTTCTTAGACTACAAAGGCTCCGGAGAGGAAGTGTGTACACGAATCGACTTTCGCCAGGGTAGGGGATGAGGCTGCCCAGTTGTCGTGGAAGGTCAATGTGTTAAATTGTGCTCGACAGGTTTATGGTGTCAGCGGTGGATGTGAGTGAGTGTAGTTGATGTAAGCGTGAATAGCGAGAATTCTTTGTTCAAACGACTCAGGAATGACAAACAGAACTTGTGAAGGGTGCAAATATCTACTAAAGCTGCGTGAGACACGTCTACCTAGTTAAGTCACGCTCCTCATCTGAATCATTCGTCGTTCCACTAGATGTGGTGCTTTTGCCACCATCATCAAAGCATTATTATGGCAGACAAGTAAGAGGCTGCCTGATGTGAATAGTGACCCCAGGCTCTTATCCTGCTCCATCTTGGTGCCTATGATTGCAACTGTAGTCAGGATTACGACTATAATCACCTAGCAATAATACCAAAGGGAGTTTCGATCGAGTAATGGCGCACGCAAACCGCCGAATGTTCTGGCATTGCAGAACATTCTAGGATAGCATCTTTAGTGACAATTACGCGGTATCTGCACCAACAGTTCTGTTTTAGCACACTGCTGCGATGGAATAAACGGCGTTCATCACTTCGCTATCTACCAAATGCTATTTTGTTATGGGTCTGCAAGACTGCGACTTTGAAAGTCTTAACGGACTCCGCGGAGACAACAGAGAAGACACTTAGTGAAGGCATCATCCAAATTGCTATGGGATTATCCGATCATTATGTGTAACAGTTTCATGGCTGCATATGCGCCTGCTACGACACTCCTGCCGGTCGGTCGAAGAGGTCAGCTTTCTACACACCTTAAGAAACCAGGCCGATGATATTTGGATTCAAGAAGAGTAATAAAAATGCCAGACCCTGGCAAACACAGCATGGATGCGTATTCTTCATCGGCATGGTATAGAGAATCGGACACCCATATGCTAGGCGCCAATGCCTGAAATGATCAATGGAATTGGACTAGGTTTAACACTTATCACCCAAGTTTGTCGCATTGTTTACCGAATAGCAAAGTTGCGAGGATGATGAGAAAGTTGAGCATATCTATATATTCCTATGAGAGTAGTGGGAGGATGGGGCTACAATACACAAGTGATGTATGCACTTGAACAAGTTTCCGGTGGCTGTAAACATCGGTCACAGTATTGATTGTATAAAAACAAAAACAAACAGCGCACAGCTATATGAAGATACATGCTTGCAGCAAAACAAAACAAACTTCACGTGTTCAGTAACGGGTCGCGAGCCTGAGAACGTGGAGCTCTGTGCTGGCTTGCGGCTATAGTGAGGCTATCCGCATCGGTGATCCTGGCGAGCAAAAGCCAGTCTGACCGTTGAACATAATTGGAGCCCCTTTTCTTCTTGTTGATAGCGGATGCCGCCCCGTTGGATCGGATGGAGATGCAAGGAAAGCTTGCATTGACTGAACGCAATTCGTCGGAGATGGCCAGGGTCTTTTAACTGGGACTTTATTGATTGGATGCGACGGGCTACCCAAGCGCAATCCGGGGGTCGAGGCTGCTACCTATACGGATTACAGTACTCTCTGTAATACCGTTGATGAACACTTGGAATCTTTGATCCGAAGCGGGGTCCCATGCTCGGACCATGGCCAGATTTTTATGACAGCGACAGACGCCCGAACAACATGCAGGACTCTACAGTACATAACTAGCTGTTGTTCTGATCATGACGATGACGAGTGACAGCTCATGTCGGTGCATGATGACTGAAAACCAGGTAATCTTAAAGGTGGACGGGTTGTGACATGGAGTAAACCAGATGCAGCATAGCGGTAAGGAAGCACTGACCAAAATGGCTGAAAGGCCCCCAATACACCCTTGTAATAGTGGACAGCTCTGGATGCCGGCGTTGCCTGCAATCCCTCCATGCCAGCCAAATTGCCTGCGAAAATGAAAATAAAAAATGAAGCAGTGGACCAGTTTGCTTGGACAACTTTTGGCTGATCGGACTGGACTGGACCAGACCAGAGAGAGCGCACTCCTTTTTCGGCGTGCAAGCGACTGTCGTCAACAGATTTCGTGGTGTTGTTCCCTCTTTCTGGTTACCTAACCTCACCTAACTTACGGCAGACCCAACCCAACCCAACCCGGCAGTGGTGCAGCTTCACCTTGCATGACTGTCCTGCTGTCTTCAACTCAGACCACAACCGGCCCGCCTGTCACTCTTTTTTATACTCTTCTTTTACATTCCATCCCGAGGACCACGTTTTCCTTTTCAGCAGAAAGTTGGTTATTGCGTGGCGCCACTTTTGCGCATCGGTAACTCGTACCGTAGAAATTTCCAATTCAACGCGACGAGGCAGTCTAACGGCACAACATCTTGCCCACATCCACGAGGTGCAAAACAACCGGCGAGAGCGCTGCTGACTACCGGCACACTAAACGTAGCCAATTACATCTAGTCTAGATCAACGGTCTAATTATCATACCGTACATGATTCAATCACTTTTGCTCCATTAGCCTTTTATTGCGGAGGGTCACTACGGCCTCGTTGCGTTACCGCGTCACTCGCTTCACTCGCTTCACTCCGTCTACCGCAAAGGTAATTTTCAACACCCTCGCTCACCTCGCGGCAAAGAAAGTGAACAAAAAGGAAAAGAGAAGGAAAAAGAAACAAGAAAAGAAACAAGAAAAGGAAAGAAGAGAAGAGGGAAAAAAGACACAAGTGACCACACACGACCACTGTGACAGTACTGGGCACTCCTCACCTCCCCAGGCTCGCCTGCTCTGCTTCTAGCTTGGGTTTCCCCGAATAAGGTTGTTCCACTCCGACCGATTTCGAGACACCATCATCCTTGAATCATTCGCACTCCAGCACCACTCTTTCGAAGCCTTGTCACATATTCCGCACACATATCACCTCCCAGCTGGATCTCGAGGCGGTCATAAATTGCCCCCCGGTGACTTGTGGTCGACATGGCTGCCATGTCTGCTTCTGCACCGGGTGCCACTGCCGCCACCTCTACCTTGACTCCGCCCAGCAGCTCCCATGGCAACGATTCTGGATGGAAATCCGGGTACACCTTGGGAGGATATCAAGAGGTATGTCACGGCCCTTCATTTCTCATGTCTCTTGCTTGCTCATTCACCCACTCCCTCCATGTCTCACTTGTCTTGTCTTGCTTGACTTAAATGTCCCCAATCCAGTCCCCAACCCACCTGGCGCTTCTGATCCAACCGAGCTACTTCAAATTGATCGCTGCTGCCTCTTCTCGCCTGGCTAACGTCACTTCGTCCCCTCTGCAGGACCCTACACACATGCAACACGGAAACTACATGAATGGCTATGAGGACACAAATGGCGCGACCAAAGGCCCTTTGTCACCTCACCTCGGCAATACCGATTACGATCCTTTCACGAAGCCAGACCCCAATGATCCTTTCTCTGCGGTCAAAGGTACGACTTTTCACCTCTTGTGAACATGTTAGCTAGACTGGGCTAACTCAATGCTGTTTTATAGAAGTCCGATCTGGTGGGAGAAGCAGATCCCGAACGCGACCTGATAACAAGCGAGCCAACTCAGATTCCACGCAGGGACAGGGCAAGATCGAGAACGACAAATGGATACACAGAGACAAGTTAGCCAAGATCGAGAGTGAGGAGCTGCAAGCTGCCGGTATTGTCCTGCCCAAGCCGAGATCGCATAGTCGACCGCGGAGAGAACGCAGCTCCGAGAAGATGAACGGTGGCCGCCGGGGGACCGATGCTTCGGAACATCAGCCGATGCCAAGATCCCGGAAGAACTCGACACAAAGAGCTGCATCAACGGAGAGGTCGCCAGACCCTGAAGGCCGGGATTGGGACTTCCGTCTGCCAGAAGAGATAGCCGAGGATCCGAACGAGTACTGGATTTCGAGCGACACTCTTGCAGGAAAATCACGTCTCCCTGTGGCAAAACACAGTGTTGCGCCGGTTCCAGCCGACTACGTGGAGCGAGATGCTCCAGTGCCTCGCAAGATGAGCGGCGCCATCCAACCTGACGAGGACTTCATGCTGGCAGCAACAAAGCCTCGATCTAGAAGTGGTAGCGCTACTCTGGATGCTCTAGAACAACCTGTACTGCAAGCGGCACGACGCTCAGCCAGCGAAAGGCCCAGTTCGCCAAGGAAGGCTGCAACGGGAACGAGGAAGCCATCTGGTGCCCCGGGCAAGCCAGCAGCGGGTCGTCCCAAGACACGGTCTGGTCCAGGCAAGATGAGCAAGGACTCAACTGCCAACACTAGACCGACAACGAGATCTGGTGAACTTTCTCCCAAAGCCCCTGAAGGGGATCCGCCGTGGATGGTCTCTGCATACAAGCCGGATCCACGTCTGCCTCCAGACCAACAACTTCTGCCTACAGTTGCCAAACGATTACAACAGGAGCAATGGGAGAAGGAGGGCAAGTTTGGAAGTGTCTACGATAAGGAGTTCAGGCCCTTGACAGATGATACCTTTGCGAAGCCGCCTGAAATGCAGAAGACCCAAGTTCAAGAGAAACATGACGAGTGGCCTTTGCGAGCTGAGGCGAAGAGTCCCACCCCAAGCCGACCTGGAACGAGCTCTTATTCGACCATGCCTAAGATCCAGGATACACCAATGCTAAGTCCTTTAGCCAGCCCTAGACTTCCTATATCCCCACAGTTATCGCAGCAGCAGCAGCAGCAGCAGCATGAACAGCTCACCAATATCACGAGAGTACCAACGGTTCCGGAACAACCTCGAATCTCAGAGAAGGAACAAAAGAAGTCTAGCGGGTGCGGATGTTGCGTTGTCATGTGAGATATGTGCTCTGATATTTTCAACACGACGCTATTCGTTCTAGACCGCTTGCTCTTCGTTCCCCTCTACCTGGGTATATCAACATCACCAAACCACTCATAGAGTGGTTCAACCGACATTGACGACGTCACGACTTTTCTTTCCTTTAAGCGTTTACATCCCGCAGCTCACCTGTCGAAGCTGCCGCATAGCACAACCTATTTTCCTACACCACCACGAGGCAAAACACGACATACTGGATCAGCCGAACCTTCTAAACATACTTCCCACAAATGTGTCGCCCGTAATACCGGCACCTCAGACGATAATAGCATTCATTCCGTCGCATTACCTATTCAATATACTTCTTCAAAAAAAGACCGACCACCGGCGTTCACTGGCTTGGACATCTTCGGTTCCCGGCGCAGCCTGGCGTACATACAACTTTCCTTGACATTTTTTTAAATGGGCACCCGAGAGCCTAGCATAAGACGCCAAGCTTAAGCTGGGCTGTGTATATTTGAACTGGCACTGATTCCTACTGTTTTTGTTTTCTGATATTTATTGATTCGAGATAAGACTTGCTGCTAAGCAATGTGTTCATAGCAAAGGCGGCATTTGCCTATTGGAGTATTTCAGCTTGCGAAGTTTTTCAAGTTAGTTTGAAGCACCAAATTTTGGTGCTGTAGGGAGAAAGAGGCAGCTGAGGAGAAGGGACGGGAGCCGGGAGAAAACAGAAGGAGAGTAGGGTGAAACTACAGTTCAGTGCCACTTACAGATACCCCCATACGAGCTGGCTTGAGTAGTTTGAATGGAGAATGATTACTTGATATTTGGCCTCTGTTGTGATATTTGGGTCCTGTGAGTTTTTGTTTGAGTCTTGGAAGCTTTGGAAGTCTAGAATGCCAAGGGCTTCAAAGCAAGCCGCGGATGTTTCTTCAACCCGGTTCAAAGATCCTTGATTGCAAGGCGGCTTGATCTGACCTAGAATATAAACTGTTCTACCCAACCGGATACCGCAGCTTTAAAAAAGTTCAGACGAGGCCCGCCATTAACAGAATGGAGTAGTGCGCCACATCCGGCACAACAGGAGCCTGCGTCATACCTCGGCATTAAATACTCTATTCAGGGTCTCCCCAGGAGTGCCTTCGGCTAACTTAGATCAAGATCCCCACAACAATTAACATCCCCACGACCCCAGGTTTCACTCCATCCGCATTCTTCTATCATGCATCTGGCATCCGAGTTCTAGACTCAAGGATAATTTATGTCAAGTCAGTTATGCCGCGGCAAAACTACAAGTTCGAGGGTTGGGTGGGCCATGATCCGTCTTCTGCCGAGGGCAAGATGATATGGAGCGAGTTCCAACCAAAGAGATGGGAGGAAACGGATATCGATATCAAGATCACGCATTGCGGGATGTAAGTTCAACATGAAGCAGTTGTCAGTATCAGGTTTGGCAAGGCACTAATAATTCGATGCAGGTGCGGGAGTGATGTCCACACTCTGAGATCCGGCTGGGTACGTTACAATACATATATATACATACACATACCTTAGTCGCGTAGCTTGTGAAAGCAACTCAACTTATCGAAACGTAGTATCCAGCACCCTACCCCATCATAGTGGGCCACGAGATCGTCGGTGAGGTCGTAAGAGTCGGCTCCCAGGCCGTCGGGGACCACAAAGTCGGGGACCGTGTCGGCGTTGGCTGTCTCACAGACAACTGCGAGGGCGATCCGAAATTCGCTTCCGAGCCTCATAAAGCTAAGAAATGCGCAAACTGTGCCGATGGCGAGGAGCAATTCTGCCCCAAGGCCCGCTGGACATATCCAGGGCCCCACCACAACGGTGACAAGGCCTACGGGGGCTATGCCACATATCATCGCTGTCCTGGGCGTTTCGCCTTCAGGATTCCCGAGAAGCTCCAGCCCGCTCAGGCCGCCACCATGATGTGTGCCGGCATCACCATGTTCTCGCCTTTGAAGCAGTGGGGGTGTGGGCCGGGCAAGAAGGTTGGAATCATAGGGCTCGGCGGCCTCGGTCATTATGGCGTCTTGTTTGCGAAGGCCATGGGTGCTGATACCGTGGTCGCCATCTCAAGGAGGGAGAATAAGAGACAGCAGGCTTTGCAGCTCGGCGCGGATGATTACCTGGCGACCGAGGACGGCGGCAAGGGGTGGTTTAAGAAATATTATGGACAGTTGGATTTGTTGATTTCTACGGTTGCGAGCTCGCGGGTAAGATTATTTTGTGATTGGATGAAGTCGTCGATGCTGATATGGGCTAATCACGAGTTCCTAGGCTCCTATGAAAGGATACTTGGCACTGATGAAGCGAAGAGGCACTCTGGTCCATGTTGGAAATCCCGATGATGGCCAGTTTGTTATTCCACCAAGCTCGTTGATCATGAAGTCGCTGAACTTTGCAGGATCATGTATTGGATCCGCGGCAGAGACGACGGAGATGTTGCAGCTAGCCGCGGATCAAGGTATCAAAGCTTGGGTGGAGGAGAGACCGATGAAGGAGGCTAACCAAGCATTGAGAGACATGGAAGCAGGAAAGCCTAGATATCGGTATTGTCTCGTGAATCAGGAGGGCGCGAAGTTATAGTGAGTGCTTGATGATCTGTTATACCTTGGTTGTTGACATTCATGACGCGCCCTTCTTGGCTTATGCGTCAGGACATATATTGCGTATAGTCGGTTCCTATTCGAAGACGTTTGCTCATAGACGCTGTTCGGAAGCATAGGTTCAATCCCATGTAATGTATCTCGTCAGACTAGCTTATCCGGCTTTGATCAAGCATGCTCTGAAATTCTCTCACAACACAGCGAAGCAAGAACACCCGATATTGGGTGTGAAAGCTTGAGTACGACATTTTCATTTACCTGCGGGACGCCTATTCGGTCTAAGACCTCGATATGGTCAATATCAGATTTTGCTTGGCTGCTATGGCCGTCTTCCCGTCTGTAGCACCGTAGTTGGACTCGGAGTTAAGCTTCGGGTTTGTGCCCCTGGGAGGCTCGAGCATGATGGCTTTAATTGATCCAGGGGCCTAAAGAATACTGGAAAGTCTAGCTCAATATTGGGAACATTGAGACCTCAAAGCACCTACTGGAACTAGAGGTAGTTACGTTCGTTTCGAACACCGGGTAGCTTATAGCTTGACCTGGTGCTGCATTACGCAAGGCTCCTCATGAACTGTTGCGGACCTTCGGGTTTTCAGATGTCTTGACGTCAGTGCCCGGTTAGGGAACTATTGTTGACTCTGGAATGCACCTACTGTAGAATTTATGCCCTGGCTTATGCCGTATTATGTTCAAGGAACAACTCTTGGCATTGCGGCTGTGTTCCGTGTCGTTGCATGAATAATTCTGGCTCTTACTGACACCAACACGGCCGATTGATTAGATGATATAACATGACTGTATCTTGGAGTGCTCTATCAATAGAGACTTTTGATCTGGCACGAATATGTGGCCTCCTTAAGCACTCTACCGCATGCGGCATTGTATAGTGATCATCACTGGTCGATATTCAACTTCCCATGCGCAACAGTGACCGATCATAGTTGTTCCGGCAAAAACACTTGTTTATAACCAGACAGTTTATGTTGTGACGCTCTGGAACTGAGTCTGTCATTGCCTCCGCAGCGCATAACGTCGTCGACAAGTGACTGACGGCTCGGCGTCCGAGCCTCATGTCCGAGTATGCACAGCAGATCCTTGTTGCAGGTCCGCCCTTGGCATCTGATGGCGTCGTGTTGTGGGTCCCTAGCAAAACAGCGAGCACTTTTCTGGGTTGACGCAACAACTTCGCCGGCACTTCTTGAATTTCAGGGACGCCGTTGCCAAATGAACCGAGTCAGACAGAGGGTTTGTCTCGCATTCAGAAGAACTGAATGGCACCTAGATTAAGCGCAGAATCACCCCGCAAAATGGCGCCAATTCTACCAAGCTCACTGCATAACATCTTCAAGAATCTCTGTACTCTTGCAGGTCTTTCGAACCAACTACGATGTAACGCCACGAGAAAAACGCAATTTCAAAAGGAAAGACGAGGCGATGTGATAGATTCGCCACCCGGCCCAGCCTTGAATCGGCAAACTTGACTCCACCACCATGTCCGCGACCACGTTTATACCCTTGCAGAACAAAGCCGTGAGGGATGCCAGCCGGGGATTAAGCTCAGATCTTTCGGTAGCAGCGGCAATACAAGAATGGCCGGATCGACGTGAAGCTTCATTAGCGGAGCTGTGTGCATGTTACTGACTGGGATTAAGATGTAGATGAGCTTAAAGCATACCATAGCAATCTAGGGGTATGAGGATCCGCAATGGAATATAAACAAGCCTTGCCGACCAGTGCTGCATGTGGTTCTGGTCAGGTCACACATCCAATCCAGCTCGACAACCACAAGCAAGCGAAAATGCCATCTTTCCGGACCTTCGCTGCTACGGTATTGCCGGTCGTTGCTCAGGCATTGACTCTAGACGACATCTGCACGACAGAGTTCACTACAGCTGCCCTACCTGCTGTCGGTTTCTATCCAGGAATCACAATCGATGCGACATCGGTGTCAACCGAGGCTACTTACAATGTCACAGTCGAGTCCGAATGGTATCCCACGTCGACCATAAATTATTGCAATGTCACTTTCGCCTACTCCCACGATGCCATCGAGGGAGATCTGGTTCATGTCAGCTATTGGCTACCAGCGCCTGACCAGTTCAATAACCGGTATGTTTCGACAGGCGGCGGCGGTCTAGCTATCAACTCCCAATCGCAGTTCATTCCCACCGGCATCATTGTCGGCGCTGTTTCAGGCATCACCGATGGCGGCTTCGGTGATTTTAATACACAGTGGGATGCTGCCTTCCTTGAGTCTAACGGCACGATCAACTGGGAGGCAACCTACATGTTTGGGTTTCAAGCACACCACGAACTTGCGACACTCGGCAAGCAATTCACCAAGAACTTGTACGATGTCAAATCTTGCACCAAGCTTTTCGCGTACTACCAAGGCTGTTCAGAGGGCGGCCGTGAAGGCTGGAGTCAGGCTCAACGTTATGCCGAGCAATTCGATGGGTACGCCATTGGTGCCCCGGCCTTCCGCTATGGTCAACAACAGGTCAACCATTTGACCAGTAACGTCATTGAGCAGACACTCAACTATTACCCTCCCACCTGCGAATTGGACAAGATTGTCAACTTGACTATTGCTGCTTGCGACACTTTAGACGGAAAGGCGGATGGGGTAATCTCGCGTTCAGATCTGTGCAAGCTTACTTTCGACGTCAACAGCACCATCGGCGAGGCTTACACATGTGAGGCTTCAGCCGGAAACCCCATTTTTGGTCAGCCTACAACACCAGCTCAATCTGGGGTAGTCACTGCAGAGGGTGCAGCTGTTGCAAGTGCTATTCTTGCCGGCCTTCACGACTCGGAAGGACGCTTCGTCTATCTCAGCTATCAACCCGGTGCCACGTTTGAAGATGCCGCAACAGCCTATAATGAGACCACTGACTCCTGGGGTCTTAGCATCAGCGGCCTAGGAGGCGAGTGGGTGGCAAAATTCCTCGAGCTACGAAACGTTTCTACACTTGAATCCCTCGATGGGTACACGTACGATACTCTAAAGGACTTGATGATTGAGGGTTACGACAGGTACTATGATGTTTTGCAGACAACGTACACCAACATTAGCAGCTTGGATACTGCTGGCACAAAAATTCTGCATATTCATGGTGAACAGGACAATTCAATTCCCACTGGCTCGTCGGTTCGGTACTACGACTCCGTTCGTACTGCACTCTACCCCAGCTTGGGATACAACGAGAGCACCGAGGCTCTCGACGACTTCTATCGTCTGTTCTTGGTTCCGGGTGGTGCTCACTGCGGCGCAAACAGCTTTCAGCCTAACGGTGGCTGGCCGCAAACTACGCTGCAGACCATCATTGACTGGGTTGAGAAGGGGATTGCCCCCGACACTTTGGCAAACGCCGGTACTACCGTTGATTCCATTTGCAAGTGGCCAATGCGACCTCTTTGGGATGCTGAGGGAACTTTGACGTGCGAGTACGATCAAGCTTCGATTGACTCATGGACGTATGACTTTAACGCATACGATTTCTACTTGGATTAGAAAACCGGAAATAAGAGCTTCACTGATGTAGCACATTTGTTCTCATTTCTTTAACAGAGTCCATAATAGTTTTCTGAACTAAATCTTGATAAATATATTGTGCAGCTGCGAGCATTTACTCTTGGTTGTTCGCTGAAACGATACTACCGAGGATATGCCACTATCGGGCGCTACTGCCTCAACTTTAGCGCGCTCGCATGCCGTTTCTCTGCGATTAAGGCAATTCTTATGTTCAACCTTGTCTCATCATATCTCAACACATTCCAACCTCATAATCCAGTGAGCTGAGCTACAGTGAACTGCCCCCACATTCCATATCACACTCATTACATTTTCTTGATGGACAATCCTGCCACCGTCCGCGTTGCGCTGGCGGCCTTGGCTCTGGTCTTACCCGCGTGTTACGTTCAGCATAAGATAACAGCCAAAGCGCGGCGAAGAGACGGCCATTTAAAGCATGCCGAAGAACGGGTGCTTATTCTTGGCGCCTCCAGCGGTGTCGGACGCGCTACAGCAAAGCAGTATGCGGCCCGCGGCGCACGGGTATGCTTCGTAGCCCGCCGTGCAGATGAGATCTCTACACTTGCTGAGGAATGCGGAGACAAGTGCATATGGCAGGTTGCAGACTTCAGTAAGGCTGATGATATGATCAGCCTCAGAACCAGGGTTGAGAAGGAGTGGCAAGGACTGGATACTCTCCACATTTGTGCAGGCGTCTCGGCCCTGCAGCCTATTATGGCTCTCACGGGCACACGATCGCCAGATGAAGACGCAGAGGGTAGTGGCATCCGATCAGCAGTTAATATCGCTGGACGTGCTATCCAAGGAAACTTCAATGGTCCACTCGTGTCTGCATTGGTGTTTGTGAGTTGTTTGTTCTCACAGACCTGCCTACCATCGCACTGACTTTGATCGACAGATTCCTATGCTAACGAGAACTTCCTCCTCGCCTTCAGTTCTTCTCGTATCATCTGTGGCTGCGATAATACCTGCGCCGACAAGAGCACTTTACGCCGCAACTAAAGCTTCGTCGTTGCTACTGTTTCAGTCTCTGGCTATCGAACACCCTCAAATTGCTTTTACCTTTGTACTACCGGCCACCATTGAAGGCAACTTCCGCGCCTCCGCTGTTGATGCTGGCCCCGTACGGGAAGCGGACCCGAATAAGAACGGATTAAAGATCGTCTATGTCGCCCAAAGATGTATTGATGCGGTTGATCGTGCTATAACGGGAAACGTGGTGCTGCCAAAGTTCCCGTATGCCTTCGCACAGTATCTATATCTCCTCTGGCCTTCTTTCATAGAGAAACAGGCGCGAAAAAAGTATAACTTCGAGGCATAGGTTGAAACTACTGAAAAACGGCCTGGCTGACGCCATACTCGGATTTGGTGTGCTTATTGATGAACGCACTCGTGATACTCAAAATCGTGTCTGTAAGATTCTGCAACCATATCGGTAGAACCGGTGCTCATCCCATATTACAGCATAGGAGGAGGCCGTTTCAAGGACCGCTGGGCTTCTGGTTGGCTCTGACAATCTGTCTCAGCCAAAGCACAAGAGGGTGCAGCGTGATGTAACTCTTCCAATCCATTATGTCTTAATTATCACACTGTGTCTTGAGCATATCCATTTATAACTATTTATCACGATAGGCTCCGTAATCTCTTGGACTTTTCTCCGCCCTTTCTACCTCGTCCTCCCACTATCCACTTTTCCACGATGGAGTCGCTAGATCTGGCCGTCAAGCCTCGCGTTACAAAATTGATGGAGACCACATCTCAGCGGTTCGATGTTGAGCTTTGAGGATCAACGTTCATCTTATCTTGAATATCTGCAATTCTGTGGAGACTGGTCTACGGTAACTATCAATATAGCTGAGAAGCATAGGTAACACCTGTATTATATCTTGGTTGAGTTCAACCTTGGTAGCCTTGATAAGAGCAGATATTGCGCTTGTCGAGTGCTAATCCCCGAATGAACGAGCTAAGCCAGCAGAGAATATGTGCCTAGAGTCTTTTAGAATTATATAACTTTAGAAATGTGAATTGGTAACAGAGCTGAGGGATTGACCATTTAGGGCTCAACGAACAAATGCATTAGTTCTGTGTAGCAATGAGTACAGGTGTCAGCGGATAAGTAAACACATATGTAGCCACGAAGACAATACCTATGTGGCAACGTGACACCAATGAAGTTCCAGTAGTCAACTATCTCGAATTTTATTTTAGCAGTCGCCATTCTCTGTTATCGTCGATCAAGAGTGGCCACTGCATGTTCATTTAGCCAGCTTTCAGCCGAACCCATAGCGAGGCTCGGCAGAGGCCCGCAGCATATCTCATTCATTCCGGCTGAATTGTCGCTCCATTCTTATAAGCTAGAGAGTTATTACTGTTACAATGGCCTGATATCAGACCACTGTGGGCGCCTTCGAGGATGAATGTGGCCGTGAAGGTGTCACTCCCGTCTGGGTCTACAACATATAAAGTCAATCTAGTGTCCCTCTCTAGGTTCAATCTGATCTTATTCTTGCTCCCCACAAGTCAATCGTCCGTAAATGAGATGCAACCAGTATCACGGCTAGCGACAGCGGTCTTATTGCTGTCACTGATATCGACGGCGTCTGGGAAACCAACACACTTCGTTGGAGCAAACAACGCGACACAACAGCCGACCAGCGCTACAACTGCAACGAGTGGAAGTGCGACAGCGGGCACAACGCCGGTGATAACAGCAGCACATTCAATCACTTCAAGCATATCAACATGCACTCCATTTGTTACACCAACAAATCCGCCAGAATGTGTTAGCAAATTTGGCCAACTGAAGTGCTATGACCAACTATACTGCGAATACCCGGCTTCGTGGGGCGTGGGATATGACCCAATCGAACCCTGCTGGACGTGCGACTGATCTTCGGCTTGATTGAAGGTTGCAGCACGGATTGTTGGCGAGTGTCTTCGCCTGGCACTCTCAGACATGTCTTGAAGCAAACATAGACGGGTCAGAGAGGCAGACTGGATGTCAGGGATGTTTTTGATGCTTGATGAACCTTTAGAAGTCATAGAATTCTTATGATACCAGATGCGCAAATGTTACAAATTGTCAATGACATATGCAGAGCCACAGCTTCGAGTTTTAGCGACTGACTGCCGACGTGACAACAGGCGTGGTGATGGACATGACGGGCTCGGCATGCACGGGGTACACTCGGTACACTCTTCCGTGCGTAGGATAGCCTCACGCAATGACTATGTTGTGCCGTCAGCCTACAAAAAAGGAGGTCAGCGCTGTCAAATAGAGTACAGCTTCATCGAGTAAAAAATCATGTTACATCATTTGGCAAGAAATCGGTTAAGCAATTAATACCTCAGTCATTTAGTACGGCGCAAAGCGTTGTGCAAGCTTTCAGCATGAATGCGTGTCTGACGCAGTAATGGTGTCTTTCAACCCCGGCAGAGCCAGGCTGCCAGGTATATCGAGACGGACTATCGGTGCCTTTGAACCTGCCCCCTGTATACACCCATGTACTGAGTTAAATACTGTTCCGTATATTGTGCACTAAACCCGTGAATGGGCACGCTTAAAGCCGATTTCTGGGGTTGGATGGCCATACAGATCCATCCGAATCCTATCGCTGTTTTGGTTGATCTCCCGACGTTCCCCTCAATCTGTAGCAGTGTTGCTGCTGTACTTTCGGACGTGACACCACTGTTCCGCACCTATGTGAGGGGAACGAGTGCGGGACTCTAACACATCGCACTGTGACTCAAACATATCTTCCTAAATAGACCTTGTTGTTGCCAGACGAGTCCTGTTATCAACCTCGCAGCTTAAACCCGCGGATCATACTCGCCCATATTTCATAATGCCAAACTCAAACTCATGGCCGTTAAAGTCCTATCAACCGATTCGATTGGTCTATCAGTTGTGCTGTGTAAGCGCTATTGTAGCGCGTTTCCCCATATGGCTTGTTCGATTCGGGCTATTTAGATGTCTAAGGCCTCACCCGCAGTGGACGCTGAAACAAAGTATCATGATTCGGCTCATCCGCTTGATAGTCAATGCTCAAAGCCACGTCGGTATCAGCGATCCTATCACTCTCAAACCTGGCGCTGAGAAAGAGCGATTTGAAGTGATTCGGCCATTCTTGAAGGAGTTTTATCAGGGCCCACTAGATTCCACTGTGGCACCAACAACAATAGGCGGCACATGGTATCCAAATGTCACCAGGGGGCGAAGCGTGGGATCAAATGACTATGTTATCCTTCACTTGCACGGAGGTGCCTATGTCACTGGTAATGGGAGAGATGCAAGTCTAGGCTTCCTCGCAAATACCTTGGTGAAATATGCGGGAGCCGTCGCTATATTTGCTCCGCAGTACCGACTCTCAGGATACGACAATACCAACCCATTTCCTGCCGCTCTACAGGATGCGCTCACAAGCTATTTACACCTTGTTCGAACACTCGATATTCATGCTTCAAGTATCGTGGTGTCAGGAGACAGCGCTGGTGGGAATCTTGCCATAGCCTTCCTTCGATATCTTTCCGAGTATGGGAAGGAATTGAATATCCCAAACCCACGAAGCGCAGTCCTCTTGTCACCTTGGGTTTCACCACTGAATGCCCTCGGGGCTGACGTCACCTATACCAGCAATCCCTACTATTCCACTGATTACTTACCTTCTGAGTTTACTCGGTGGGGAGCGATTACTTATATAGGGTCCAATCTAGCAAGTGACCCATACATTACGCCGCTAGGAAATCCCTTCGTAACACCGGTCCCCATGTTCGTGAATACAGGCGCGATCGAGATGCTCAACATTGATGGTACTCAATGGTTAAAGGAGATGACGAGAGAGAAAGGCAACACAATTCATTATGAGTATGAACCCGTCGCACCACACGACACTTTGCTGATTGGTTATATGAGCGGATGGGAGGATAGCGCAAGGAATGTATCAGTGAAAATTGGCGAATTTATCAGATCGACAGATATTTCCCTGTACTCAAGGTATAAAGAAGTCTAGGGAAAACCATGACGGTATTTCATCGATACTCGTAAAAAGCTATTGAAAAGTCGTCAATATAAAAAATGCCGTGAATATACAACGTCGTTCGAACGCTGTTCTGTCTTACTAGAAGGCTGTATTCTCCAACGTGAAATCATATGCAACAGTTCTGAGCACTGTATAATAGCCTCGGCTGCCATTCTTCAACATGCGGGGACGCTACCACCTTGGTTCTGTGTCGCTATGCTTTCACCATATACGAGCGAAGAGTTTAAAAATAAAGGGCTGTGAGTGATGTCACGGTGAAGATTCAAATACTTGCAGAGATACTGCGATGATGCACGATTTTTGTGACTCCTTAGCCATGCCTGACAAACTCGACAGTCCACAGATAGCAAAAATATCTGAACTGCCCATGAAGCACAATACACGTCAATAGTGCGGCGAAAAAGAAACTGCCTGGGTCTGCATTATCAAGCGGATCCACACTTCGTACCACACTCCATACCACCCACAGAGGAGGGGTTCCGAGGCATGTTTAGTGGCTACGTCAAGATTCTGGACTATATTAATGGAGAACACGTCTATGATCATATCTGAAGTGGCTCCATTTCCAACACCTTATGATCAGGCGGCTGTATAAATTGACCTTTTTTAACACGATGAACATGGCGCCGGTCGAGAAATCAAGTACGACTCTAGAATACGATCTCTTGATCATCGGGGCAGGAATATCTGGGATCAATTGCTCCTATAGGCTGCAGACGAAGCTACCTCGCCTCAAGTTTGCTGTTCTCGAGAACCGCAACGATATTGGAGGCACTTGGGATCTGTTCAAGTACCCTGGAATCAGGTCGGACTCAGATCTCTTCACCTTTGGTTTCTCATGGCATCCTTGGCCACATCCGACTCCAATTGCAGAAGGACCGCTCATCGTGTCCTACATGAAAGAATGTGTGTCAATTTATGGCCTTGACAAGTATATAAACTTGCGGCACAAGGTATTATCTGCGGAGTGGTCGTCGAAAACGAGGAAATGGACTCTTGATGTGGACAATGATGGCCAACGGAAGGCCTACAAAGCCAATTTCGTTGTTCTCGGGGCAGGCTACTATGACTATAATCAAACATTGCCAGTCGAGATCCCTGGAATAGAAAGATTCCAAGGCAAATTGATTCACCCTCAATTTTGGCCGGCCGATTACGATTATACGGACAAGAAAGTTGTCATCGTAGGAAGTGGCGCCACCGCTATCACACTACTCCCCAATCTAGCCAAGAAAGCTGCTCATGTTACGATGCTGCAGAGAAGCCCTAGCTATATTGTCGCTTCTAAGCAAAAACCATCGGGCATCATTGATCTCCGCAGATTCTGCCCCCAGTGGTTGATTGACTACTACCAGCGGTGGTGGTTCTTGGTATTTCCACAGCTTTTCGTCATCATGTGCGAGTGGTTCCCCCGGTTGATGAAGCAGACGGTACAGAAGGAAACACTCAAGCTCCTACCTTCTCGGATTGCACTGAAACCTCATTTCGAGCCAAGCTACTACCCGTGGCAGCAACGCCTTTGTTTTGCACCGGACGGCGACTTTTACAAAGCTCTTCACACTCCAAAGGCTGATGTTGTCACGTCACATATCAAAACAGTGACCGAAGACGGCATAGAGCTGGAAATCGGTAAGAAATTAGATGCAGATTTGATTGTTACTGCTACTGGACTACGAATGCAATTCGGTGGCGGTATTCCATTACGCATTGACGGAGAACCTTACGACTCGGCGCAGAAATGTATGTGGAATGGTGCAATGCTTGAAAACGCCCCGAACTTGTTCTTTATGGTCGGTTATGTCAACAATTCTTGGACATTGGGGGCGGACGATACAGCTTTCATCATTTGTCGTCTACTCAAGGACATGCAAAAGCAAAATCTCCACGTCGCCGTGCCCCGGATACCCGGAGGTTCTCAGATGGATCGAAAATCCTCGTGGCAACTTACCTCGACATACGTGCGAGCCGCCGAGGAACACCTGCCAAGTGCTGGAACTAAAGGCCCGTGGCGACCGAGGAAGAATGTGATCAATGACTATTTCCATTCCAGATGGGGTAACATCACTAGCGGCCTCCACTTTGTATGTTAATGGGTCAAGTTGCTTTTGTCTCAGCTCGGATTTCGGGTCTCGTTTACTGTAGACTAGCCGAAACTTGGGTGGGTTGGCGCATGTTATATTACTACTTTTTCTTTTTCCTTTCTCCTTCATTTAGTCATTGAGAAATTCAGAGTCTACAGGAACCACCTCAATATTTCCTGGTCCTCTTGAAAATTTTAGCAATAAATAGACCATAAGCCACAAGTTGATCTATCGATCAGTACTTCTGCTGGCGTACGACAGCAGCGTCGCCTTCTATACCCAACCTAAGTTAGAGTGTGCTGAACTGTCTTCCCCGCGTTATACCCTCCCATTAGCATCTAACGTAGTGGGCGGGTAGTGCTTGCGGGGTTGCGGGGTGACCGGGATTCTATGGGTAGGATTAATTCCGGATTTCGTTGTTCAGTTATGTATTACAGGCGTTCGATTGGCTCTAGTCCAGAGAAAAATCCCTCGCTTTTCTGTTTAACCTGAAAGATATCTACCTGGGGTATTAAATTGATGAGTTGAAGAACAGCAGACACTGCTATGTAGATATGCCTGGCCTGTGCTGTGCAGTGCAGTGCAGATTATTCTCAGTCCTCTGCTTTGCAACATCAGTTGTAGAGGAAGCCTGCCGTGGAAGCGGAAGGATCCCGGTTCAGTTTGGCTACATTGTCTCCCCCATTTAAAGCGCGGTTTAGCCTGTCGACCTCTTGGTTATTTGCCACATTCTATCCTTGAGTTGCTTATCACTAACAGCCTTTCTTTGGTGACCAACAAAAACTAGAGCCTACGTTTGCTAATTCGGTGTTCGTATCTATCACCTGTAACGTTGTCAATATGGCAATTACGGCGACTGCAGCTGAGATCGAGGTGCTACACATAGCTACACCACTGCCTGAGCCACCATCTGCATCATTCTTTAATGAGACACAATGGAGGACTCTATGGGCACTGATGGACACTGTCGTTCCCTCTGTCATTCAGTCGCAAGAGAGAGGCACTGGTACGGGTGACTACGCCATTGGAACAAGTCTGTTTGAATTCTACTACCATGCAGCCCAGAAGAAGATGACTTCGCCACCTAGCCGTGAGAAGTTCGAAGCATACCTCTCGGAAAAGCCCTCAGCAAACGCGATGTTTTGTGCCCATATGACCCGAACCCTCGATGCACTTCCGAAGGAGATGCGGAATCAGCTCGGCCAGGTCCTCAATCTGCTAAGGTAAGCATTTTGTCTGCGAATTTGTGCCTCAGGTTGACGATTGAAGTACCCGTCTAGGTAGTCTTCCACTTACTGGCTATTTTACGCCATTCTGCGAGTTGCCAGGGGACGCAAGAGAAAAGGTTCTCCAGTCATGGTCATCATCATACTTTGCCACCCTCCGGGGTCTCTTCAAGTCCGTCACCGTATTGGCGAAGTCGAGTTGGGTTTCAACGAGCCCGCTGTTCCTAGAACTGAGTGGCTGGAAGGATTTGCCGGATGACTATAAGCCCGGGAAGACACCCGACTACAGATTTAAGCAATTCACTATTGGCGACAAGCCAGAGATTATCGAAACGGACGTCGTCATTGTAGGGTCAGGCTGTGGTGGCGGTGTTTGTGCTGAAGTACTGGCAAACGCTGGTCACCGCGTGGTAGTCGTCGATAAGGGCTACTACTTTCGGCCGGACCAGCTACCTATGAAGACAAGCAACGCCGGCCCGTATCTCTTCGATAGTGGTGGTATCGCAGTCAGCGACGATGGATCCTTGTCCGTCTTGTCAGGAAGTACCTGGGGTGGTGGTGGTTCGGTAAATTGGGGAGTCAGCCTCCAAACTCCTCAGTACGTGCGTGAGGAATGGGCGAAGAAGCGAGGATTACCAGTCTTCACGTCACAAGAATTTCAAGATGCAATTGACCGAGTATGCAATTACATGGGCGTATCTGACGCCACTGTTCGTCAGAGCCATCGGGGACAAATCCTTCTCGACGGTGCTCAGAAGCTCGGCTGGAAAGCGAAAGTAACACCTCATAATTCTGGAAACAAGGACCATCACTGTGGGCACTGCCATCTGGGTTGTGGCTCCGCAGGTAAGCAAGGGCCTGCAGTTAGCTGGCTACCGGCTGCTGGTCGAGCGGGTGCAGAGTTCATTGAGGGTTTTCAGGTCGAAAATGTGACATTTGATCACTTTGCTTCTGGGAAAAGGGCATCTGGCGTCGTCGGTAAATGGATTTCCAGAGACTCGGATGGGGGGTTGAGTGGTGGACTGGGCCAACGTATTGTGAGGGATGTGATAATCAGAGCAAAGAAGGTTATCGTCTCAGGTGGATCGATTTGGAGTCCCGTGATCTTGAAGAAAAGCGGGTTAGGGGTAAGCTTTCTGGCTGTCTTGCGGAAGACACATTCACTGACGAGACCAGAATCCACAAATAGGACGTAATCTTTACATGCATCCGTCTAATATAGTAACTGCGCTCTGGAAAGAGGATGTCAACCCTTGGGAAGGCAAGTCCTTTGTGATGTCCTGAGGGCAAGCTTATGCTAACGCAATGCAGGTTGTGCTATAACGAGTGTGTGCACCAGTTTTGAACAGCTCGATAACGATGGTAACGGAACCAAGTTGGAACCTCTATGTATGGTGCCGTCAGTTGCATTGCCGCAATTCCAGTGGCGAAGTGGAATGGACTTCAAAATGTCAGCTTTGCGATACCGCAACATGAATGCATTCTTCTCCATGGTTCGTGACCGCGACACTGGTTTCGTCTACCCTGATCCTTCTACTGGAAAGCCGCGAATTGTCTATACACCAAGCGCGTTTGACCGAGCGAATGCATTGGCAGGTGTGATTGGCTTGGCACGTATCTGCTACGTGATGGGTGCAGAAGAAATCAGACCTACTGTCACTGCAATAGAGCCATTCATGCGCACGGCATCAGATCAGGCGGAAGCGGAGGACGCTCGATTCGAGGATTGGATCAAGCGACTACAAGCAACAGGCATTTCTGAGACAGAAATCTGGGGCTGCGCTCATCAAATGGGAACTTGTCGCATGAGCAAGAATGCGGAAGATGGTGTGGTGGACCCTAATGGTAAGGTTTGGGGCGTTGAGGATCTTTATGTTGCAGATGCGAGCGTCTTCCCGAGTGCGAGTGGTGTAAATCCCATGATTACCAACATGGCGATTTCACACCTAACAGCCAAAGGCATAGCAGCTGATTTGAATACGCTCAAACGAGAAAGGCCATGAGGCGTTCTTGATTGGGGCTCGTCTGGCATCAAGCCAGTTTACCTACAACTATTCCTGGGGCCATGTACGACAGATTCTAATACAAGAGTAACAGCACGAGAGAAACCATTGGCGACTAAGTTTTTGGGTGGAAGTATCGGAAGCTGCGAGCACGGCTACATGTTGTTCATCCGGAATAAACATACTCTAACAGAGAATCATGTCCGTTCAACTCACCTCTTCACGCTGTCTTCCTTGGCCAAGTCAGACGTCCTTTCAACCCACAGCATATACAGTCGACTAGAGATTTTCAAGCGACTCAAGCGGGGAGATACTAGAATCAACGACGTGGATGTTTTTGGCCCTATGCAGTATTAGACGTTTGTTAGCCACAATCCTTCGATCCCCCGATCACATAGAGCAACCACCCGATGACGTGAAAGTGTGATATCTGGACTTGGCGTTGATTTATTTGGCATGTTAAGGTTATCTATATTTATGTCTGGGCGCCGTGGCACGTTCGCTTGGAAGATTGATTCGAATAGTTCTGTACCGATGATCCTTTCGACTAAATGCTTCGGGCCAGAAGCTCGAGATCTAATGGGTGTAATACGTAGCTAGGCTCATATTCGCCGCTCATATTGAATTTTGGGGGACAGATGTGAATATTACCACGAGAGAAAACAGTGATTGAGCTCTCGGCTTGGCATGACGATCTCTGACATGGCGGCCAGATGTTCTATGGTATTGGCATTAAACGGGAACAAACATGTCGTGCAGAATCAAGAACCACTTATGTGATATGGAATTAGAAAGGGAGACATCAAAGACCTTGCCGACGAAGTTCGCACTAAGCTGTCAACATCTTGTTGGCATTTAACTCCTCACTGCTTCTGGGATTGCTTTCACAAAACTTTCTATCTAATCTTACGCCAACGATTCCTCATAAACCCCGGCAGTCGAATTGTAAAGTATATCAATTGGAGTTATATCGAATTATTCTATTGAAAATATTGTTCACGTTCTCTCAATTGCTGCTTTTGTATCTCATCCTGACAGGATTGACTAGACTTACACAGCTTCTGGGGTAACTACAGATACCAAGAACAACGAGTATTGCTCAACACTACCTGGAACATTTACAGCTAGATTTAACGTTAGTTCGTGCATCTAGAATGGTACAAGATCTTCTTGGTAGCCGTTCAGAGACTCATTTAGAGTACATTGGGAACACGGAGCGCCCTGGGCGCCAAGGACAAGCCCGGAGAGGGCCAAAAGAGATAAACGCATCTTAAAAGAGTGACAGTGACCCGAAGGGATCCAGAATGACAAGTAATGGGTGTAACGAGCAGTTCCAATCGACATTCTCGCACACTAATCCTACAATATTTACCCCAACTGTGGAGCTGCCAAGGAGGAGTCTAAGCTGGCTCATGGCGGATAAATACAACGACTCAAGATTATTTGAACAGGCTTGGCATGTAAGCAATCGATGAGATGTCCACTCGGTAATAATTCAGAAGAGTGTTACAGGGAAGTCGGGCAAAAGAATCTAAAGTTGCCTGAACCGTATGCGCATATGTAGAGCGCATCACAACATTCACCATCGGTCGCATATTCAGCTCCTTAAATGCAGCCCTGCACTCTCCAATTGCATCTAACGTACCTCTGACTTGGGATGCACACAGTAAGGTGCTGAATAGGCCGTTGTACGATTATCCAAGGTTTCTCCTGGTTCGGCGCTTGTGGCTTGAAGCAATTTGGAGTTTGTTGAGACAAAGCCATGTCCACTAGTCACTGAACACCTAAGAGCTTTGAAACTATACTAGTATTTAGCTAGAAACAGCATTCAATTTTACAGCTTCTTGGTTTCTTAGGTAATTTGATCGACCAAGGCAAGCCGAGAGTTGTCTGACAGCTCGTCTTTTCTTAATATTTATAGGACAACGTCAACACCACCACCCCCTCTTAGCCAAGAATAATTTTTTGTCCCTTTTTTTTTTATTTAAAATATTTATAAAAAAATTTGGGGGAGGTTTTTTTTTATTTTTATAAAAATACTAAATAAAATCGAAATCGAAATCAAGCAAATAAATGAAAATAAGGGTGGCCTCATGTTTCGGAATGTCCATCATGGCTCGCACTTTGAAGAATTGTAATACTGATACTTTGTAGGGCTTTAGCCAGTGATCTTAAGGTTAGTGCAATATTTACCCAAAATCTGGCAGCTGCAAGACAATAGACCTGGTGACTTATTCTATTAGGGGCCAATAAGTTCTTAGCTTAGACTGTTTTGCACTCCCAGAATACATAAGACTTAGAATCGAGTTGCGGAGTACTGCTCATAAGTTATTAAATATTCTATCGCTATTCTATCGTTATTCTATGCGGGATATATCTCTATCGCTTCGTTTCGTGATGTAATAATTCTAAATCTTGGCCGCTTGTGCGAACTCAGAGCTGAAAGGGTAAGTAGTGTAACCATCCTTCTCGCCGGCATTGTAGAACTTGTTGCGATCGTACGGCGTCAACTCAATACCCTTCTGGACTCTAAAGGGCAGATCAGGTGTAGAGATGAAGTATCTACCAAACACGATCACAACATCTCTATCCTTGTATTCCTCAGCAGCTTCCCTAGCGCTATCTGCTGTGAATCCACCAGCGAGCAGGATGGGCGATGTGTTGTTCCATGCCTCAATGGCAAAATCAACCTTCTCCGTGGCCTCGGATTCGGCATTACCGCTGATACGAGACTCGACGAGGTGGAGGTATGCAAGCTTTAAAGCCTTGAGCTTGTTGACAACATCGGTGAATTGAGGTACGGGATCCGTCATGCGCATACCCTGGAATGGTGACCAAGGTGAGAGACGGATGCCAACATTATCTGCGCCAACGGCATCAACAACAGCGGCGGAAACCTCAATAGCGAAACGAGAACGGTTCTCAATGCTGCCACCATAAGAGTCGGTTCGCTGATTCGAATTATCCTGAGTGAACTGGTCGATTAAGTAACCGTTAGCGCCGTGAATCTCGACACCATCAAAGCCGGCTTCGATGGCGTTGCGAGCGGCTTGAGCGTAATAAGCAACGAAGTTCTTGATATCTTCTTGAGTCATCTCCTTGGGAGCGGGCTTGCCCTCCTCGGGAATAGCACTGGCTGACTTGATCGTAACGCCCTCGGCCCTGGATGCCTCAGGGTCCGCAACACGACCAAGGGCCCACAGTTGCATGTAGATGAAACTCTTCTTCTCATGAACTGCATCGGTGATCTCTTTCCACGCAGAGACCTGCTCCTTGCTGTAGATACCAGGAACATTGGAATATGTACCGGCTTCTTTAGACACTAGGGTAGCCTCTGACACAATCAGCGTGCCAGGGACTGAAGCACGTTGCGCGTAGTACTCCTTGACGAAAGGAAGGGGAACGTGATTCTCGTCGGCTCTGAAGCGAGTTAAAGGAGCCATGGCAATGCGATGCTCCAAGGTAACATTGCCTAGCTTGAGAGGCGAGAATAGGCGTGAGCTCGACATTATGAGATATATTTGCGAGTGATCTTCGGCTTGATACTTTGTGTACGTGTGGTGATTCTGACTGGATATCAACTTACCTTCAGTGGCTGTCTACATGTTATATACGGACTTCTACGGAGTAAACGAACAGCCAGGAACCATTATTAAGCACGAAATGACCTCATTGAAGACTTTTCTATGGCTTTCTTGTGAAATGGAGCTATTAATAAGTGGGTGCTGAATCTTGTGGAGATGCACCCCACTGTATCTAGCTTTTGTCAAAGTCGCCTCCAGATTGCAAAATTCCGGTGATTATGAATCGAGTAAAACGTGACCCTGTTGAAGTTGTACAACTGATGACTCGTGATGAGGCTGATGGTGTTGATTAGGAAGCAACCATAAATGGAATCAAGCCTTTGTGTCAGACAGCTTTGTGGGGTCATATGCGGCGGACAAAAAGTGCCCGACTTGCAGCATCCCGATGTCGGTCCAATGCGCGAAAACAGGCTTGCAACTATCGTGGGTCGTTTCACAGATGCATTGAACGAGACCGAAATCGTTCACGTCGCTGTGCGAATATTTTCATGTCCAAACTTTCTACAGGGCGACTCAAAAGTTCTGTCTAACCTAGAACAATTGCCCTCACAAGGACTCCAATTTGCAGAGTACACTATGCCGAGTTTGCTCCGCTATGCTGCTGTTGCATACCCACTTAAACGGTCTTCGAAAGGTATGTACTTGGTAACTTGGTAGGTGTGTGGTTTGTTTTCTGCTATACGGATCGGTAACGCGATGAATAATCAAGCACTGCCCGGCAGTTATTTTCCCCGCTAGTCATAGCGCAATAACCGCGGCTCGCAGGTGATTCATGATCACCACCTCATTTTCGTTTCGCACAACTGCATACGTTCTAGGTTAACGAATCTAGCACGCTCCTCATATCACCTAGAATTAAAGGGATAAGATCATGTCTTAAGTTCTGGAGAGTTAGCCCATTGACTAAATTAGAAATGGTATAGCTCAGTCGAGGGCGCCAGCGGGTATCCGACAGCCCGTCATCTCATGTTAGAATGTCGTGAAAATAGTCCAACGCAATGTTGCGGTCTAACATCCAACAACAGCTGAAGGTACGAAGAGTCAGTAGCCAGAGTCTTGTCCTCAAGACCAAGCACTTCAAAATTGGCGAAGCTCATAGTTGAACTTTCTTGACATTATGGCAGCCTTTCGTACTCAGGCATACTCAATTCTCACCTAACACATTCGACATCGCTATTATAGGCTTGAACGGTAGATTCTGAGCTGAGTAGTAAGGAGACCATTTCCCCCCAAAGACAGAGTATGTTGATTAATCGTAGGCTTGTCGGGCTTACCATGACATTGTCGGCTTTGCGCTTGACTCCCAAGACGGTAACAAGATGACTGCCCATCTGGCACCTTAAGAATGTTGTTGATTGAAATATAGTCGCTCTTATACATACTGGTTATGAAATGAACAAAGATTCGGCCCAATCCTGTACAAGCTGATGTTTCATATATTCGCTCAGAATATATGCTGATCGGTCTCTTCTGTGCTCGGCTACCTCTGCTCATGATCTAGCCAACCTAGGACCTATTCCGTCTATCAATAGCCTACCACAGTAACAGGACAATGGATGTAGCGCGATCAAGGCCGAACCTGGTTCGCTAAGTCAGAATGAACGAGCGGCGGTCCGTTGATTTGCAAGAGCGGATGTACAAACGTCATGTGCAGATTTGGGTGACTGCGACTATCCTTGAGGCTGCCTAAGCTGCTAAGGGACGATGGTTATGACATCGAAGTCGTTGATCGGTTCTCATCCTCAAACTATGAAACTAGCAATGCTGAATAAAACTTGCTGGCCACAGTTATTGCGGTAAACATGGAAGCGGGTGCGGAGGCCACTTGCTGACAAGTCAATTGAGTTTGTGACGAAACTTGGGTCCAAACTACTTAAACTCTGCTTAAGAAGACGCTTTTCAGCATTGTGTTCGAGGGGTTTGATGAACCCTTTGCTTTCACTAGTCAGCCCAATCAAGTCAAAGATCCCCAGCGGTGAAGTTGTTGGCGGGTTTTATGCCGATCATTAACATACACCGGAGATCACCCAATTCCGGCTCTCCGGCCAGCTATCATGTGGACATTCGCGCTAGCGCTATCGTGGCGTCGCGCCGGTATGCTTCCATATGGGGAGAGCGCGTTTTATATCAACGTGATAGCGAATTGAGCGACGACCCACGGCCATTAACAACCGTTATACTTCAGCTAAAGTGCCCACGGACACCATCTGGAGAAGCGATGACGCGGACCATCGCTCCAGTGCTAACCTTTCGAGCTATGGCATTGCCTAGATGCCAACAGATGGGATCAGCTTTAAACTCCAATAATCCAGATTTCCGTCTGGAATATTACATCTAACCTGTCTCTTAATCAGGCTCCGGGCACCACGGCCTTGTTTCGCATGCCCCGGAAGGTATGATATTATACACCGTCTAGGCGCGTTACCGATGGCGGTTGCACCTGATGGAGGGTCCAAGTTCTGTTGTCTCATTGCCTAAGGACGATTCCTATGTGCCTGAATGCTTCGTACGTCAAAAACCGCCAAAAACCGTCGCTCGTCGCCATCCTAATGCAATTTTGTAGGCATGGTACACTGTGGGAGTTCTGGTCATCCTATTACGATTCGCAACTCGTGTGCGTACTGTCGGTCTCTCCGGGTTTCGCGGCGATGACTATTTGGCGATCCTCGTAGGTATTCACCACACTTTTGTTCGCTTAGGGGTAACTAATGTCCGCCAGTACATTGCTTTATACACAACATGTATCATCATTGTCTACGTCACGTACTACACCGGTGCCAGCCTGAATATCGACCCGTCCAAAGTTGACCTTTTGACCGATAATGATATTCGAATACTTGTTATGGGATCGCGAATCGAGTATGCTTCGTTTTTCATCTATGTGGGATGTATATGTAAGACACAAAGCATACATGGGCAACTCTCTTGCTAATAACTAACCAGGGACCTTGAAATTCTCTGTGCTATACTTTTATAACCGCATTACACTCGGCGTGCTACGACGAAAAACAGTTATGTTCTTGTGGTGGTTCTGCATTGGATCTTTCTTTGTAGTTTGCACCACCGCGCTATGTTCCTGCTACCCGTATGTGTCTCGAGGCGGAGCTAGTGTGTCCTGTGATGCTAACGATGTAATAGGGTACAGCGCAATTGGCAGGTCAGGCCGCTACCCAGTGGGAACTGCACATACAGGCCTCAGAACTTTGTGGTCCTTGCGGTCTTCAACGTTTTAAGCGATGCAGCATTGATGTCAATCCCGATTCCCATCATGAGCCATCTACGTGTGACAACACGCCGCAAGATAGGCATCTCAATATTGCTCTCATCCGGCGTATTCGTCATATCCACCGCTGTTATCAGGGTGGTGCTGACTCTGATTGGAGAACCAACGATCATCACCATTAACCTCTGGGGCTTCCGTGAATTAGGTGTAGGACTCATTGCTGTTACTGCTCCAATTGTTTACCCAATGTTCACCCCTGAGTTTTGGCGCGCCGGACCCTATGTTCGCCAAAACCGACGGAATATACTTCAGGCTTCTTTGAATATTTCCATTGGCAGCTTCAAAGACGACAACGACGTTGGAGTCCAGCTGCGTCCCAGCAAGAGCTGGCCAAGTCAACCTCGGAAAGCTTCTAGTGCTTATCATAGTAGTCTCCAAGATATCGATATAGAATTTGATCTTAACAGCGATGGGGTGGAAACAATAGCATGCAAGGATATGATTTGAATCGAAAATCCATGCTCAAAAGAATAGTCCTGGGTGATCCGTTTAACGTCATGTTAACAAAGGCTGAGTTCCCAGATTTTGACGCAAAGCCTCATCGATAAAATCGGAAGATGCATGTTTTGATTCATTTTTGTCCGTACAAACCCACATGTAAAATAACATTCGCTTCACGTAATGCATAGGGACTTATGCGGTTGATGTCAGCCAGGTTTCCTACCCACTGTCTGTCCATGTTTGAGTGCGAGGCCACAACGTCTCAAACGGTTCTCACACGATTTCCCCATGATTATCCCGACTTGACTCAACCCTTTTATATAACGTTTTTACATTGTCTTTTCCAAGCGCCCAGAAGATTCGCCCTGCTTGTGGGAGTTGATTCCAATATTTCTGGATGAGAAAATCTGGCATGGAAGTCTTATGTGTCAACGAGCTTGAAGGGTGCATAAGTGAAAACAAGTTACTGCGAAAACAGCTAGAAAATTATTTCGGATTATACCAATATCTTCAAAGTTGTATCTCGTATCGAGACCATATGCCAAAACTTCTTGCATTGAGAGGCAAAATCAGGAAAAAAAAAAAATTGACAAAACACTTCAGGTAACGATGCGGAACGGTCAAGCAATGAATAACCAGCAAAGGAAAATTCCAGCTGGGATTCAAACGGTACCAGCATCTCATCCTAGTAATCCGGGTTTTGAGGATGGAGTTGGAAACAAAGACATATCATTTTTGCTGTCAACACTAAGCTAATCCAACCTCAAGAGATAGGGAGGCTAGGACCAATGCATGGCTTAATGGATTCGTTTGACTACTTATCGCATGTCACAGATCTTGGGCCTCTCAAGAGTCCGTGCTAACTAATGAACATGTTACTCTTGTACATAGAATTTCTTGGCCGAGGCTTGCTTGGCGGCTTCAACCCTATTATCAGATTACTACTGTCATGAAACCTTGGGTAGCTTTGTACACTTGAAATTGGTGCCGGGTACAGTTCAGCCTCAGGTGAACGGTCACCAGAAAGCTATAGCCAAGGACGTCTAGTCCTAGTCGAATCAACAGTTGCGCAGCAAAAGTCGCTATAGTTGAGCTATTTAGCAATATGGGACGCTGAGTGCTTGGAGTCATACATTGCAGACTGGGTTCGTTCTTGTCTCAGTTCACAGCAGCTCAAACACCTGTCTTGTAATTGCCGCCCCATCCATCACGCCATGTATGTAACCCTCTCCCAGTGACTTGTAATAGTGCTTGGCATCGTCCGGTGTCACGCCAATCTTCTGGCGCTCACCATACTCGGCACCATCGCTTCCGTGGTCATTGGTTCTACTGCCGACGGGCAGATCCGACTACACTGGTCTGTCGTCGTCGCCCAACCTCCCCAAGATGTCTCCTCCACCCAATTCTTCGAGAAGTGCATCAACCACTTCATCTTCGGGTATATCTGATGTTCCAGCTATTTGTTTCTCTTCGTGCCCTGTTTTTTCCTCTCGTCCACCCACCCGTCCATCCTCCTGTTAATGTGGCTGGTCCGGTCTCTGATTTCGGACGATTTCTCATATTCAAGCCTGTGCAGTGAACACTGTACTTTTTCGCACAATCTATATCATCAATTCAACCTTGTCCTCACGCCGCTCATTTTTGACTGTCTATGCCCTCTTTGCTGCGGACCTTTTAAGATCACGGCCAGCGTACAGCTGTAGATGATGCATACATCGTCGCCCTCTCTAATCTCCCTGCTAGCCAGTCCCGGGTCCCTCCTTTGAGCTTGATAAGGGACCCATTAATAGGACTGCTTCAACATGCCTGCAGAACTTAGCGGTGATAGAGATTTGTTCACTGTTTATTAAGGCAGTCGTACCTACCGAACTACTCTTGAGACCGTTCTCCAGATAGACTTTTACAACGTCTTGGCGAAGTAGTATGGGGGATTACGATTGTATTTTTCACAATCGGGGATTGAAGTTCGCCAGAACTCTGGCGGTGGCTATGTGGTCATATCCATGGCTTTGGGTTAATATCCAACCTTGGTCCATTTGTGGTATAGGGCCACCTTTGGGCGGCCGTGTGACCACTCAGACTTTGGCGAAGATGAAGCATTCCACGTACAGACTGTAATGGCCAAGCTCCGGTGGTTTGCAAAATTTGACTGTGGGCATATCCACATGCTTCGTTGGGCTGGCACTGTAGTTTCTATGCCCATTCTGTGGGACGCCGACGAGTGGGTTGGCATTCTTCCGCCCCATCTTCACGATGTGTGCATGGCATGATGTGAGAATAGAGCGCATGGGGCACCTTTAATTTACGCAATGCAAGAGGAAAGGGGTGATGGCTCTTGACAGTTATTGTTTTTGATTTTTGATGAAGATCCAGTCGAAAAAGTCGACCTCAACAGCTAGACGATCCTCGTTGAATTCAGCTTCAAACAGTTCGCATTGAATCGTGGTGCTCTCTGGGACCCTGGCTTGAAGGCGAAGCAGACGGATTGTCTTCTTCATACTTGACAACGGGCGTATTAAAGCTTCCCAATGATTTTGATGCTGTTGTGTTCAAGGCGCATAACTTAGATCTCTGCTCACCATTGACCACGGCTAACAACTGGTATTCATCATTCTTAATGGGCATGACTCCGGGTGGACTTGGCTCTGAAGTTAGGATGATTTATTGAAGAGGAAGAAACAGAAATGCGTAGAACACAAGCAAGGTTGAAAATATAGAGGCTCCTGGTTTGAGAAGCGCGATAGACTGCAGGCCAATAAGGCGAGAAGCGCATCCTCGCTGCACGACCTACCTTAGCGGCCTGTTGTCCAGGTCAGTGGCTTCGGGCCCCACTGCATTATCACATGAAGCTGTAAAGATTTGATGTGTAGAGTTGAGACATAATTGAAGCCAGGATCGCAACGATGTTTTATTGAACTTGGGCCGCTTGGTGGTATCCAATCGTTGCTTACGGGAGTGTGCATACTCATCTGTAGGATTTATGCAAACAACCCAGACAATATTGTTGAAGGGGTCCCCCCCCCCCCCCCCCCCCCCCCCCAAAGGATTCGCGCTGTACTAAATAGCACAAGAAGCCCAATAGCACAAGAAGCCCAATAGCACAAGAAGCCCAATAGCACGATGTGGTGAGGCTGGAGTCCTGGGGTATACATGTTGTGATGGCATGAACAACACGAACGAGAAATTACGACTAGGCCAGGGTCTGGTAGCATTGATGGATCCCTTGCTCCCATTCTACACACAACCGTTGCATGATTAAGCAGCTTCAGGCTCTCCCATGGTGTATCGGAGCGAGAAGGTAGGATGTTCAGTCGCCTAACCAAATGAGGTCGTAGCCATATATCCACGGGTGCACAAAGTCGTGACCATATTTTGAGCTGTGGACCTTGACTGCACTAAGAGCGAATTCTAAGAAGACCAAACGGGAATGACTGGGTGGCGGCCAGCACAGTTGTTCTTTATGGATTCCCTCGGTGAAAGCTCAACCAAGTAGAAACTCTTGGCGAAGGTTGAAGAGTTGCCGCTTATTTCTCACACTGCCGGACCGGATAATCCGTGACCCGTCACGCAGCACACCCCCCACCGCTAGCAGCAGCAAACTCCACCAAAAAGTTTTCGAGCTTTTGCTCTTCGAGTCTGGACAGGCTATCACTCGGAAAACCACCCAAACAAACCAAAGCAACCATTTCAAGCCGTCGGTCGCACTTACTCAATTCCCACTCGCCGATCCAACAAAACCTGCCCAAGATGCATTTGATGTACGTCCTCGACGCCAGTGGTAAGCGTACCTACACGCTGAAGAAGGTGCTGGACGGAGAGGTGACCAAGTCGGCGCACCCTGCACGTTTCTCCCCCGACGACAAGTGGTCGCGCCAGCGCGTCACACTCAAGAAGAGATACGGGCTCTTGGAACTCGCTGATGGTGAGTTTCGCTTTGCTTTCTGACCCTTCTCTGTCTTGTTTCCCGCTGCTACTGCGGGAAAGAACTGAAAGAAAGAACGAAATGCTGATATGAAGCCATTGGGGAAAAACTAGACTCCAACAAGAAGCCTGCTACTCTCTCATGAGCAGCAACTATCTAATTGATCGAAAGCCGCAATGGATGACAAACAAAGACTTGGAAGCGACAGGATGGCTTGGTGCTCGAACACATAGAACAGCTGCGATTTGTGTAGTGGAGGGCGCAAGAGAGGAATCGTAAGCAGGACTCTTTGGTGTGATTCTGCATGGAATTGGCGTTCAGGGCGCGAATGGAACAAAAATCTGGATGTGTTGAAATTCTCTCTGCTGTGCGCAGGACAAGCGCCATAGCATATTTTTCTTGGCTTGCGGTGGACGGCTCAAATACCCCATGGCAATGTCTACTATCAATCAAGATGCAAGAAGATATCTTGTCTGGTCATCAAAAGTGTCATGCATTCGTGGTATCACTGTCTACGGAGTGTACGGCTCTTCTACTTCTAATTCCTCTTCTTCGAGTTCACATTGCGTCCAGCACCCACCTTTATCCTGCCTGGCCCGTTCTGCCTGTGTCCCGTCAAAATACCCGGCAGGTAATCCTCGTCCATCAAATCCCGCTGCCGTAATCTCTTGTCGTTTTCAGACCTTTGGACATACTCCTTCTGGTCCTCGGCGAGGATCAGGTCCCGTCCCCAACCATTCTTACCACCACCTTGTCCCCTGTACTTTCCATTGGATGTACCATGGGTCGGCTTTGGTACACTGTAGACGGCACCCCTGTTGTTGTACTGGAAGTTCTTCTTGAGATAGACCTGGAAGTTGCCGCTCTGATCTGTCGAGCAGCTCACTCTGGTAAGGGTAGCCTGCCCGCACGTGGGGCAGAACTGTTTACTCATATTGCGGGTGATCTGGAAGCAGCCGTGGCAGCGCTGGACCCATGTCTTGACGCGAGTGATGCGGGCCATGCTGGGTGATACGAGGTTGAGGTTGATGCGCAGAAGGACGTTCTGCATGGCGTAATCTGAGGTGAGAAGAGCCACCTGAAGGACCTTTTGGATCGGTTGTTCTGGTGCCGACTGTTGGTCCTTGTCTTGATGCTTCTTCAAGTTCGATGGTGTGATCCAGCCATCCTCATCCTCATCATCATCTGGGGCTGTTTCCTCGGTCTGCTCAGGTTGTATCTCTTCTGGCGTGATGTCCTTCTCCGGTCCAAGAGTCAGGGTGTCCAGTTGATGTGTTACAGCTTCTTGCGAAACTGCAGGTTCAGTGCTCTCAGTGGCTTGGGTGGCCTCGGTCGCTTCGTCTACAGGAGACCGGGCGGGTGCTTCTACTTGTTCTGTACCACCCCGAGGTGTTTCCCCAGACAGCTCTGCAGGCTTCAACAGGCCCGTATCCTGATCGTTGTTGTTATTGTCGCTAGTGGTCTCTTGTTGTTTACCCTCGGCCTCCTCTTTCGCAAGCTGTGCTGGTGATTTGCCATTTGTCCTCTTCTGGTTCGGCTCCTTGCGCAACCTCCAGTCTCCACCATTGCGTTCGCACTCCAGCTCGTATGCGAGAGCGATCAGGTGCAAATCTGGTCTGCTCAAAACCTCGAGATCACCAGTGCGCCGTGCAAAGTCCTGTACGAACTTGACGCTTTCGGGCTTGGGGCTGCGCAGCTTCAGGAAGGGCAGCAGTTGCGTCTCAACTCGTCGTCGTGTTTCGACATCTTTGATTTCGGGAAGGATGGATGGCAGTGTGTATAATTCTTCGGCTTGCGCCAGAAGCGTACTGACTGGAGGGTCGTTCTTGATGAGAGGGCCGGTATCGATGATGAGAGCATGGATCGGTTTCCAGGTACGTGGGGCCTCTTGTTGAGAACCAACCGGCTGTGACTGCACCTGCGACGCTTCTGTCGCTTGTTGGGGCTCTGTATTCTCCATCGTAGCTTGGAATGCCAACAGGATGTGCTGTCTGGAGGATTTGATGGTGGGGTTGAATCTCGAGTTTGACGCCCAAAATTCGCTACAGTATTGGCGGGGGGGTGACATTTGAAAATTTGAGCGGTGGCGGCTGGCAGAAGTACATGACACTGGTGTATTGCCAGATTATTAACCCAAATTTAGACTAGACTTAGACTGGACTAACCTAGACTAACCTTAGTTGCTTATACATACGCATATGTACTTAAGTTACTCTAGACTAGATCTAATTACGAGAGCAATCAAAAGCGCCATGCCCACCTCACTATATGAACTTTGCAATGAGACTGTTCGTTTTGTCCAGTTAATCAGACTTGTTACACTCTAGAGGTATCTTGTTCTTCGCGTCTTAGCTCGCACGATTCTTAAGAAGCATTACAAGCCCCTAAGGTGCTCGACCATTTGCCCAGTGCTAGCGGTCAACGACGACTCTTGTTCCTTCCACGAAACAGTCCTGGTGTGATGCCTATGCTTCTCCCTGCCGCCAATCTTCCCGGTCCAGAGTTCGTCACCGCCTTTGCTGAAGCTGATATCGCAGAATGCATCAAACTGCTACTATGAACATTGTGAAATCTTCTGCCCCGTTTAGAAGAGATCCATTATCCACGTACCCGCGCTACTAACCAACGCCGCGATTTGGCGAGAACCGAAATCATTGTCGGCAGTCGACATGCACGGCCCCCGTGGTACAGTGCCCTCCCCCTCCCCACCACCCAAGCTGTCCATAAGTGAAGTGCGCTTCATGAGATATTGCCTGCTATTCCAAAAACACGCCTTTTGGACACTGGGTCGAGCTTTATCCATAGAATTTGCAGTAACTGGTGGAATGACGAGACGAGTAGCGGTCATCACAGGCGGTTGTAAGTGGCCGGAGACTCCTCTCGGCTGTGAGCCATTACCTTTACGGCTTATCTGCTGACACTTTCGCACATAAGCAAGTGGCATAGGATATGCGGCCGTGCAGGCGCTGATTGCTAGAGGCGGATGGCGAGTACACATATTTGACGTCGTTGTACTGGAAGACGATGTACATCCTGACATCGTCCCACATCGAGTCAGCGTCGTTAACTACACTGAGCTAGCTGCGGCTTTCAAGTTGGTATTTGAGCAGAGCGATAACAGATTAGACTTTGTCTTTGCTAATGCCGGGATTCTTGAGCGCGAGAACTGGTACGCAACGGCAGCGGAACTTGATGAACCGCCTCCGGAGCCCAACTGGACGGCACTGGATGTCAATCTCAAGGGCTGTATGAACACGATCCGCATCGCCCGTCATTACATGGCGCGATCACCCGAAAAAGGGTCGATTGTTGTCACGAGTAGCAGCGCAGCCATCTGGCCATCCGAGTTCACTCCAGTCTACACCGCCTCCAAACGTGAGTCACAGAAATGAATTTCCAATGTATTTCGCTAACGTAGTCAAGATGGCGTGGTTGGCTTCATGCGCAGCATTGCTGATTGGGTATGTCATTCATTTGATCTTTGCAAGTTGGCTTAGCAATATTCCCTGGCTATGAGCTTACTGTATCTTTGGCAGTATTACCAGTGCGACGGCATCCGCGTCAATGCACTATGCCCAGGCGTCGTGAGAACGAGAATATTGCCCGAAGCAAGCTGGAATGGGTTCCCGGCAGAGTCATTCACGCCCATGGAACTTGTGATAGGGATTGTCTTGAAGTTCGTTGACGGGGAAACAATTGTCGATTCGAACGGGAAGTCAACTGACAAGGATCACGGTGTTACGGTTGTACCGAGCGGCCAAAACTTCTACCTGAACGAGGTACCCGAGTACTGCAATGATATTCACAAAAGCATGGTAGAAGCAGGGAAAGTTAAGGAGCAAGTTAGTTTAATCTGAATTACATTGGTCGCGATTTGACTAGTTGGGCCGCACTTGGTAGTATCGTCAGTGATGAGATATTCCAAAAGCTGCAGCACCGACTTCTTAGCATCCCAGTGGCATACACCCCCGTAGATATAATTCCAGTAGTTAGCGCCTCTCATCCCGTGGTCTCCGTTGTCTTTGTAACCTACGTCTGGCCAGCCCCACCAGAAATACTCCCGATCCTCTCTCTCAATCTGACCTCTTGTAGTCATCACGTATGAGCTTTCTCATTGTATTTCAACGATCAGTTCATCGTTACTATTTTTCAAGTCATCGTCAAAAGACTTCCGTTGCCTATAAAGTGGTCCTTCGGGATGTAGCCGTTCGCATGGACGTCACTATGGCCAGTCGCCTCAACAAAGACGTAACACTTCGAAGCAAGCTTGCGCATCTCGTAGGCCTTGGTCGAAGAACTGTATTCTTCCTCCTCCTCGTCCGGTAAATGAACTTGGCCTTCGTCGTGTGTGCCTAGGCCACTGAGTTCACCATCATAACTCGCATCGCACATGCGGATAATATATCGCCTGAAAAGGGTAGCATCGGCGATTTCTATACCTCCTATCCCCTTCTCTTGTCCTTTAGTTAAAACCTCGTACTTTTTCTAAGGACACAATAACCCTCTTAACGTCGCTGAAGCTGAACATTAGAAATACCACGCGGCTTGTCACCTTTGAATGTTTTAAGTCATAAAAGGGATTGTCAGTTTTAACGAGTTGTTTTATAACCCAGAAAACCCTAAACTAGGTTACTGAGTGGTGGTATAACGGATCAACCCTTTAACTACGATGATACGGAATGGTTCCTAGGTAGATCATGATGTTACCGCAATCGGCAAGCTGAATTACTTTTTAAACGATTGAATAATAATATGCCTTGCTCAAAGAACTGCGAGACGTCGACGTTAGGCAACAAAATAATAGAAGAACCTTCGCACGTATTAGTCTAGTGGTACCGCGCTATTGCTCCAGATCCAACAATTTCTCGTTTATGGTAGAGATAGACTACAAACCAACATCGCGTACGAAGAGTGTACACCTATGTTGTCGTCATTCGGCGAATCGAACTCTGGCCTGGATCACAAAAGAAGTGTTGTATTACATGAGACACAGTACTGCACAGCATGGCTTCATTGGACTAGTCTAGGTATACTATCCACGCTCTGGATTGGCCGCTGAAGCCTAACCTTAGGTAAATACCTAGCGCTGACCTGTAATCCACCAAGAGCCTACAGCACCACTTTAACGAATTAGCAGCTGCGCATTAGGTGTGTTCTACTGGAATGTTTTTATATTGGCAATCATGTGTCGAGGAAGTTTCTCGAAAGGAAATGGGGTGGAGCAATATCGCCACTTATTCAGGATACATTAACGGATATTGATTGTATGTGTGCTGCTGTACTAGGCAAGGTATATCTTGGTCAACTGCCACGACGTACTTTTCAAGTTGCAATTTGAGCTCTCCTCACTGACGATTCATCGACTGATCAAGAGCACCATTGCACACATTGAGGTCGCATTGTGACGAATTCTTCAGGCCTTGTCTGTATCAGGCACGACTCCAAGAGGATTCGGTTTCGCAACGTCGTATTACACAGAGTCGAACGACGGGTGGATTGCGCACTCGACAAGCTACCGACAGATCGGTACACTAGAAATGAACTCTAACGAGCTGAGAGGCTAAAGCTTCAGGCGTAAAAGTCGTGCGGAATATGGCCATGCCCAGAAGAAGCGTCGTAGGTAGATGAAGGGGAGAATTTCTGAAACTGAGCGTGGTGCGCCAACTTTCACATACCTGTCTAGAGATACTGTGACTCGCATGATCCGATATCATGATCTGCGTCAGGGATAGTCCCGCACCTGGCAGAATTTGGGATGTCACGGATGAACCCTGTTCGACAACGCGCCAGAGCCCTTCTAGACCCGGTGTGCTGCGCTCAAGAGCTAGGAGCTGAGACGGCTCCTCTAAATCCCTAACCTAACTAGGTTAACATAGTAAAAGAATGGCGGCCCTTGAAGTGCAAATCTGATGCTTGAGCACTTCAAGGTTGCGCAGGCATACACAGTATGTCGCATGTAATGCGGGGCTTAATATAGTGCCTATACGCTACGCAACAGCCTGAGATAACGTTATATAAATGGCTGTAGTACCAAAACCAGAAGGTCAGAATGAACCATATTTTACCGTATGGCTATGGCCAGGCGCACATTCTCGTGTCCGAATAATTCTGTCCAGTACGAGATTTTCGCCTTTTGATCTTCAAAACGTCAACTCGAGCAATAATTGGATGTGGCAGCAAGATCTCTCGGCCTTGGCACCCCCCCAACCTCCACGGACATGATGAGACGAGTTTCAGAACCAGCTCCTCCACTCGCTCACCATGGTTCCATGATGCTTGCTAAACACACAGACAAATTGGCCACGGAATCTGTCGCTAAAAGAGACCATCTTTTGTACATAAATAGATATCTATCGTTGTCGCAGATCTGATCCACGTCATGCAAATCATACAACTGTTCGTCAATCAACTACGATCAGCCGCTTCAAACTTAACAAACTGTCATCCACGCGTTATAACAGCAGCATCGTCGTCACTTCGTCGTCCCCTGGCATCGCTCTGGCCGATCTTTATTAGACAAATCCACAAATATGAGAGTCTTCAACATTCTCACGCTCGGTGTTGCCGTCGTCTCTGCAGCTCCATACGGATCTACCACCACATCTGTCGGTCAGACGGTACGATCAACAACAACAACGCTGAGTCCTGAAGCTTGCAACCAAGCATCAATCACCACATGTATGGCCACGACCGGACTCGATGGACCGTCGTGCTTCGTTCAAATCTGCACCAGTACATCAGACGCCGAGTTGAGGCGCCGCCAAGATTTCAAAATAGCACAGGACAATGACGACACGCCCGCGTCGTGCAACGAGGACAGCCTATTAGACTGTGCTGTAAGCCAGTGGAGGAACCCCGATATCTGCTTCCAGCAATTGTGTTTATAAGGCTATGTGCATGGTTGTGTCATGGGGACCGGACGCAGGGAGGCCGCGCCAGATCTACTACGGCTAGATATGATGCTTTACCAGTCTCGGCCAAATACGCCCATTCATATAAACGATCAGCGCGGCGCTTAGCATGGTCCGTTGAGGGACGACGAACCCTATTTAAATGTATTACTATAGTTCATATCTAGGTATGAACTGGATATTGGCGCTTAGAGTATGCGTCGCAGCGGTGGAGGACGGAAGGTCTTCACAAGAACCTGACTATAATATATTGCAGATTGGTCAGCGGGTTATATATACAATTGTCGCGAAAATCTATCTCTGCTCGATTGAGCCCCTAGCAATGTGACTTATGCTAATAGTAAGCAGCCACGAGTTGCGACTGCCTCGATCGCTTGGTCCTTATTGTGCAGTCGACTGAGAAAACTGTTTAAATACATTCATGGCTCAAAACCCTGCTTATAGCTTTTACACCTCTGGCATGTCCCTAAGACTTACGCATAACAGACGATTTGCAGATCTTATGAAGCTATATAATGTTGAGTCGTCTTTAACTTAAACTTTTGAATATATTGCAAATAAAACCAAGTTTTTGTCAATAAAGGAGTACTGGCCCAACGTCGTCTACCCCACGTTATCACCAAGGAATGATTGTGCTGCATTTGCAATATGCTTGACCCATGGTTCATAACCAGCTAAGCTGACACAGCCATGATATTTTGTGAACCTGTGCCAAACCCAAGTGCAACATTTGCACATCTGAACCGCCCTAAGGTCTTCCTCTTTTACGTAGTCAGAACCCTTGCGACCCCGAAACTTCCGCCAGCTATGGCATAAACACACAAATATTATGTACAGAAGTTCTTCAATGGAAATTCGTGAGATTCGTGCTCCAAGGGTCTCTGCTGCCATGACAGGGTGACCCTAGTACCGAAGCCGTGTCAGAGGCAGTGCCTAACCTACTCCTTGGGAAGCGTCGTAGCATCACTGATGGCGGCAAGCATCACCTAACAGCACCGGATACCGCTTCAATTTGGGTTGAGATTATCAAAGGTAAAAATAAGGGGCTGAACAATAAAGGAGAATCCGACCTTCATGAGATTAATTACTCAAGTGAACATCAGCTCTGAAGATTACCAGAATGGGATGCAAGTGCCACAGCTGGTATCAAGACAGCAGATGGCATGAAGTCGAAACAATAACACAGCTACCATTGATGAGTTGGGTGATATATACGAACGTGCTACGGGGCCATCGATCATGGCATTTCAAGTGATAGATAGTCTAGTCTGTGGAAACCCCCTAAAATGTGCATAACGGGGCAGCGCTAATCGCCCTGACTTCGTAGCATATTTACCTACATATGCTTCTATACTAGGCTGAGTTTAAGGAAGTAAAACAAGCCGATCCGTTGATCATAAGCAGTGGGTGTTGATGATTGGCTTGCGGACCTCTACGGAGCAAAGGAAACGCCTGATTCTCTTTCGATACCTTGATCTTGTACGAAGGAAAGTCGAGATTGAGAGCGGCAAGGGTTGGTGTATTCTCTAAGTAACCGCCCAGTAGCGATGCAGTAAGTTGTCCTAAAGTGGTAATGACTGAACCACAAGGCTTCTAAGTATTTTATTTTATTTTCGCAATTTAGTCATTCTTTATCGCTAGATTGGAAGTTTGGAATATGGTGAATGAGGTGTGCGGAATGAAGGGATGTAAAGGGAACACAGGGCTGTAACGTTTCTCTACAATATTGTACCCTGGTCAAATGAAACAATTAATAAGAATGGCTGCTCTACAAAAAGAGAATCACAGCTCAGATATAACCCAGGTTTTGGACTGATTTTCGAAAGCTCTCTGAGCAAGACTGAGCGGAAGTTGGCCCTGATCCTTGTTTTGCATGGAAAAGGAACAATCGTCGTACTCCCCTATTAAAATATATATTTACATCTCAATATCCTACTGATAAGAAATGTACCACTAAGAATACCAGAAGTTGGGACTCCAATTGACATAGTCAGGTGTGATCTGCTTGAGATCAGCAATACCAATGTTCGCGCCATCACCAGCAACCTCCCTGTTCATGATGTCAATAACCTTCTCAACACCCTCTTGGCCATAAACATTTGAGAACATGAAGGGACGCCCAATACCAACAGCCTTCACACCGAGAGACAGCAGCTTGAGCACATCCGTGCCGTAGCGAACACCGCCATCGGCGAGAATCTCAATCTCCTGGAAGAGCGAAGGGTCTTTCTCATAAATCTCGAGTGCGGCTTCAAGCGGCGAAGGTGAGCCATCGAGGTTGCGACCTCCGTGGTTGGAGAGGACGATGAGAGGTACACCATTGTCTGCCGCCAACCGCGCGTCAGCAGCCGTCAGGATGCCTTTGATACCAATAGGTAGTTTGGTCATCTTGCGGTACTTCTCGAGGTCGCTCCAGGTTTGGCGTACAAAGTCTTCGCTATCAAGAAATTAGTTGGTGGGTTATGGACATTCGTTGATATCCTCATGACTTACTCGGCACCAACGTCGAATCGCTGAGCTCGCTGGCGGCTAGAACCGCCCGGTGCATCGACTGTCCAGATGATGGCTTTGTATCCTGATGTCTCGGCGCGAGTGAACAGGTCTTGGTTGGCCGTGTCGTTATTGCTTAGTTTGAGCTGTGCGAACATGGTTTGGTTCTCTTGGGCATTCTTGGCAATAGTTTCCATTTTGAGACTTGAGTACCGCGAAGGCTGTTCCATCATGTTAGCGGTGTATCTTCACACAACGTGGGGAGCATCAACTAACAATGTATAGTACGTCGCGTGTTCCCGCACCCTTGACCAGGTTTCTTTCGGCCAAAGGGTGCCCTAAAGCGGCCTTTGCACACGGGCTGATGTAGAAAGGAGACGAGAAGTTGTAGCCCAAGATAGTGGTCCTGTTCATGTTAAGTCTCACAGTTATGTATCTTGAACATCAAAACCACCCACTTGAATGTATCTTTGATACCTGTGATGTCGATCATCATTCTAGGCTTGAATCTATATCGTTGGTACACCTCAAGGTTATTCCTATAGGACCATTCGCCAGCTGCACCATTGCGATAGTAGGTGTAGTTGACAATTGGCAAATAATTTCTTGCCGCCCACTCGAAGTCAGGTAGTCCGATCATATCTTCGAGGTCCGGCAGCTGGCCGACTGGGAAGTCATAGCCAATCGCATCGAGAAGACCAGTGTCTGGCTCGTTGAGGAACGGCCGAGCACCTAAAGCGCTAGCGATATAAGCCAGGAAAGCAATTGATTGCCGCATGGTGTTAATGAGTGACGTGCAGCGATCTAGGGAGCACGAATGAACGGATGAAGTGAGCGCCTTGGTAACACCGCTCTGAACAATCTTGATAGCAGACGGTGCAGATCTTATAGCACTTCTATGGCCCCTCACTCAGTACGATAACATGGCCAAGAGAATAGTTCACAAACAAGCCACATCCTACCTGGTGGGTTGCAATATTGATTCTGTGTGCTACTTTCAAGACACTCCCGCAGACTTGCTGCGGTGAAATCTTGTTTCTTACAATCCTGTGCTAGTTAGCGCTCTAGCTATCTAGTCAGGAGCCGTGGACCGCCGGTACGATACTTGGCGGCAGCTTGGCGGCATATGGGGTGGATCTCATCGTAGCCCGAACTTCTGTTCCGGGACAGGGCGGCGTTGAAATCCAACGGCCATCTGACCGGAATCGGATTGACCTGAAAATTAATTAGCAACGGGTGATAAAATAGCAGACCTCATTTCCCGTGCATTCTAGCCTCCATATATAAATCGATGATGTAACCCAATTGTGGCACACTGCCTGACTGTAGCATCCTCGCTTCCCGGCCGCTGCCGAGCCATAAACCTTTCCATCAATAACCATGTTTAGCCAAGATAATATTGACCAGAGCTGAGAGTTTCACAGCAGGTTCCAGGCCGCCCATAGGTCGTTCGACGTTACGTGCACCTCCTTAGATATTATGCTACTGCAGTTACTACAGACCTCGAGAAGAGCACCTAATGCAGTATTGCAAGCGAGCTGCATATCGCCTTGTATGCGCATACTGTGAAATTGTATGGAATCCTTTCGTGCAAGCGCAATATGACTATGTTTTCTGCTGCAAGACCGAGAGATGCGACGAAGTATGTGGCAAAACCATACCAACTGGAAAATAATTTCACGTTTAAGCGCTGTTAATGAACGGCTGCGAAGACAAGTGGGGACATCTATAGCTAACTTTAATTGACGGGAAATGACTGTCTCAATCTTCTCACGCTGCTCAGCTATAATGAACGTCACTAATGATTGCACCAGTTGCGAACACTGCCTGGGATCGTAGTGATATGGCGCCACAGTAGAGGCAGCCGCTTGGCATTGATAATGCGCCTTTAACTCAACACAGGGCGACCAGGAATAAAAGCCACAGGCGCTTTAAACATGAAAGTGTGCATATCGCTTCGAAAAGATCACATTCAAGCTGCATGAGTACTGATCGTCTGCCATCCCGCAAGCAATTTCTTGCGTGCTGCTATTTGCCACGGAGATCAAGCCCAGAATAAATTGGGTTTGGCTGCGCCAAGATTTACGTTTTGGGCAGCATGCGCGCCTCGGGAGTAGTCGAGATGCCCGAAGGATGGTTGATAGGTTGATGGGTTTCCTAAATATTCTATGTGATGAGCTTCTTGTACCAGGAACGCTCAGATGCTTCTCATCCCATACTCCTCGGGGCTTCGCTGTGCTCGAATGTTCAAGTATATACATCTCGCGATCATAATGGAGATGAGACACCCCGAATTGACATTAGACTAGTCCGTCGAACGAGTTCTCATGGCTCGCTTGCATGCGGGAGTAAGCACCATGCATGCAAAATGCAGGAGAGACACGCGAAAGGGTGTCTGTCTTGAGGCGAAAATGAGTCGTGTTGATTGGTCGCCCAAATAAGCTTAGATTATGCTGACCAGATTGGCGTTCAAGACCCATGAAGCTTGCCATATGGGGTATCATCGGACTGCCTCGGATATACACTTAACTAAGCGATAGAGTTCTTCTCGCTAGCAAAGTGAACCAGCAGGCTGCTTTGTCTCGTTACTGACTCTGCTCTGTTTCAACTCGCATAGGATGCACAGATTTAATGGCTATCTATCGGATCTAAGAACACTAGGATTCCTAACCTAGACCAAGACCACAATACGCTCTAAAGTGATATTAGATCGTTCGGCCCTAAGAGTGAGAGACACATTTTGCTGATAATAGCAAATTCGCGAAGAGACAGATAAGTGGACAAGCAATATTGTATAGTGCCAGTCAGCGGCTGTCAACTAACTTACATGCTAAACATAATTAATTTCAATTAGGTGTAGTTAGAGATATCTCTGGGGCACTTTGTGTCAAGTCTTTACGTTACCCTAACACCCGAAGTCAACGATGAAGGTCTTGCCCCAATCATCGGTCGAGGATCTTAAGTCCACAACTATTCCTTGGGATCTGTCCATGACTTAACGCAAGATCCCGAGACCGCATTCAGCGAAAACAAGCTAATTACGGCCTGGCCCTTATTTTATGGCATGATCTCTAACCGCGAACAAATTCTCGAGCTGTGACGAAATCGTGGCCTTGTAGATAAGGGATGCTTAACAATCTCGTGTCGAGGATATCATTTGTGTCATGACCTTTTACCACAGTCGCGTGCCGTATCAATTAACCTAGAACTATTGGAACATGGCGACGATAATTTGGCGGGCTGCCAGGATTCTAGGACGCCGACAGAGCCATTCGCGCCGAATTATCCATCGCTTGGTGATATCGAGTCATCGTCGTCCGGCAGGATTTTGAACACTGGACGAATTTTTGACGGTATGATTCGTGCCGGTTGCATCGGTCGGCATAGGATGTTTGAGTGTAGGGTGCACTGCCCAACTGTGTCTATCATGTGTGCTTATGGAAATGGTCCTTCCCAGTGTTCTTGGTCGATGGTCGTAGAGGAAATCGTCAACGCCCACCATTTGCTGGTACATATGCACAAAAGTGGCCATGAGCCTTCAAATTGAGTAACACCACGGGAAACTAGATCATCAAAAGTGAGGCAGACCTATTGTACTCGGGATTCTGCGCAGGTCTTTGCACAATGGAGGATGTAGACTTGGAAGGCTTTACCGGAGTTTACACACAGGGCGTAGTTGTTGGAGGCCACGTTGCACTAAGGTTAGTTAGGTTAAGTCAGTGTGGTAACTACTGATTGAATCACTGTAAGGTCCGATCAACGTGGACTGGCCAAACAGCGGGCAGCGCAACCATGAACGTACTGCAAGTCAAATTCTGCAATGGTTTCCAGTGGCCACATCACCTGCGACGTTGTAGTTGCGAAGCTATAAAGGTGCTGCGCTATGAGGACCAGTGCAAATTTTCTACTTTATTCATGGTCGGACGCAGTCTACCTAACATTCAATGGAGAGGCGCTCTATGTACCCTGTACCACTGCGCGATTCCCAGCAACTGACGCTACTCACACGTGCATGCCCTCCAAGGTTTGCCGTCGTCTCATTGGATATCGAATCTGTAAGAAATAGGGTGTACGCCAACTCCGAGGCAAACCGGAATTAATATGCTCAATTAGACATTTAAGACGAGATCAGGAACTCTGTTCCATGTTTCGTTTGTGCATTCCAATTATCTTTTGTCAAAATCCGACACAATGGTTTCTAACTCAGCATGTGAGTAGAGCTCTTGTACCTTAATGCCATCTAGAATGACTAGTAATACCGATCAGCTCCTAAGCATTTCGGTATCCTCTTATATCCTGGCTTCGAAGCTCTTGATGCTTTTGGGCCGATGGAAGTGATCAATGATCTCTCCCGAACCCACGAGATAACTCTATCAATCATAGCCGGGACCCAGGATCCGGTGTCGACAGCATGGAAGGGCATCCACCGCGTAGGACAGAGCGTCGTCCCAACGCATTCATTTACGAATGCCCCTGAACTTGACGTCCTCTTCATCCCTGGTGGATGGGGAGGCTTCGAAACAGGCGCACCTACCCTCGATTATTTACGCACAGTCGGCCCAAAACTTGGCCATCTTATTACTGTCTGCAATGGTGCGGCGTTGGCGGCGCAGACCGGCATTCTCGATGGCAGAAGGGCAACGACGAACAAGGCGTACTGGAAGCAGTGTGTTAGCCTTGGTCCCAAAGTAAATTGGATTGCACAGGCCAGATGGATTCAAGACGGGAATATTTGGACCTCGTCAGGGGTCAGCGCTGGTATCGATGTCACTCTAGCCTGGGTCGCTTCACAGTTTGGAGAAAATACGGCATCGGAGATTGCCAACACTATGGAGTTCACGAGAGCTTCATCTTCCTCTGATGATCCATTTGCTGCTATGTATGATTGCAAAGACGTTCCTGCACAGTCCTTGTAATAAACGCAGAGAAAGGCGGAGCGACATCACAATTATTCAAATAGCAAACTAGGGGTGTTTTGAAGGAACATTGCGATCAATCGCGACTACTCAAATCTAGTAATAGATTTTGCTTGCTTCTCATTACATTCGTTTTTAACATGCTAGCCTGCTAGCCTGCTAACTTATATCCTTATTCAAATCTTCTTGTTCGTCGATTGGCACTCTTTTAAAGCTAGCACTTAGCGAAACCCCTGATGTTCTTCCCTTAAACCCCCGAGTTTCCTCATGATTAATTACACGCCAAATGGTTCGAATATTGGCCTACTAAGATCCTTCACGGTAGTCGATAGTTGAACTCTTACCGAGAATAAACACAACACTTGGTGTATCTGGTCGACTTTTTCGACCTTAAGATGTCCTTCTAATCGGTTTATGTTTTGCCAAATGCCCAGAGTATGCAATAGTGGGTAAAGCGCATCTCACCACTACAGACATGAGCCGGTGATTTCAAAGTGCCGCTTGTTCCCTTTCATGTCATAGCTGCACAGCTTGTGACGGCGTAATGCAAAGTGCGGAAATATCAGGTTGTCAGCAACAATTCGCGGCAAAGCGCGCCAGCGGCGTTTAACCGCCCAGTACCGACTCCTAATCTATCTAAAAGAAGGCTCATTCAATCCATGAAAAGCCAAAGCTAGTTGATTAGAGACCTGTCAGGATATGTCGTTTTCGTCAAACTCGCAGAGAAGTCCACTCCAAAACTCACAGATTAACCCCCGCATCTACGGGCTAAGCAATGCGGGGCGCACGCGGGGCCGCACCAAGTCCCAGTCGCGTGGAGAGATCGCCGTCCATGTCTGCAAGATTACTACTAAGCATCTGGCACAACAAAATCGACCAACGCGACAAGACTCTCATCAACTCTCGCCGAAACCTTAGCCGATCAAGCGTTTCGAACCAACTCCCGTCTAGTAGACTTCATTGTAGAACGGCCTGCCATCTAAGTTGGAAAAGGCTGATGCTTTCATGGACATTGAGATAGACTCTCTTATAAGGAGTGGTGCAATTGCCACATGTTCTCTCAAGCTACGCTAGAAGCTCACGGATGCTTGATGCCCTCTCAAAGCAGTCGTCTTGATTGGCCGATCCACCTCATTTCAGCTTGTGTACAGATGACCCGAGACTTGGGACACAGAGTGAATAGCATACGTCAGCAACTAGAACTTAACACAAGGCCAGATTATGCATTGAAAGATCAAGCAAGCAGATGAGTACCACGGCTGACAAAGCAGTCAACGGGTTTGCGGATAATGCATGACTGTTGCTTGCCGGCGTGAATTTTAAAAGTGATTCGAGTGTTAGCGATGTACTTTTTCCACCATGAAAGCAGCTCACGTATGAATGATTGAACCGGAATAGCCGGCGACAGTATCACGGGTTGCTTGTCTAGCGTTTGAATATTCCATCTCTCCAAAAGCCCCATCAGTGAGCCAAGCGAATAACTATTGGAGAATGCAAACGCGGACGACACCATTTCGACTAGGGAGAGCCCGGAAAAGCCGCTGCTGCAAGGCTGCTTTTCAATGAGTACTGGGCTGCTAGGCAATTCCGAAAACCCACCAGAATGCGCACTTGCCACTATTACATCGTCTTATCTACCAATAATAGTGCTTGACTGCTTCTCCACATTTGTCCTGGCATAGCATCTTGTGTAGCATCTTGTGTGGCTTGCAGGAACAGTTCCTTAGCAACTGCCGAGTAGCATCACAATATTTTCAGACACCATGAGTTAGGGTAATCCCAGGTCACGTACCCTGAAATCGCAGTCAGTGGTGGTTTGCATATCGCATATCATGGAGAGAGTGTCTGCTCAAGTAAGATACATGTAGTGAGTTCAAACAGTATAAAGCCATCAATTGCTGCTTCGGAGAACCTGCTGCCAACGGGCTTTGGGATCAAACCAAAGCCATCATTTAGACTAGTGAATGTGGTCTGCTTTAGAGTACAGCTAGATGTCCCATTCACAAGATCATGTGAACAACAACTGCTGCTTAACTGAGATCGTATCATATGTCGTTCTGCCATTCCCTTGTTCCAATTTTACTCTCAGCTAGTTGGACTGGCACTAGTTCATCGGTTGAAACTCTGAGCCCGACAATGAAAGTAATCATCTGGTGTGGCACGGTGAAAGTAGTCTGCGGAATGAACACCAGTGTGGTACTGGTACTGGTGATAATTGTTAGTCTCACCCTCGGCTTGTTTGGTCCATAGTGGCATGCAAATTGGATCGACAAGTCTCCCCACAATCTTCTTCCATCCGTTCGCAGGATAGACGACCACATAGTCTGGAGACTCAGCCAAATCTGGCAGCCAAACACAAATTGAAATAGGTCACACTAAAGAGCGAGCCGATACTTTCCCCGCATTCTGTGATCCGGGAGGTCCAGATACAGCTGAGACGCCGCGCCGGAAAGTCCGGAGAGAGCTAATTGGATCCACTTCCCCAGATCCAACCCCATGGAATCAATGTGTCTTCCCCCACGCGGTATCTTTAATTTTCTATATCAAAGACAGAGACTCTCCTTTCCCAATCTCCAGATCAGGAGCAGATTCAATTGTACGTCTTTACGCCGCACCTGTACTGGAGGATCTTACTCTTGTGCCTCACCTTATTATCTCGACAGCTCGTGTTTCCGAGACCATCAGCAATCGTTATCACCAAAGATCATGGCGCGACATTTGCCTAAGACAGACGAGGTCGCCGCGAAGGCTAACGCGTTCCACCAGGAGGAAGTCATCGAAGAGGTGGACCATGAGATGAGCCCATGGCAATGTATGCGTCAAAATCCAAGAATTGTGTTATGGTCACTCTTTGCGAACAGTAAGTACTACCTCGGGCACAGAGCTCTAACGTACAAGCCTAGCTAATTCCGATCTTTCAACATAGTTGGCGCGTGCCTTGTCGGTTACGAAAACCTTGTACTATCAGTATGTTTGGCCATGCCAGCCTTCCAGTGAGTATACAAACTCCTCCGGCTGCCGAATTCTCTCCTAACTCGTACACCAACAGAATGACTTTTGCCGAAGAGGTCAACGGGGCACTTACGATCCCCGCCTACTGGCAATCGGCATGGAACGCCACCTATAATGCCGGCATGATGTTGGGATCGCTCGCGGCCGGATGGTCACAAGACAAGATTGGACGAAAACTAGTTATGACTATTGCCATTGTCCTTGCATCAGCGGGAATCGCAGTTGCTTTCATTTCCAGCAGTTCTCGCGAATTCCTTGGTGGCAAGATCTTGACAGGCATCGCCGTTGGAATGATGCAAACTACCACACAGACATACGTGTCAGAGATTGCCCCCTTACCGATGCGCGGTATCGCACTATCGATGAACATTATTATGATGGTAAGCACTAATTGTTGTTTATCTATTTGGTCAAGCATTCTAACACGTCTTCTTAGAATCTTGGTTTCCTTATTGCCATCTCATCAACTTTCTCCCGAGTCGCTATCATCGACCCAATGGCTTACAAGGTGCTCTTTGCTGCTGGCTGGGCATTTCCTGGAGTACTCGCCATCGGCCTCCCGTTTCTACCGGAATCTCCGTACTGGCTTGTGTCAAAGAATCGAAAGGACGACGCCATCAAGGCACTCTCTCGTCTTTCCGGTCCCCACGAGGACGTGCTTGCCAGGACAGCTCAGATCGAGGCTACGATTGAACATGAACGTCAGAAAGAAGCGACCAGTGCGACCTATCTTGAGTGCTTCCGAGGGTCCAATCTTCGGCGGACCTGCATTATCTTGATCTGCATGTATATGCCCCAGGTCGTTGGAGCCGTGCTGTCATCTAACGCTCCGTACTTCCTCAACCAGACCGGACTTGACAGCCATACCGTTCTCATGCTTACCCAGGTCGGCATCAGCATGGGTGTAGTTTCGGCAATTCTGAACATTTATTCGATGATGAAGTTTAATCGACGAACGCTCATGTTTTTCGGTGTCGGTCTATGCTGTCTAATGGTATGTTGTCTTCGAACCACTTCTCTCTTCATGTTGAGCTGGACTTTCTACTCTCATCACAAACACCTTCTGAGTGATACTCGAATTGCATGGTGCTGACATTTAATTTTTTTGTAGTACCTGATCATGGGCATAGGTGCAGTCTTGCCGCGATCAACTGGGTCGCTCATGACGATAGGTATTGCACTACAGTTTACCTCCATAACGTATGGCCCTGCCATAGGTTCCTCAATGGCTGTGGCAGGTGAAGTCTCCGCCACCAGATTGAGAGCAAAGTCTGTCGGTATTGGCTATACCTTCTCGTGTATTGTCAGTATCGTGTGGAACATCGTGTTGCCTTATCTCTTTAATTCTGACGAAGCGAACTTGGGCGGAAACATTGGTTGGATTTTCTTTGGCATGGGTTTGATAATGCTTGTGTTCTTGTTTTTCTTTGTGCCGGAGACGAAGGGACGTAGCTTTGACGAGCTAGATATTCTGTTCGAGCGTAGAGTTCCTGCTCGTGCTTTTGCGAAGTACGACTTGAACCAGCCGGGGACTTTGTAGACCAGACTTGGTAGATGGGATCTACTGAACCTGCCGAAATACCATGCCGAGAACTCACACGGTTTTGGTGCATGAAGGCTTAAAACTATGACTTGAATGAATATAGTTGGCACCGATTAGCTGTCTATTACAGCCACGAGTGACGCGCCCTTGTTAGATACCATGAACGAAGGGATGAGCACGTAGATGCATAACCCTTGGGAAATGTACTCCGTACCTAACGTAAGCTCTTGGATAAGAACAGGTGGATATTGAGTGCTTCGCCTTATTGTCGCCCATTTGCAACGCTGTGAGCTCTGAAGTTCTCACTGAGGCAGGGCGAGTCAGATCGTGGCAGCCCCTCAAGAGTTGAGCGCACCTTATGAGGTGCCTCTATGACAATTGCAATCCGTTGGAGGTCAAGAAATCGTTCAGATCCAGGTTTATTCTAGGCACTATCAATCAAAGATTGCCGATCAGCGGTCTAGGAGGAGACATTCCCTCTAACCTTGCTACTTTACTTTCGAGTGCATCTCCGTGCTGCCAAGACCACTCTAGCGCTCTCCTCTCCACAAAGACCGCCAAGTCGCAAAAGATCGCAGAGAGCGGCGGTGGCCGACGGGTGTCGGCACCCTCTCTGAATTCCAAGTTAACATCTTCGCCCTCCTCGAGTAAACCAGTATAGAGAGGCGAGAAGACAAGGTGATCTTTGACGATACCATGATTCAATTCAGGTTTTTTTCAATCTGCCGGAACTGCCAGCGTCTTGGACAGTCGATTTAGAGTTGATTTAGAGTTAAGCGAAGTGCCGCAACCCCAGAAGTACGGTTGGGATGACACCAAGGCACGTAAACGAGGATTGATGGTTGGTTGTCGCGTGGGTTCTTGTATGGAATGACAAACGAAATGGGAAGGTAGTACTCGGGCCGGCACCATGGTAGCCTATACTATGAGATATTATCACCTCATTGGGACTAAGGACTACACAGTGGACCTGATTTGGACATGGTTCGTGTGCAGGCACGAAGCTACACGTTGCCAAGCTTTGTACGAATTCTCGTATTCAATGATGAGGTTCGCAGTTCCGTGCATAAAACACTATTCGCGCTTCCTCCTGACCATATTCTCAAAACTTGGCGAATTCATGCCCAGAGTCCCTAGATCCCCTTGGGAAGTCAGTATAATGTTGCGATAGCACGTATAAGCTTGGCAAGATAAGATGCGACGTACGTAATTCGAATAATGAGCACGCGAGTTTGTTCTTATGATGTTGCCAAAGGGGAGCGGTGTATAAAAAGTCGAGATTTCGCTGGAATAAGGCGATGAAGGTTTGGCAACCCGCTTCCGAATCGTCCTTCTCAACGGGTATCTTCAACTGCAATCATGATCAGCATTCGTCAATTGACAGTCGCTCTTGGAGCGTTGCTCCCAGCAATATTCGCTGCGCCAACCGGGACTCAACAGTCCAAGCGCGAAGTCATTCCCGGCAAGTACATTATTACTCTCAAGAGTGGTGTTACTGTCAGCGATGTCTCATCTCACTTGAACTGGGTCAGCGACGTCCACCGTCGTAGCCTGAGCAAGCGCGACACTGCTGGTGTCGAGAACACCTACAACATCAGCACCTGGAATGCATATGCCGGAGAGTTTGATGATGCGACCATCGCAGAGATCAAGGCCAACCCCGAGGTAAATGCAGCCATGAATCACCCGAGAGCCACCGTTTGACTAACTCGTTCGACAGGTTGCGACCGTTGAAGAGGATACTGTCATGTACCTCTGGGGAGGTGAGGACAGCAAGCTCGCCGAGCGTGCACTTACAACCCAAACCGGTGCTCCTTGGGGCCTTGGAACGATTTCTCACCGCACTTCCGGTTCTACCAGCTACATCTACGACACCTCTGCAGGTGCCAACACTTATGCCTACGTCGTAGACAGTGGTATCTTGACTACACATGCCCAGTTTGGTGGTAGAGCAACTCTAGGGTACAACGCTGTTGGAGGATCTCACGTTGACACATTGGGACACGGTACCCACGTTGCTGGGACCATTGGTGGCTCGACTTACGGTGTCGCTAAGAAGGTCCTTATTCTGATTGCCTTACTATCTTCAAGTGTTTTTGTGCTGACTCGAGTGATAGACGAACCTCATCTCGGTGAAGGTCTTCCAGGGTAACGAAGGATCAACATCTACTATCCTGGCAGGTTATAACTGGGCTGTGAACGACATCACCTCCAAGGGTCGACAGGGTAAATCTGCAATCAATTTGTCGCTTGGTACGTGATCTGGACGCCCTTTGCAGTCCCATTCAGCTGACATAATTAGGTGGCCCCGCTTCATCGTCCTGGACCAGTGCTGTCAACGCAGCCTACAGCTCGGGTGTCCTCTCAGTTGTTGCTGCCGGCAATGGTGATGACTCCGGCAACCCCCTTCCGGTTTCTAGCCAGTCTCCTGCCAACGTTCCCAACGCTCTGACTGTCGGAGCTATCGACTCAAGCTGGCGTCCTGCCTCTTTCACCAACTATGGTAAGACTCCTGTGCATCGCCAAGTTTACCAAATTGTACTGACTCGCTCGGTCAGGTGCCGGTGTTGATATTCTGGCACCCGGTGTCAGCATTCTTTCTTCCTGGATCGGCTCCAACTCTGCTACCAACAGCATCAGCGGTACTTCCATGGCGACACCTCACGTAGTAGGTCTGGCATTGTACCTCCAAGCACTCGAAGGCTTGAGCACACCTGCTGCTGTCACTAGCCGTATCAAGGCTTTGGGTACTTCTGGCCGCATTACCGGTACTCTGAACGGTAGCCCCAACTTGGTTGCCTACAACGGAAATGGTGCGTAAGCAATCAAAACCATTTCACGCGCCACTACTACCTTGAGGAGTTTGAGTTAGTGTGATAGTTTGAATTTGGATAAGTAAAGTCAAGTTTCGGTATTCCTAATTCCCAGTAAAGATGAGCTCACGATGAGGGTAGTTTTGGGTGTAACATGAGGGTGAAGTTGGCGAGCAACTCTTTGGATACATAGTTCACCAAATCAAAGTCGGGCTCGGACTTCAAGCTATTTGCTGAAAATACACAACTGATTTATGACTTTCAATGAATCCCTGATGCCTTAAACAAGGCCCACATGAATATGTGATGATGATGTCTTTCCAAAGGATCGCTTCAACACTAGCTATGCCTATTAACATGCAGTTTAACTTGTTGGCCTCTATTGACGTAGCATAAGCTCGAGTGACCGCCTTCAACAACAATTGATCGCAGCAGTCACATCAGACGCCGTTCAGAATCGGCGACCACAAAAAGAAGAAAATAATTTCAGGAGATTTTATCCATTGCCCAATGTACTCGAATCGGCCTGGATAGGTTTAGTGCGACTTCGTTCAAGTGCACTGCCCCTGCTTTATCATTGTTTTGGCTGAGCGCAGCCCTCGCATGTATTGCTGCATCTGCCAATTAGCATTAATCCGGTGATGGTCGGTCAGTCTTTAGAACCTCATCATGCTGCGACAGCGTCTACGCTTGGACACGAATTGTTGCGCACCCAACATTGGATATTCCTGATAACGACCCTGCACCAGCATTGCAACAGGGCGCGTGATGTATTCGGAGTTCGCCTTGGTCTATTTAGCATAAGATGTGCGAACAACCGATGTACACTAGCGGTAACCTTAAATATAGTGCCACTACACTACCACTGAAGAAATGTTATATATTATGCATTAATAGTTGTCATATTCATGTCTAGCCTATGTCTATTCCCTTGCTGCAGCATCTCCTGGACTTATGCTAGAAGTTTGCTGCGCACGATTGGCATCCTCTTCGTCCAAAGCACCCTTCTCAGCAACGACGGCAGTCCGGCCATACTTGCTATTATCCCGACAGCACCGTATGATACCCCAGATGGCAACGGCAAGCATTGCGACCCCCAAGATACTGAACCCAACGATCATTCCGATGACATCTCCAGACAAGCTGTCTGAATTATCGCTGCCGCTGCTTGATCCGCCGCGCGATGTGGAACCAGAGCTGGAGCATTCGTCGTCGGCATAACATTTGCTGTCGTCACCAGTAGACTCGGGAATCTTTGCTCCATAGACACTGAAAGGTATGACGTCCGAGTCTGATTCGACGCTCCCAAACTTGACCGGAGCCATCGCCACCTCTTCATTGGCGAGGTCAAAGACCATGTATTGGCGTCTAAGCATACCGGATCCGAGCGTCCAATTGTCCTCGTAGGAAGAAAAGGTGTAGGAAGTGTCGTTGGTGGTCTGGACGCCGAAGAGACACGTCGTCGTGGAGTTGTTGGTATCATAATCCCAGGATGAATGGGACCAGATGTCTTCCGATACAATCAAATCGGAAAGGGGGACATTCAGGATAGGGCCGCCGTCAGCACCGACGCTATCAAGCTGTATGGCAAGAGATCCGGTCAGATTATTTCGGTAGTCGCAGGGTATAGTGGCATAGTCCCACAGATCGTCATAGGCTGCGCCGGCCAGCGCCCATATAGCAGTTGCTATTTCTTCTGGAAGAACCGAAACAGAATATGTCGGGTCGATCGTGATTAGTGGCAGGGCGGTGGTGTTCTGAATGAGGGGTGAGAGGCTACCATCGTTGGTCCTGGTCGCATTGAAGCTTTGAATGTACACATCGAACGTGTTTGACGTGGTGTAGTACGAATATGTTGAACTGTAGTGCTCTCGCTGAACTTGAAATCGCTTGAGAGTTCCGTCGATGGCGGCCGTGTCGATTGCGCCGAAAAGCAGACTTCCAGTCGCAGCGTCTTCGCTCTCGATCCACAAGCTGTAGGCAGTAGAATTGATCAGGCCATCTGCTAGCATTCGGTCTGGCAGGTTTGGCACAGAATAGCTGTCGTTGAATCCCAGGGCCATGACACCCATCCACAAGTTGGACTGTTGCGCAAGCCCCATGGTCAGGTTTGACACACTCGAACCTCCTAGGAAGCCTATCGTCTCTCGGATCCTATCGCCGTACGCGTAAGTTCCGTCCAAATAGCTGGCAGAGAAACTGCCAGTTCCCGGGCGGACAAAGGTCGAGGAGACATTGTGATTGTATGAACCGTATATGCAGCCTTCGTATCTCAGATACGTGCTATCGGCGTCGCAATATTGTGCATCTGGAACCCATGACTCATCCGCCGATAGAGTGAGTGCAAACGAGAGATTCTGTGGTGGCGTCCCAACCGTTGCGTTGACGACGTAGGTATTCTCGGCGCTAAAGATGTCGGCGGGAACTGAGCGGCGCTCCGTGGTAGATTGACTTGTGGTTGATTGACGTGCGAAAGGTAGTCGAACGTGCGCGACGACTTCAGACGGCAACGACAAGAAAGCCGCTGCTACGGCAGAAAGAGCGGACGTCTTCATCGAGGAAGACAACGAGGTAACGATAGACGAGGAGTACTGAAAAGCATGACTGAGAAAAGATCAGCAATGCGAGGTAAATTTTGTAGAAAGCATGTCCCCCGGATCCCTAGATTGTGCCGCAAATGCTGAAATTTGCCAAGGCACTCGGTCGGTTCTAGGCCATGTTGACCAACCTTAGAGCAAGCTATGCTTAAAATAAGCATATCCACAGGCTGCAGGCCACTCACTTAACTCACCATGTAACCTAGACTATTATCACCAATATTTATGCTGCATGCGCCGCGCACATCATATAGACATGGCAGAAATTTAAAAGCATCAAGCAGACAACGCTGTTACGAGAACAACATTTTCTAGATAATTTCCGCTGTATTTCATTTTCTTACACATCGGAACATTGTGATTGCTTGATGCAAGCATTGATTGATCCATCAAGGCCATTACGATTAATGGTGAACCAAGACAATCATTCCAATTGATGAACAGTGCGCCGAAGGATCACTATTAGGTTAGTGCCTTGGCAACTGAGTCTTGCTGATTCTTTAAGCCTAGGTTAGGTCGCTACCAAGACGTCGCTAAACCGCTTCTTTGTTTTCGTCTGCTAGCGCTGACAGCTTAGTAGCGAATTGACTAAGGTTAGAAAACTTCTAAAGATGAGAAATAAATAGTAGTTAATTGTTATCTACTGAAATCACAAACGATGCGATAATTACAGCGGCGTCATTGATCGAACCAGTGCGGCAGAAAAAAAAGTCCATTGAGAGGCAACTCTGCTGGTCAAAACTTGTATGTCCGGCTCGCCACCATAGAGAGAATGTGGGATGACTCATGACCGGCGTATCTGATTAAGATCATGACTACTCTGTAAATGGGCGAACTTCACGGAGCATGATTTCTGAGAACTTCGGAAACGCTCTGAACATATCTGGCTTAGGACACAGAAATGTAGTGATAGTAATGCAATAATGCATGCTTCCAACAAATGGATGGAGGCTGCTGCAATATATAGGAGACAAGTTCGTCGGAAACGCACCGGAATGAATATAACAAGAAGAGCAAGCATTCTTCTAAGGTTAGCAAAACGGCAGAAAGGTCGGATAGCAGTCACATATTACTTGCCAGCGAAAGAGGTCCAGCCCGACATTTTCTGATTAGAAGACTGGGCAATTCTGAAATGTATCAAATATTGTATCCAGCCCTGATCTATGAACCGTCAGCAAAGTTGCTTCGGTCAGTAGTCACAAGGTAGCGTCACCTCTCTTTTCCTGGGCAAGAGTATCACTGTAGAAGCTCTGGCTACTGCCGTAGACCATGAAAGTCGCCCGACCTGAAGCGAAGCTGCAAGCGACAGTTGCGGCCACTCGGTGGATGTCAGAACTTCGCCTCTTGGAGACTTCGATCTTGAATTTGTCGCATCTATATGTTGCCCTGTTTCTAGCAGCCTGGGCTGATTGCATGATGTTATTAGTTAAAACCGACTAGGTTAGGTTAGGTTAGTACATTTAACATACGGGGAATTGCTCAACCTGCGCTATTAGTGGGTGGTTGCAACGACTCAAAGTGAGCACGAGAAACATATCACGTCTTATAATCCTGACGGTAACGTTATCTCTCGTAGTCAAGAGCAAGCTCCTTGGTGCAATGACGAGGCGCCCTTGCTTTGGAACTACCGTGACTGCGCTATATGTAGTTGCACAAATCGCTATTTCGCTGCCGATGCATCCTTGACTTGGTGGGGACTGGACCACGAATCTGTCGATACCGCCTTGACCAATCACCGCAATCCTCACGACGACACCTTCCTATTTGGTGAAGACTGCAGATCACATCTTCAAATCCCGACACAGGACTGCATAGCCGCACAAGCAAGCATGGTATGCTGCGTTGAATTCTAGGATAACCCAAGCTGCCCTGTCGAAGTGCAATCTGTGGCAGCGTAGCATTTGTATGCGATGGCATCAAATGGCGTGCGGCAAACACTTGCGTGGACGCACAAGCATGATGCAGGATCTTGGTTTGCGCGCATCCGGGGAACGGTTATGGTAACACCAAAATCCTCCAATATGAAGCTGCGTTTCGCGCGATTAGAGCAGTCTGCGGTGTACAAATCCTTGAGAATGGCTGCGAGCACAACTCCATACGCTGACGGCATGGTGGCATCTCGTGCTCGCTCGAATTCGATGAGCTCGCCACGCCACCCGAGAACTAACTAGTGAAGCCCACGCGTAGCGTCCGCAATGACCTTTCGCATGCCGACCTTCGACTAGACTACAGCCGAGCCTGTGAGTCTGGCGCATCTCTGCCACAAAGCTTGATTGCCTTGGCCATGCACTTGGCGTCATCCTGGGCCAAGCTTAATTACTGTGCTTCAAGAAGCCGTAGCCACCTCTGCGGATGGTCCAGAAATGCAGAACTCTTTGCAGCCACACATTCACCCAGACAAGGGTTCGATGGCAAGAATGTAACGTACCGGGTGTAAGTGCGGTACAGAACCTTGGGACAAGGACTGCGACCCTAGAGTAGTACGGGTTCTGCATGAACCTAGTCCAACTTCGGACTTGCGACGAACCCAACGACAAGAATCGTGATTGGATACATCGCAGCCCAGCGAGTTATTGCTCGACAAGACCTGCATGGCAACCATATTGCGACAGAGCAAGGGTGGAGTGGGATAACTGACAATCATGTTGCCATCGGGCCATGAGACTTGGTGTCCCCTCCCCAGCTGCTTCCTGCTATAACGCAATCTTGATGTTACAAGTCAAACGGCTTACTACTGGAGGAATATTCAGTGCTAATCATGTGGGTAAACATGGTTCATTATCGATACAGACAAGGTGTACGCGGTCTTCAGAATCGTCATCTCGCGGATGGTTGTCATCATCAGAATCTGGAGGATGTCTTCAACTATATATGACTGAATGTACCTCGTTCATGCTGGCAACGAAAGGTCACCAACAGTTCAACTTCAGCTCAGCATCTCCGATAAACACCATTTCTACAAGCACTCAGTCTTCCCAGTCAACATGAAGTTCACAACCGTCTTCACTGCGCTCACTCTTGCTGAGGCTGCACTTGGTGCTCGCTTCACTGAGCAACGCCGAGAGCGAAATGCCAAGCGCTTGGCCGAGCGTGGTATCTCCCGCCAAACTAACCCGCTCATTCCTGTTGACAATGAAGTTGTCGAGGGTTTGGCTATCGACAATCAGACCCAGGTCTCTTACTCATCTAACTGGGCTGGCGCTGTCCTGATTGGCACTGTTTGTGACCTCCACAGTACCACCTGGCTTTGGGTGCTAACGTGAGTATAGGGATACAAAGCTGTCACTGGAACTTTCGTCGTCCCAACACCCTCTGTGCCCTCTGGTGGTAGCTCCAGAACAGAATATGTGGGTTCTCTATTGTAGCCAGCGTGATTGGAACTATGATATTGACTTGTCAAAGGCTGCTTCCGCTTGGGTCGGCATTGACGGCGACACTGCTTCCAATTCCATCCTCCAAACTGGAGTTGATTTCTACGTCGAAGGCAGCCAGGTGTCCTTTGATGCCTGGTATGAGTGGTATCCTGACTGTATGTCTCGAAGAAATGACGCTTCCCTATTCTGAGCATGCCGCTTACTCTATTGATAGATGCGTACACCTTCAGTGGTATCACTATCTCTGCCGGTGATACCATCACTGTGACTGTCACAGCTACAAGCACCACCGGCGGCACTGCCGTTGTGAAGAACGTCTCGACTGGCAAGTCCGTCACTCACACATTCACGGGCCAAAGTCAGGCTCTGCAGGAGCTTAACGCCGAATGGATTGTGGAAGATTTCAGCTCTGGAGGTTCTCTTGTTCCCTTCGCGGACTTCGGCTCCGTAACTTTCACCAACGCTTACGCTACGACCTCCAGCGGTACGGTCGGCGTTAGTGGTGCTGAAATCATAGATATCAAGCAGAGCAACAAAGTTTTGACCGACGTTACTATTGACAGCAGTAGCGAGGTTACTATTACCTACACTGGCTAGATTTAGCTTCGCAAGAGACACTGTGGCTTCTATATTACTACAGTGGGGGACGGTATCTAGATGGCGGCATCATTAAAGACGTAAAGGGCTTCATTTTCAAGCATCGATGGCCAATTCAAAGCAGGTAGTCAAGTAGTGGTGCATTCGATTCTCGGGCTTCACTAAAGCCCATCAATATTTATATATTTATCGTATCGCACGTGATCTTGTTTATTGTTTATTTTTTAATGATTGAATACTGTTTCCTTGCCGTACATGCAATTAAATCGAGCAACTAAACCGTTTTAGGGTTCAAGAACTCTACAATCTTCTCGACTGCCACACCTACAAACGGCTCTTTATCGTACAAATCCATGTGCCCACCTTTTGGGATACTGATCAGCTTACTCGAGCCGCCAAGTATCTTGTGAAGCTTATCGCTATTCCATTTGGACTCGGCGTTTTCTCCAACAACCATGAGCACAGGCTGCTTCAGGTACAGATCGGCAAGGTGAAAAGCGTCGTAGTTTAGCAACAGTGGCAGGCTTCGGAGCAGCATCCTGTTTTCTGAACGGGGGTGCTGCGCTCGCGGTGTACGGTAGTACTCATGCGCCTGGGCCATGTCATGCGTGGTTGTTTCGTCAATATTGGGCGGCACGTACGGGCCGCAGGCTGGCTCAGCCCCCTTGTTTTCGGCCCTTATTTGTTGCGCGATCTGCTTAAGTGTGGGTTCATGCTTTGATGGGTTTTCATTTCCCAGCCATCCGTGGCGGACCGAGTCGCCGATGTTGACCATGCTGACGGTGGCCACTGCCTGGATGCGGTGGTCGGCTTTCGTGGCGGCTACGGCATAGCCACCCCCGGCGCAGATGCCCAGCGCGGATATGCGGGAGGCATCAACGAAGTCCAGAGATTCCAGATAGTCCACCACGGCCCAGACATCGCTCGTGCGCTGGTTGGGATCTTCAAGGTGATGGGCCTCGCCGCCGCTCTCGCCTTGGTTGGAGGCGTCGTACGCGATTGCGACGAAACCCTGCTCGGAGAGCTTCTTGGCGTATAGGCTTGCTGTTTGCTCCTTTACACCACCCCCCGGGTGGACAACCACAAGAGCAGGTGACTTGGCGGAAGGTGTGGATGGCTTGAAGAGCAGGCCGGCGAGGTTGATCAAGCCCTTGGGAATAGAGACTGCTACCATGTTAGGCATTTAAAGTATGATTTTTGAGTAGTTTGGTTTAATAATGTTGCCTTGTGCCTACCATGTCTCGATACTCTGTGCAGTGTCGCTTCATCTTATATGGTTGTTCCTACTGTCCCGAAGTCATGATTGAAGGTGGAAACTGGTCGGGCAAAAGGGGGAAAGTGATTGGTCAATGTTCTAACATCGGCCGAAATCCGACAGCACCAAGCCAGCCGAGGAGCTAATTTCGGCCGATGAACTCGAGACTTGTGCACTAGACTAACCTAGAGTAGACTAATCCCAAATATTCTGAATTGCAACACATTGCCCGTCAGACTACCATTTCTCCACACATTCCGCTCTGTTCAAATCTTCGTCGTACCCCCAGTTGCGGATTACATCAATGCCATTACTCAGCGGTACACCCCGCTCCTCTTCAGGTTGACCTTGTGGGATTGAAGACCCGCGAGCAGGTCACGTTCAGCAAATCTGCCCAGCTTCTCGGCTTGCCTCTTATCATCGCCTAATTTACAATGGCAACCCAAGGTACGCCGAAGCGGCGCCGAATAGTCACTGCCTGTACGGAATGTCAAAGGAGGAAGCAAAAGGGAAGAGTGGACTCCTCTTCACTCTACATAAGAGAGAATCTAACTCGATCGCCAGTGTGACCGCGAGAGCCCGTGCAATATATGTGTTGCACGCAAAGTTCCCAATAAATGCCGTTACGGTGGCACGTTGAGGTTTGTACATGATGAACGACTCGTTGAGTTGTCTTAACCTTCCGCGTTATACTAGCGATAATTTAATGAAAAGAAGTAGCAGTCCATACTATGACTCGACGCTGGGTGTGGACAGTGAACAAAGGAGCATCTCCCCTGAACCAAATTGGCAACCTCGCATGGCCTCCAAGGAGTCGGGGCATCAAAGCAACCTGAAATACTCCCACGCGGTAGAGAGTAATGCATTCGTTGGACTACACCACGTAAGGCATCTGCGTTCTTGGAGAGTTTCTTGCGCTAATACCATGTAGATATTACGCGATAGAGATGAGCTCAACTCGGATTTCGGGACGCACAACAATCTCCTTCTGCATGGACCTCGCCCGGATGAAATTCGGCCGTTCCTTGATATTCTACCACAGATCTCGGTCATTAAGGAAATCGTTGCGTTGTATTACCTCAGATTCAATCCCCAGTATTTCTTCATAGAGAGGTATTACTTTGACCAACTTCTGTCCTACTGGCTAGGGGATAGTTCCAGCCCTCCGAAATACTTGACCCAAGGGGCACTTAGCAAAGAACTGCGCTCTTTTCCAGCACTACTGTTTCAAGTGCTAGGCCTCGCCATCCAGTTTTCTCCCCCAGATACGCCAACACTCAAGGCAATGACGAGGGAGCAGTTCGCTTCATCACAAAGGTACAGCGACTATGGGATGCGCATGCTCGAGAGGGCTCAGATGCAGAGCTTTTCTCTTACCACAGTCCAGGCATATCTACTGAGAACTTCCTGGCTGAAGAACGCTGGTCGCGGGGTGGAATCATGGCATTGCCTCGGCATCGCAATTCGGTAAAGTCAGTTGACCATGGTGTGAACCCTTCCAGACCTGATTCAATACACAGATGTGCACAAGAGCTAGGATTGCACGAGGCCAAGGACATGCACCAGGACGCCACAGACAGGGTCAGCGAGACCCTCTGCTCGTTTTGGTACGACGAGTACAAGAGGCGTGTTTGGGCCAACCTCTTCATCTTTGACGGGTGAGACATACTCGATTTAACTCAATCCTGGCAGAACATCGCGCTAAAAGAGATATCAGGCTGATGGCTCTCATCTTCCGACGCCCGAGGACAATAAACACGGACGACTGCGACGCTCCCAAGCCACTAGACTGCAACATGCCCACAGACCCGACGAGGGGCGTGCCGTTCATCGTCCAGCCCGACACAAGTTCCAGTACTCCCACCACGACCTCGGCGACATTGTTCCGCTACAAGCTTACTTGCGTCGTTCACGAAATGCGGGCACAGAAAACATCTACGCCCTACCCACGGGACTATTCCATTATCTCCAGATTAAACGAACGCCTTGTTGCCATCATAGACGCAGCGCCGCCATTCCTTCGCCATCGCAATCCAGACACGTCGTGGGATGTGAAATGTCCGTATCTGCCCTTACAGCGGGAGGAACTTCTCAGCACCGCCAACCAGATCCTAACGTTCCTCCACCGCCCACACATTGTAGCCTGCACTGAGAGCCGGCAAGCCGCCTTGCAGGCAGCCATCGCGACCCTTGAGTCGCAACACCGGATCTTCAACCAGGCGCCGAAACACCTGCACAAGCTGTTTGGATTCTCATTCTGTACAATCGACGCTGCCATCCTGCTCTCTGTCATGAAAAGCATAGACCTGCCAAGCCGTGAGGGGGCGGGGCAACGCGTGGACCACCTACTGCAGCAATCTATGGACCGGCTGGCGATCATGCAGGAGGGGAGCGCCGTTGCCAAATCTGGGCTTCAAATATTGATGCAGATCCACCAGAAACTAGAAGAAGTCCATGGTGCAGTTGTCGAGATCAGCGGTTTGGATGTCGTGGCCACGACAGACCCGGAGCCCGTACCCGCGCAGCAGCCCGTTGACTACGGGAGCAGCTCTAGCGACGCGTTCCAAACTCTCGCGCCAGTTGTAAGCGCGGAGGTAGGGTCGGAGTTCTCTGTCCTAGGGTCCCCTGGCACGATCACCCCTGTCTTGAACTACTTTGATAACTGGTTCTGGCTGGATTATATGAGCCAGATCCCGCCCGGGTTGTTAAATTCACTCGGCGAAGATTTCATTTTAAAAGACTTAACGTTTAATTAATTAATTAATTTAAATGATTTTCGTTATTTATAATTATTAACATTAAAGGATGTTATTATTTTATTATTTTATTATTTAAATTTAAATGAAAATTTAATAAAAATAATAATGTTAAAATATAATTATCCGTAGTCGATATTAAACTAGGATTACTGTCTTATCCCTTAAGTTATAAGCCTTACGACGAACTCGTTAGTTTACTCGCGGACTAGTTACTTAATAAATAAATAAAAAGAATGAACTTAATAATTAAAATAACATTAATTAATAACGACGAGCTATTCTCGTCGTTTTCCGAATATATTATTATAAAAACTAATTATATTATTAAAGTTAAAAGTGTAAAAGAGTATACCCGTTCGATTATTTATATGTTTTATCCCTTTAATTTTATATTAATTAAACCTTAAATAATTATAATAAAAGTCGTACGACTTATTTAGCTCTTTTATAATATTAATATAATTAATACTTATTACTTTAAACTTCCCCGATAATATCGTTAAGTTAATATAATGGTATTATTTTATAAAAGTAGTGTTAATTAAAACCCTTTTATATAATAAAGATTATTTTTATTAAATACTTTTTTTATCTTAGTTATATAACGTTTTAACTTATTTTAACCCTTTTATCTTTAAATGTAATATAATAATATATAATAATTTAAGTTAAATATTTTACTACATGACACGACCCGTATCATAGTCATTGCCGGGGTCGTCCAGGCTCACTCGGTCTCGGAGGGTGGTCCTATCCATGCACTGACCCACGATGCGAACTTCCGTGTCATCGCACTACGCCTCTCTGACAACAGTTTCACTGGGATAAGAGGTACAGATACTGGCAACTGACTCTTAAATACAACTCATCTGCCTTGACCGGGCCAGGGAGTGCTGGTAATAGTATTAATATCGGGCGACACTCGATAGAGGGTTCACGACTTGGAGTGATGAAGAGAAATTTTTGATCTTTAATGGCCGGACCAGCCAGCCCAGATAAATGAAAACCTAGATGAGCCCTTCTTATTGTGCTGTATACAGGACACAATACCTCCCGATTCTTCCCTAACGTGACCGAATTCACAATTGGCATCGCACCCCTCCCCCTAACTTACAGACCTTCAGGAAAGATACAGACCTTCCCATCGTTGGTTATCGATTAGATAGGTCGTGTATTGGTCAATAGGGGCGAACTAAGTGACTTGCATTGAGCTTTGAACCTAATAAACTGAAACTCCTATGGACAAATCTGAGAACCTCCCTCGGACATTCTTCAAAGCCAAGATAGTCTACTTAGGGTGCATGTAATCGTGGAACGTTTGATGATACGGCACAGCTTCGTTGTATCAACTTGCATGCCTGACATTTGACATGGATCGAACATATCTTTCATCAGAGATTAAATCTTGCCTGACCGATCGGTAGCTTACTCCCAAATACAATAGATATATAATTATGTTTTGTATTGATAAACAGCTGAGCTCACGTACTATATGACGAGTTTCATCCCAGCTCAACGAAAAGACGTTAAGAGCCTGCAGAATTGTTTCAACGGTACCGGCTGTCTGGCCAGAGTTGCGATTGAATCTTTCAAATATCTTGCTCTGAGCGGTCGCTTGGAGAGACCCAAGGGTCGGTATCCATTGCGCCCGCCTAGACTACGGTTTCACATCGTTGCTAATCTTGCGAGCGACTTGTGCTGACTTCTCGATAAGCAACTTAACTGTATTTAAGAGTCCCTTGGTATTGGGGACCAAATCCTCAGTATCCTTTTCGCTGAACATGGATTCTAGTTGCCTGATCTGCTTACAAATATATATTATATGAATAAAGATACAGAATAGCGCAAACTAACGGCTTAAAAGAAGGATATCTTAGAGGCGTTGAGTGCGCACTGCAGAGAATACGAGATAGCCTTGTAAGCCTAACTTCATTAAGTTCGTCTGTTTCTTCTGTGCTTACAAGGAACTATAATGGATAAGAGCTGTCTCGCTGAACGCTTTTCGCATGGCAGAATCGTTGTAAATCGCCGAACATGGGCCCCACAAGTTGGAGTTCACTCGATTCCAGCATGGCAATTGTAGATTGTGTATGAAGACAGACAGTATAGGGCATCATGTTTATATTGATTGTCTAAAGAAAGAACAAAAGAAAGCTTGAAAAATGAAAAAGAAAAAAAGAGAGAGAAAAGAGCAAAAAGTCCCCAGTCATATGCTGGAGAGCTCTTAGCCAACTAAGAATATAGTCATGTGATATCCGTGTCCACCTATACTGTCACATCAAACCCCTTACTTGAAACAAAAGAGAGAGAAAAAGAAAAGAAAAAATGTCGAAAGAAGGAAAGAAGAAAATAGCAAATTAAAGTATCAATAAAGTGATACTTTTTTCTGCATCCGTTGCCCGACAATCCATGAAATCAACCGTATTCGTGCCCCTTTGCGTGTTCCTTCCCCTTCTCATTTCTTCCTTTGTGTGTTTCTTTCCATCTCTACCACCTCATCCCTCAACCATTGTCACTGGAGCATTCGGGTTCACCAAGTGAGTACTGCAGTAGTTGCTTGACTTCTTGAGCTGTTTTTTCTTGATAGGTTTACATTTGATGTTTGTACCAGTGTGATCTTTGCACTGAACAAACTCGCCGTCCTTTTCGCAACCGCAAGTGTACTTGACGAAGTATTTAACACATTGACTTTGCTCCTGTGTAGGCATATTGCTATATTTATGTCAGTGTTCAAAAATGTCACCATTGAAAAGCAGGACATACAATGATCAGCTAGCAAGGGTTATGTCGTTATCCTTGAGATGGAGTGATGATAGTGGCAGTGGATAAACCAAGAGGTGGACAGATAATTCTGAGAGTTGCTTGATAACCGAATTCTATCAGTAAACCGACCCAGCCAGAGTTCTCAATTTATACAACATGAGAAATGCCCACAACCTGTGACGAGGATTAGGCGATTCCTAAGAAGACAATAGATTTTCCAGCCAACACCCAGCATCAGAATGTATTCACATGGCCTTACATCTGTTGGTAATCTAGGGAAGCACACCTCCGTGGAAAAGAATGAAGTGTCAAGTGAGGTCTGTGAAGCCATCGGATATACCGACTAACATCCATCATTGGACTGCAGCCACAAGTAGGTGTTGCAGATTCCTCCATCTTGTTGGCGAACCTTCCACATGGAACAAAGATCCGGAGTCAAGTATTAGACTGCAAATGGCGATGTTCAATATGTGACTTACAATTTGTGGAGCAGATCCCCCCATCTTTCAATGTTGGTACTCAGGCCCTCATCCTACAGCTCGTTAAATTCTAGACAGCCAGTAATGTCAGGATAGGTTAGGTAGGAATGTCCAAAATTTAGCGATTCGGTGTACTCATGGGAGGTAAGTTGGTATCGTTGGTTGGTTGGCGCAATGGAATGCCAGATGGTCTGTGCACTCGCCTAAGTACCAGTAGCGGGCACGAGTGTATCCTGAGTATGACACAAAATTTCGGTCGTTTGCCCATCTTTCTCTCCCGCATCCTGCTCCCGCAACAATGAACAACAATACGGCTTCCCCATCACCAGAAGTGATCGCCATGGATGCTTCTTGCGATGGAGACAGCTATTTCCGTATCCGATTCGGTTCCCATGTCAAATACGCTATTGTGGCGGCAGGCTCGCTCACCAACGACGAGATTTGTCTTCCGCTTTACCAATTTCCACCTCTACCTTGGGACCAGAACACCTGGAACGTGGTTTACCTATCACGCAGATCGTCTGATCAGACCTTTCAGACACAATTATCAAAGGTAGCGCTGGCTGGCGTGAAGGAAGTCTGGCACCCAAACTCGGTGGATTGCCTACAGCTGGAACGCACCCGGATCTTCAATATGGAGACATACGAGTGCATCCGAGTAGATAAGAACGATAGTAAGACAAAGTCGTTCCAGATCCCCATGGTCGCCAAGATTGCTCGCTTCGACTTCGAGATTCCCTACATAGAGAATGAGACGCATATATATCATCTCTTAGAAGGAACGGATATAGCCCCTGGCTTCCTCGGCCATATCCACGAGGACGGTCGCATCATGGGAATGCTGTTGAAAAAGATCAAGGGCCGGTATGCAGGCATTGAGGATCTAAACATGTGTCAGGAGGCTTTGAAGCAACTACATAAGCTCGGACTGCTTCATGGAGATATCAACCGATATAACTTCATCGTGACGAAGTACAAAAAAGTATATTTACTTGATTTTGTAAATTCACGTGAAGCCGAGGATGAGCACGAGCTGGAACAGGAAAGAAGTATCCTTGCGGATAGGCTTAGGGATGAGAGCGGAGAAGGTGCTCCATATAGCGATAACGATGAGAACGATGAGAACGATGAGAACGATGAGAACGACGACAACGGCGACAACGGCGACAAGGAGGAGGAAGATGAAAAGGAAGGGAAAGATTTAGACTGAAAGGAATAATTTGTCACACCCTTCATCCTAAGATTGCACCCCAATCATAAATAACGCAAAGTTACAACCAGTCGCCCTTTCTATTGTTGACTACACCTCTTTTCTAGATAAGGTTTATGTTTGTGCTCAGGTCAATGATAGACCACTATTTTATTTGTTTATAACTCCTTGGACCTTGTGGTAGATGTCTTTTCAAAGGTCGGCTGGGTTATCCTGCTGGATTGTTAGAGGAAGTTATACGGCAGTCACTTAATGAACATGGCTTTCTAGGAGTCTATTAGCAGGGGTTGGCGGAGTTACAAGAAAGGCGTGTCGAAACAATCCGGTCACTAGAAAAGGTGACATCGTTATAAAGGAGGCTATAAATAATGGGAAAACGTAAAGACACCTGCCTGGCTTGCAGCAGACCAGAGCCGACGTGCTCTCATATCTCCTGCAACTACGCAACCGCGGCTATTAGGTTACTATAGATGTCATAGGCAAACGTTTTACCGAGGCAGGTCTTCTCCGCTAGGTAAAGTACAAAGTGAAGTACCGAGATAGATCATAGTTATATTTATGAATAGGTTTTAATTAACGCAGTTTAGTCTTGCCTCATCCAGGATACGGCGTATAAATATTACCAAAATATCGCATGTAGCCTATTAGCAACATCCGTAGACCCTGGCACACACTGCTGCCAACCCCGATCTGACACATAAGTTGCACCGCCTCGGAATATTTCAAAGTAGAGAGATCAAAATATGGCAGCCAAAAAATAGACCCACGATAACTTTTTCTAACCAGTTTTGCTCCAGGTCCCATACTATCGCAGTATAACACTGCTTTCTTATTGCGGTGCTAAAATTCCTGGCCTTTGTTTTGCCCCTGATGGCTCGATCGTGTGGGATACATATCGATGACCGGAAGCCGTCCGGCGCTCTTGGTTTGTGCCCAGACAATTTCGATTCCGTTCTTATTTACTATATCGGTTCCTCTCCATTTTATACCCAAATGCAATCTCGCGTGGGAGCATAATAAGGAATAGGGATAACGTTATTTTCGGTCCAATATTGTTCCCTTAGTTGTCGAGACGGACCCTAGACAACGTCACCTTCCCGTGTGATTGCGAAATATGCTCCCTTGTTAGTCTGCCGTATTATGTTTAATTCTGTATCGACCCCATGGCGCACTCTGACCGCAAGCCACACTCGCAGCCAAAACTTGGCTGATCTCTTTTGACCGTATCCAAAAGGAAAATAAACTCGCCGCCGAATACCTCTGCTTTTTAGCCTGCATCGCACCGCAAAACATTCCACGCATTATCTTTCCTATTGCACCGTCTAAAATTAAGCAGATAGAAGCCATTGGGACACTTACTGGATATTCATTCTTAACTCAACGTGTAGAGGTAAACTACTACGATATTCATATTCTCATCCATCATGTTGCTCAGCTCAAAACTGGCTCAAAGAGGCTGGTAGATGGATTGATATTGCTGAGAAGGCTGTCCAGTGGCTAGCGCAACTAATTCCTCCAGGTGGGCATGAACAGTCTAAGCTGTATCCTCCATATCTCCCCCACGGGCTATTTACAGTAGGAATTCAGGAGATTGTGGACAAGAACGCAACGATCGATTTGCTCGACAATATTGGCCGCTGCCATCAATCCCTTGGAGAGTACAGTCATGCGGTTTCGGCACATGAAAAAGTGCTCAAACGTAGAGACCGAACTATTGGGCTAACACAAGAAGCGACGCTCGATACCATGAATAAGTTGGGCTTAGTATTACATTCACTAGGAGATTATGTTAAAGCAGAAAGGATCCACCGACGAACATTGATCTTGAATAAGGAGGTGCTCGGCCCTCAACATCCTTTGACCCTGACCAGCCAGGCCAACCTAGCATCTACCTACCGGAATCAAGGCCGATGGAAGGAGGCTGAAGAATTGAACGTGCAAGTGATGGAGACGAGTTCGCGAGTGCTCGGCCCTGAAAATCCCTCGACCCTGGCCAGTCAGGCCAACCTGGCAGCCACCTTGAAAGATCAAAACTGTCTTGAGAGAGCGATACAGCTGATGGTTCCGTGTGTCGAGCTTAGCAGTAAGGTTCTGGGTCCTGAACACCATCTTACTAGCGTTAGATTACACACTTTGGCATTATGGCAACAGTCTCGAAAAATTGCCAGTTCCAGGACAGTATAAGAACCGTCTTAGTTATAGCCGAAACGGAAACGTGGGCTTATATATTTATCTGGGCTAGGCATAAGTTCTTTCGCTGGGACTAGGCCACGGTGGCATATTAAGGATCGTTGGGCAAGATGAACTTATAGCAAGGCCGTATGCGCGAGGGCATCGCCGTTATTGGGAATAAACTTCCAATATCGAGTCGGGTAGCGTTGGAGGTCCTTTTACCCGCAAAAGCTCCGGGTCGATCAGTTCAATCGGAACCGTTTACACCTTTGATGCTGTTTATCAGCCGACCATCGGAAAACAACTCACACCTGACAAGAAAAGGCTTTTTCAACAATGCCTGGATATTGTAGAAAGCTTTAACGTCTAAGAATAAATCGGTCATGTATTCCAAGTCGCTTCCCGCAAAAGCTCCGCAAGGAGTAAGGACAAGTCCGCTGGTACTGATTGGGCACCTAATTAGAGTGAGTGCATGGCCTCCATCTTCCGACTATAAAAGCAAGCCAAGTTAAACTAACGGAGGCTGAGATACTGTCTAAGAGTTGTAGGCCTGCAGAGGATCTAGTGCAAATAAAGCGATCACAGTAAGTAGCAATGGAAAGTACTCCTTACGGCAAATTAAACGTGGATTTCCAACCTTTAGTCGTATGAAATACAGGAAACAGTTCTCAAAATAGCCAACCTAGACAAACGAAACCTGAGATAAGTCTTTCGTAATGTATACAGGATACAATACCTCGTAATTTTCCCCTAACGTGACCAAATCCGCAATTGGCATTCCTTCGCCCACCCCCCTTTCAAAACCCACTACGCAAACAACCAGAGCAGCGTTAAATGGCGTAAGTACCATCTAATGAAGACCATAGGCGCAACGACATGAACAGCTGACCCAACACCTCTTATGTCTCAACCGGTAACTGGTTAGCATTTAATTAACAATAACGGCTTCCATCGCAGGACTATGTTATCGATTATTAGAATGCCGTTGATATTTGTATTTCTGAGACGGAAAGATTATCCTTGACCAGAAAACTTATGGAGTGCGCGTGATAAAATTATCGTCGATTGCGGATTTTTTCGGTCGACCACGTTTACGTGCTTGGGAAGGTCGGAAGATGTCATTATCCTTCAGATATGTGTCGTATGCCTCCTTATTTTCCATCAGTTTTACTGATTCCTAAGTGAATCTTGGAGTTTTGCGCCATTTGACGCGGAGCTCAAGGCCTTGATTGCCAGGCTTGGTGAATCTGTGGGCCCGGATCTGCTGGCCCGGATCTGCTCCACGACATATTCTTCGTCGCCATCTTGCACTTCGTCATCATCTTGCATAAAGTCTCCTGCGTCGGAATCGGCTGCGCTCAGCATGCCTCGCTTCATAGAGAAAGCGGATGGCTGGTCCCCTAGGCTTCGACTTGCACAGCTATAGAGTCTTTGAGATCTGCAAAAGCCCCAGGTGAATTACAATTGAAAGGTCATCTGGCCGCCTTCCGTGACACGCTTTAGAACAGCGTCCTGAAGTGGCCACTCCTCGAACGCCGCGGTAGGCGTCCCTGTAGCATACTCCTCGTCGCTATTACCCTTCGAAGATGGCGGCGTGGAAAGGTTGTGTTGACCGGAGCATTTCCTGGTGCCGTTCGAGCGATTATGCCCTTTACTTGACGCCTTAAGGCCCGACCGGTTCTTGCGACGTTTTCTTTGTGGCCGCCTAGTATAGTCGTCATCGTTAGTGTCCTCAACTTCATCCGCTCTATCGTCGTCAGAAGCGAGGCTGGGTTCGCTAGCGGAACGAAAGACCTGATGAAGCGCAGCCGGCCTAGGTCTTAATTTCCGCTTGGCCTCTGGCGGCCCTTTGCAAGCACCGTCGCCTTCGCCATATGAGTCAGAGACAGGCGTGCTCTGCTGATCAACGACTTCCTGCAGCTGCGTTGAGGGAGGTGTATTGCGATGGGAGCCGGGAGGGGACTGGCCCTCAAGTCTGGGCGTTAAAGTGTCAGAGGCATCCTCGAAGGGTGGTTGCAGCAGTTGTTGTGCTGCAGCGTCAACCACAGCTTCATCTTGGGAGCCTGGCTCTCCCAGCATCATGACGATATCATTATCGTTATTAAGGCCATTTCGAGGTTTCTCGGCTAGATGAACCGTAAGCTTATACGTTCTCACTAGGTGTAAGAAACTCGGAAACGAACCTAGACCAAGTTTGTTGCCATTATGACCATCCTCACTTCCAGTGCCGTCGATTCCGCAACGAGGCGCTGCCGGCTGCTGGCTCTTCGCCCCTCTAGGCTCTGCCGGCCCATCTTCGTCAGTGTCGCTGCCTTCATTTACCACACTGGGATCTCGTGGAGGGCTGTGCTGGCTCAGAAACGAGTGTGTAGCTACAGTACCCTCCTTGCCATCCTGGTTGCCATGACTAAGACCCTATGTGGTATCCCGAGGATGGCCGTCGTCTATTTAACAAGGAGGACCACGTAGCTCCTAGGAGTTGGCCAGATGAGCCGACCCAAGTCCTGGCATATCCTCTTGCGACGTCTCCTCTGATTCGTCATTAGGCTTAGCCCCCTTCTCCAATCCTTCATCCCCTTCTTCGTGCTTGGAAACGGTAGTAGCGTTTACGTCTATTAATATTTGTCAGAAGCACCCAGATAGAAAGGTAGGTCCGATGTACATACGGCAGGTATCAGTGCTGCCCAGCGCGAGTTTCTGAGCACCACGCTGCCAAAGCTCGTTAAGGGATGGCAAGGACGAAGTGCTGGATTGGCTATCGGAGAAATCGTCATCAGATTCATCATCACTCGACACCAGCACAGCGTCATCTAGCGTCTCCCCTGTAGGCATGCGGCTCAATAGTTCTGAAGTTGTCGCCACAGATAGGAAAGATATTGCGTGACGGGAAGCGGCGTCAGCCATAATGTCGAGTTAGGAGCGAAATTAGTGAACTTGGTTTTAGTTGGTAGGATGGTGCTTGAGTATTCTTGAAATTATGGACTGGGCAAGAGCCGGAATATATATGGACAATACAAGCGGTTCTTATCAGGTGCCTATAACGAGCACATGGTCTTATTTTGCAACCTCCCTCCTAAACCGAAGCCTGGCGCTAGATCCTCCGACTGGTGAGAGTACGCTCTGCAAGGGGAGCAGGGAATAGCAAGGCATGAATCCTCCGCTTATCGTATATCTGCCAATAATGTCAATGCCGAAATGACACGAAGCAGCTTGAGACAGGCCGCGCCAGGGCCTCGTTATCAACCCCCCAAAAATCATACCCTAAATTAAATGGCATACAGTCCAGAACGCCGCCAATATCAAGGGCGAGACCACCTGTGCGGTGTGCACATGTGCATCGGCATCTCCGCCTGTAACATCGCTCTGCATGGGCCAGTGCCACTCAATTCATGCCGTCTTCGACGAGAACCAATCGCAAACCGCGCTCGCGATCACCTGTACGGCTGTCAGATCGGGGTTGGCAGCAGAGTGAAAGGCCACGAGAAAGGCAATAGATAGGGTATAGAGTGAATACAGACTGAACTCTACTCTACTAACTAACAGCTAGCACGTCTTATTTATCCAGCGCTCTCCCAGCGCAACGCCTGCGTTACGCTCAATGGGCGCTATCGTAAATCCGTCGGCCCGGTTTCAGCGTGCGTCTCAGGGCGGGGCCCTGAGACGCAGCTCGCACGCTGCTGCTACAGTTCCGGGTCAAGGCGTGCGCCTTGGTACAATTCTCGTCTGACAACGGCCCAGGGGCCCCAGGGGCGGTCCGTTGCCTGGCCTAACAGCCTATCAGGCCATGGCGGGAGTCAGCTTAATCTTCTATCGCGTCGTATCTGCATCGGAATCACCTCATCCACCTCGGGGCATGCCCTGAATACGAGATAGTAGACAAGGTTCCAGCTCAGGTCATGTCGATCATCGCGGCGCAGATAGAGACGGACTTTACGATTGGCCGTTGGACCGGGCCTGAGCGCGACTTCTGACATGAACCAGCTCGCACACAGCCGGCCCTGGCAATGCTGACGATCAGGCTAATGACTGAAGCCAAGCATGCAGCCGGGAGATGCAGGCTTCTTGGCCATACGATACGGATGAGAGGCCTCCTGCTCGCTATAACGAAGCAAGTGTTGGCTGCGGCATTTTTGTGATTGGTCGACAGGGTGAAGGGTCGTGAATGGTGTCCCCAAGATCCTGACACGGTAGACCGAAAATTCACGCGGAAATCCGTATCCGCTTGGGCTGGTGCAGTGAAAGGTCCCCAAGGCCTGAGAATCGAAGAGATGTGTAATGTGCCCTCTCGATAACAAGAAATAGAGAGGTCGTAGTCAAGTTCACAGTCGTGGTCGAAAGGGCAGCGCTAAGCCGGCAATCCTCATAAGGCAAGGCGAGTGATGGGCCAAGCGGGTGCCGCGGGACATGGGAGATGGCGCCACTCAGACACAGGATGATTCAGAGAGAAGGGTGTAAGGACGACGGCCAGACCATACGCGGAAATGAGCAACAAGGGCGCGACCAGGAGAGTCGATGAAGGGGAGGAGGCAGGACCGACGAGGATATTCAAGTCGAAAGTACAAGAGAACGACAGATGGGAGACAGGCCCCTATTTATACTGCAGCTCGGAAAGGGGTAAGACGGCGGGCCAATGACGAAAAGCGGCGAGTGGGGCGACGTTAGCGCTTGACCTGATCGGAAGGGCGCTAACCCCGGCGGAGCGAGCACCGCGTTCTATATTATAATTAATATAGAGGACTGTTATAGTGAAGGTATGACAGATTCTACAATTGATATAGAGGACATGCTTGGCAGCTGTTCTCCATCCATGTGGTCTAAGACCTAGCAGGTTCCAACATGTTCCCAGCGTTGATTCCTACAAATTCTTAGAATGACTGGCATTAAACATAAGTCAAGGATACAGACCTCGTCGGCTGTTTCAACGCCGATTGGCCTCATACCTAGCAGCCCGCCACCAGTCCCGAGCAGCTTTTCTCCCACGAGCTCACACCATCTAGCCGTGAGCAGAGTTAATTTCTGAAAAGTCGTTGTGTCGGTAGCAAAAGTTCTGGACTGTACACTCCATTCCTCGTTGATGCCACTGACGGAACAGTCTCTGAAGTACGGCTCTAATTCCAGCAAGGCCGTGCCCAAGCTGTCGACTTTCCCGTTCCCAGTACAGAAATTTGTTGCAGTTGTCCCAGAGTTCACAAATATGGTCAATGGGCAGATCAACCGTGCGTAAGTCTGTCGGCAATGTCGTCCTCAAAGTACCACGTTTCATACCATACGCAACAAGTATACTTCGGTCTAAGATAGAGGGTCGCCTTACTGTAGTCCTGTCCATCAATACGGAACCAGAATAGTAACTGTTCCCACATACATGATTCTGATAAAGAGAATAGGCTTGGAAACCAGGTGTGAAGGCTATATGACTGGTAACCGGTTCTGTGCAGTCCGGTCCCGCTGGGTCGCAGGAACTTTAAGACTTCTTCAGTCGCAGTGGTAAAGTACTCTTGGAACCAATGGATGTGTATATCCCTTACACTCTTGTTGTAATTTGGGTAGACCAAGTTTGTGATTCCAGTGAGTCCAAATATCATGTCCCGAGGCTCGGCGGCCGTTGTGAACCGAGCCAACTCCAAGATGAGACGTGGAGAAATGGTTCCGCTTTCCTTTAGTTTAGCCACCCTTTCCCAAGTGTGAAAGGCCCCCAAATGGAGACTTGTGAAATTGTTCCAATATTTTCCCAGGTGACGTGTCCAATCTACCTATGGGCAGGGAGGCTTTGTCAACTTCAATTTTTGGAGGAAACAGAAAAAGAGGGAAAAGTCTCGGCAGCTAAGAACTTCCTTTCCAGATACGAATCATTGAGTATCTGTTTTAACAAGAATTAATTCTTGAATGATCCAGGTGCGTTTCCAATAGGGTATCTCAGAGAATAAGGAGATAGTGTTCCATGGGGCTGTTCCATGTGGGTTGTCTTCTATTATATATTGCCGGAACCATTGAGATTTCGCAAGCCACTCTATGCCCTTCTGCAAGTCAAATGGGGTTGTGCCATGGGCTTCAAAGGCTTTATCAAGCTTAATGGCCGAGGCAATGGTGTGTATAGCGCCGAAAGCATGTCCGAGCAATTGTCATCAGAAGAGCCCCACAATGACCATACGCCTGTTGCATTGCGGTAAATAGCTCCCATACGAGCGACCTGCTCATTGCGTTCCATAACATCGTCTTGGTTGATGCAGAGAGCGTCGATCCAAAAAGAATTTGTCACTTCCAGAGCGGAACATATCGTGCTGGCGGAAATGCCACAATGCTGAGGCAAGGTTGGTACTTACCTTCACCTTCTGGCTGTTCACAATGATGTCGTCCGTATTGCTTACGTCTCCCAAGTGTACGATAATGCGACATATTCAAGTCCGGGGATGAAATGGGTGGTGTGAAGACAACAGGTTATAGCCTCGCCCTCACTCGCGGCTGGCAGTATCTCAATCAGACGAGTAGAATGAGCGTTGGCATCCAGAGGCTCATAATTGAGCTTATGGACTGAGAAACACTAGGTGACATTGTGTAGCTGTCAAGGAAACATGTTTCGACGACAACACGAACAGTCAAGCGGTGTTTGTGGGTGATGTATCGGTTATGTATGGTGTATCGGGATGTGCGTCATGCTAATGTGCTAAGCAAAACTAATACAGGAGAGCTCATACGGACTGACTTAGAAAGTTTTGTTCTAAAAGCAGTACGGAAGGGTTATCCAAAGGTATTTCGGAGGGTGTTGCTCCCTACTAGGCACCCAGTACCCATGGCCCCAGTACCAGCTGCAGCGACATGAAGGGCACTAGAGAGACAGAGGACAACGGCGACACGGATGAGAGTATCGAAAGGAAGGTGGTTGAGCCATGGGACAGAATGTGAACAAAGAGCTAACATCAAATAAGAAATGCTTTGAAACAATATCTATTTCTGAAAGGGCAAAATATGGAAAAGCAAAGAGAAAAGTCTCAAGGAAAAAAGCCGAACCATTATCGTCGTCCCAATCTGGATGTTGTACCAGACCACAATTTTTCAGAATTTCTTCGTTAAAAAAGTACTACCGCGGGCCGGGGCTTCCTTAGCTAGTTACTATTTTTGCCTGAGACATCAATCGGCAGCGCCGTCCAGCGCGACCGGAGGCACGACTTCTTGAGACCCACATGACCGATAGTCCGCTTTGAGATGGCTTGGATAAAGTAATGCGGTGAGTCAGATGGCAGTGACTCGAGACCACCTGGTGCGTCTTTCAAGTACTTCAGATCGTATATGTGCCGTGCCCGAGACTTGACAGTTGGCACGCCGGTGGCCGCCTTGACTGTGCGCTCACGCGTTCCAGTTCCACCTTGTGCGTTGCCTGTGTGAGACTGGCAACGCCGCGGTCAAGCTGGTACAACAGCGTTGCATCGTCCGACTCGGTGTAAATGGACAGTCCAGCGAGCACAAGGGTTATAGGTTGCCAGGTTTCATCTGCGTCATCGTTATACGGTGGCGGCATCTCTGTAAGTTCAGCAATCAAAGCCATTAGAATTACTACGACAAAAACGAATTTGGAGGGCTCCGTCTCTTTCTTCTTTAGCCCTCGCAAAACAACAAGTCAGGAACTTTGTGTTGGTGTCAGCCTAGCCGGTTTTGTGGGGTCAGGGATTCTATTTCTTCAAAATTGCCTCCTTTTGTTTGTAAATGCTATAGTTAGGCTTCAAAATGCCTCAAGTCGAAGTTCGTCCGGATCTTCCCACCGGAAGGTAATGAACTTCCTACGACCCACAAGCTGTGAGTCCACAATAAGCGGCACAGCCTGTCGGGGCTCTACTTGTAAGGTTAAGTAGGTATTTTGTGTACTGCGTACGAAACCTAAAAGACTGGGCCCCTTCGTGTCACAGGTACATGTGGTCAATGCGCTAAAGCACAATTGCTATCGATTTTAAATAAACATGGCGAGGAGCGCCGACCTACTCATTATATCAAATTGAGTGTAACCATAACATCATGGTTCGGGTCCTACCGGCTTGGCTAAAGCTTGTTGCGTCGAAGTCACCTTCCTTTTAAGGAAATGGTTGTTTATTGAGTCTGCAAGGGGTGCACCTTTAATTTTGTACTAATGGGATGATCCATCTCCCCCACTATGACTCCACTTTCACGGGTTTTAATTTTTGACCCAGCATCGCAGCGCACGACACCACAATACTCCCGCCTTTTTTACGACCTGTCCTGATGTCTCCTGGTTGTTCATCTGAAGACGTTTTCCAACATCCATCCAGTCATCATCTACTGTACCAGATACTGAAGAGTTAGCATGATATAACTCCCCCACCATGTGAGACCCTGACCTGCTACTATGCATACACAGATTCATACACTAGGGGATACTGCCAAGCCGGAACAGTACACATGAAGAATGTCCATACCATGACATCACCAATAAACCGCCGAGTCCATGCGAGGGCCCAAGACTGGTTATTGGCACGACCATAAAGCCATATTCCTTTCGTAAGCGATGCAAGGACGGTCTCGAGCAGCGACATAACCCAATTGCATGCAAAAAGCGGGCGTTCGCCTTGATCGTGACCCTGCGATACATTGCCCAGTCCGCCAGCGCGTGACAGCTGGCAGATAGCAGGAACACCCACAACGAGTGTAGCGCCTTCATGGCAGGGTTCTGGCGCTTGAGAATGGAAAGTGTGTAAGCAGCGAAAGGAGCGACGTGCAGCCTTTGCCAGAACACGCCCTAGAAGCGCCGCAATGAGTGGGCCTCGGTTATTGGACCGTATAGAGGAGGTCAGTCTAAGAATCCATCAAGTGCGAGGAGACAAACTGATAGTACGGCGCAAAGGTCGTGCGCGCATGTTAGTCCGAAGTATGTGCCCCAAATCCAGTGGACTGAAATAACCCCCGGAGGACAAGGTTCTGAAGGTTAAGATCTGGTAAAAAATGTTGTTTTTCGGGCGCGAAGTTGTGAATGGTGATGGCCAGTGATCCAAGCACCCGGTTGATGGAGAGTTCGGTAATACCACGGTTGATAAGCCATAAAGCCAGTAAGTGAATCAATTTGGGAAGACCAAATGTGATATGGGTTATAACCTTAGAATGACATTAATTAGAATGAATTAATAAGAAGACCTCTTCCACTTTACGGAGTTAGTTCTTTACAATTACGCTTATAATTATTAATAAAAGGAACTATAATAGTTTATTAAAAGAACAAAGCTTAGTTCCCTTAATTTAAGATAAGTGTTACTTATATATATTAGTCGGGGCGACCTTATTAGAGGCCATAATAAATAACACGGGAGGGGTGCATATAGTTATTAAGGTATCCTTTAATCTCCGACGGGATAAAAGAACCCCTCTCCCCTTTGATAATAATTCACCACTCTTCCGACTAAGTTACTTTTTCTCCTTATAGCTCTAGCGCCTTGAAAAATTCAATTTTGCTCACCTAAACTAAGTCTTATCTTAACATCGTATGATCTAATATTAAGAGAACCCTAACACGAATTACTATCGGGGGCACTAGGGTGTATACATCTTAGTATTTATAATGAGGTAAGCGCTTATTTCCATCCATAGCGCAAGCCCGGTTAAGGTAGCCGAGAAGCTTACATAAAAGACTAACTCGATTATGTAAGGTCCACTTACAATTGTAACCGAGATGGAGGGTGGCTTGGACGCGGATTTAGTAACAAAACATCTACCAGGTTCGCGATCCTGACCAGGATCCGGATCCCTCGACCGGTTCATCGCGTCTTTTGGCGCTCGCATTGCCCTTTCCGTACGCACGCGGGAATATAATCCTTTATGAGGGTGGCAAGTTTATGGGGATCGCTTGCAGGAACCCACTTTGCATGCGACGTCGGCTACAGGGTATAAAGCCGTCGGCGTGTAACACTTCCTGTACAACCCTGTGCCGGTTGCCCTGGCCGGCACCGACAGACCGGGACCCACGAGACCCATTTACTGCTGCTGCCTACCTATGTGCACGATCTGTCACTGTAAAGAGAAAGTCCACCAATCGTTCAAAATCGCGAACGCGCGATGGAGTGTGTTCCAGATTCATCTTTGTCATCCTCCTGGGTGGGGACAAGAAGTTGAGCGAGGAAATTAGATATGTATGGATCCTGTTGATCATATATATCCTGCGCGTACATTGCACCAATGGCCTGCCTGTCATCAAGGCTCCCGGTAACCTCAACCATTCTTTATTATGGATTCTTTGCCGAGATCTTCGACGGGCCGCAGAGGCTCGCCGTTGACCGCAATGCACTCGGTCTGCCTTCTACTTGCACTTGCTGTTCTGTGCTTCACCAGGTCTGTCTTGGCAACTCCCGGACATCAGAACCCAGCAGTTGCACCTCCAGTCCCGATCTTCGCATCAAACGTTCTGGCTCCTACATCGAATCTTCAAAGACGTGACGCATTGCTGTGCGGTGAAGGCAAACCTTGCGTCGATGGAAGGTATGATGATGACAACGGTTACAATTGTGCTATCTGGGGCTGACTATGATCACAGCTGCTGCGGTACAAATGGCAAGTGTGGTTATGGCCCAACTTTTTGTGGTAGTGGCAACTGTACCTCGAATTGTGATGCTCTTGGTATGTCAACGAGTCAGCTGACTGAATACTCCGATTTGGCTAATCAACCCGGCTACAGCGATGTGTGGTCCTTACAGCATTGATGGCGACCAGAAGTGTGGCATGAACCTGTGCTGCTCGGCTTATGGATGGTGTGGAACCGACGACGTGCACTGTGATTCCACCCCAACGGAAGCGAACGGGATGGCACCTTGCCAGGCAGACTATGGCCTCTGTAAGATCATCCCTGCCCCCTCTTGCGGAGAGGGCTCAGGATCGACCAATGGACGAGCCATCGGGTATTATCAGGCCTCCAATACCCGTGATCGGTTATGCAATCGCATATCGCCGTCGCAGATCAACCTAGACGGGCTGACCCATCTCTACTTTGCCTTTGCCAAATTCGATCCTAGCACATTTGCTATCGTGCCTGGCGATACTGCCGACGAGGAGCTCTACCCTGAATTCACGGCTTTGCAATCTAAAGGGGTGAAGACATGGGTAGCCATCGGTGGTTTCGACTTTTCTGATCCGGGCACTGCTACCCACACCGCTTGGTCCGACATGGTGTCCAAGAGTGCTTCCAGGAGCGCATTCATCACTTCTCTCATGGCGTTTATGAAGAAGTGGGGCTTTCAGGGTGTGGATATTGACTGGTAGGTTCTTATCACCCATTCCACTCACTCTCCGAGGATGGTACTAACACATTTCGATAGGGAGTATCCTGCTGCGGCTGCACGAGGCGGCGTGTTGGCAGACACTGTCAATTTTGTCAGTCTGGTCAAGGAGATGAAAAGCGCCTTTGGTGATAGTTATGGCATCAGTTTGACTTTGGCTCCTGATTATTGGTATCTCCGCGGGTTTGATGCGAAGGGAATGGAGCCATATGTTGACTTCTTTGGTTTCATGGCATACGTAAGTTTTACTTATCCAACCAATAAGCTTGTGCTGATAACTTAGGACTTGCACGGTTCTTGGGACACCGACGTCAAGACCTTGGGGTCGAAGGTCCGTGGTCAAGCGGATATCAGGGATATCAGCAATGACACCCTGCCTTTGTGGTTTGACGACTTGACGCCTTCGAAGATCAACTTTGGGTTGGCATACTACGGCCGTGGTTATACGCTTAGTGACCCTAGCTGTAACACGCTGAACTGTGCTTTCTCAGGGCCTAGCAAGCCAGGTACTTGTACTAACTTTGCTGGAGTCATGTCGTTGCTGGAAATTGAGAACATTATCAAGGAAAAGAAGCTGCAACCTACTCTTCTCAGCGAGGCTATGATGAAGCAAATCACCTGGGATGATCAGTGGATCGGATACGACGACGCTGACACCATCAAATTGAAGAAGGCATGGGCTGATGGACAATGTTTCGGCGGTACCATGGTATGGTCTGTCGATTTCAATTCGGGAAGCGGAAGCGGTGATACTCCGACCAAGACCACCGACGGAACCTGCGGACCCAAGTTTGGCAACACCGTCTGTGGAGACTGGGAGGCGGGAAGCTGTTGCTCCGCTGCTGGGTACTGTGGTAGCGATTCCGTGCACTGTGGCAATGGCTGCAGCAGCGGAGATTGCACGACCGGTGGCCAGACAACCGACGGCACTTGTGGAAATTCCTTTAGCGATTCATTCTGTGGAACCTTTTCGACTGGAAGCTGTTGCTCGTTGGCAGGCTATTGTGGCAGTGATGATGCTCACTGCAGCAAAGCGAACTGTCAGTCGGGATGTCCTACCACGGATGGAACTTGTGGAAAGCAAAGTACCTATAACACTTGCCTGGGATCGAACTACGGTGACTGCTGCTCATGGGATGGATATTGTGGTAATACGGACGCCCATTGCGGCGCCGGCTGCCAGGATGGAAATTGTTTCTATACAGGTGCCCCAGCTAACACGACTGACGGGAGCTGCGGAGCACAGAATGATTATATGACCTGCCTTGGATCGAGGTTCGGTGATTGCTGCTCAAGTTACGGATCTTGTGGTAATACGACTGCCCATTGTGGCGCCGGCTGCCAGAACGGTAACTGTATCACTACAAGTGGTCCACAAACCACGACCGCGCCGACAAGTACCAGTTACATCAGCTGTACGCATCAGAACCAAGAACCTGGACTGGGCATAACAAAGGCATACTGCGTATGCTCGGGGTCCACATTCGACGAGCTAGTAGCGACGCAAGTAACACCGTACAACAGCTGTGCATACACAGCGCTGCCAACCATCACTGGAGGAGGCGACACCACGGCGCTGCCAGTGTCGACCAACACGGCCCTGTGCCAGGTGTGCACCGTCGTTGGTAACAACAACGACGTCTGCACGAGCCTGGACAACTGCACGCCGACGCCGACGACTACTGTCACGCCAACGCCGGCGACAACCGTCACAGCGCCAACGGTGACGATGACTGGTGTTGGTATCCCTGAGTCCAACCCTGCGGGCGTGACCTGCTTCAACACCTGGGAACATGTGACCAACGACGTAGGAAAATACTCCCCCAATTCCAAACCGTTTCCTCGTTGCTAACTTTTGCCTATAATAGCCCGTCGTCCAGTACTGGTACGTGGTTGTGGCCAACGCCGAGAACTCCATTAAGGCTGACCGCGTGTGGAACCACCTTAACCTGAACGGCTGTGCTCCGACCGAGAACAAGTACTACGTTGAGTCTAAAATCAACGGCTGCGCCCTTACCTTCCACACCAGTGAGGCCTGTACCGCTCAGCGTGTTAGCAACGCCCTCCGCTCCGGCTCCGACCCCGCGATGAACATTGCCTGCGAGTTCACCGAAAAGGAAGGCGCTGACCCCTTCGAGGGCGCGGCTGGTGCAGTCGATGCCGTCCTCGAGGGAATCTTGGAGGCGTTCAAGGCGTAAAGTGTATTCATACCGACGTGTACAATTCAGCTTTTCAAGTACTGGAGCAGTGGGGGAGGCCCTTACAAGTATGCATCGCGCCGCATACCCTTATAAGTATGCATTACGCCGCATACCCTGTGCGGATTTAAATTCAGTAGAAGAAACCCAGCGCTTAGGATTGACCAGGGGATTGCGGATTTTCAAAGAATGGGTATACGGATTTACTAGGAAACCAATGTTCCCGTTGTCGTAATAAGCTATAATTTTGATAAATAGGAAATTTAACTATTATGATTTCAAATCACTTGTTAAATTCCGGATTAAACTTATAATTATAGAAATATTTTAATAAGAAGAGTTAAGGTATAAATATAAATGTTTTACGTTATAAATTCTCTTATTTAACCGATATAGTCGAATTTAAGTGGATTCGGGCAATTTTATTTACATTTTCGTAATTAATTAAGCTCGAACTAAGCCGTAATAAGTATATAACTAGTAAAGTAATAAGTGTTAGTTATATTAATATTATAAGGGAGCTAAATAAGTCGTACGACTTTCGTCGTAATTATCCAGGGTTTAATTAATATAAGGTCGAAGGGATAAAACTTTATAAATAGTCTAAGGGTTATACTCCTTTATACTTTTAACTTTAGTAACATAGTTAGTTTTTATAATATTTATTATTATTAAATACGCCGTAGGACTCTAAGTCCCTCGGTACCTCTCCGAATTAAACCGTACGGTAAACCTTGCCTTAAGGGCTGGACAAAACCCGTGCGCTTCGTGTGCTCTACGCTCTAATAGCGTCTACGTTATAGTGTCTATAATGCGATTTTAGTTCTCACCTAACCAACGTAACTACCCCTGAGAAGACTGCCTATCCCCTATATAGGATAGTCTCCCCGTTTGTAATAGCCACCGAACTAGAACCTTCGACACTTTCGGGATTAACGTAGCCGCGGCGAGGTCGCGGCGTGTATCCAGTCTTACCGGTGCTATAAAGCTCCTTAGGCGTGCTTGAGCCTCTTCTAATAGCCCGCAATGGAGGAATACGTGTACGACTGTTTCGGGGGCTTCGCCGCAGCGGCAGAGGGGTGTATACGCTCCGAACGCGTCTATTCTAAATAAGAAGGCTGCGAGTCCAATCCGTTCAGACCGGATTTGGAAGATTATCGTGGCTTCTTTCCTCTTAAACTTCTCATACTGTTTTAGACCGGTTCCAGGGGCTTTATCGGCTAGTGCTCTACGTTGGCGATCATCTTGCAAAGCGTTATCGCTTTGTCTACGCTTTTGGCAGTGTCTAGAGAGAGCTTGTCGTAGATCTGGTCCTTCGGCCCATCTTAGTGCTCGTTCGTACTTCTCGATCGGGTATGCTGCTAGGCGTAAGGGAAGCGGTAACGGCTTTCTTCGCCTGACCGGCTTCGCTTTTTTTAATAATAGTACATTCGGAAGACGACAAGAATGGCTCGTCGTTATTAATTAATGTTATTTTAATTATTAAGTTTATTCTTTCCATTTATTTATTAGTGATTAGTCCGCGAGTGAATTAACGAGTTCGTCGTAAGGCTTATAACTTAAGGGATAAGATAATAATCTTAGTTTACTAGTTAAAAGGATAAAAGGCTAAAAGATTTTACACGCTCGCGTTAATTAGCTTTTCAATAAGTTTTAATATTATTGTTAATAAAGATACCGTAAGGGTATTAAGGCCTTAAGTAAGTAAAACAACTTAAACAACTTTATTATAATTTTAAGAAGTTAACTCGAGTTACATTTAATCGATTTAATATAAGGTAGCTCTTTACCCTAACTTATGTTCGCTTATAATGTTAACATATTACTAGGATTTGTCTTATAAGGTCGAGAAGCCTTAAGAGGTTTTATGTAAAGGACGTTAAAATTAACTAACAATCTCATCCTTAGAGCATTATTAAAACAGGTATTCTATAAAGAGTTAAAGGGGTTAGAAAGGTGTTACAGTACCCACAGCGGGGCTGTGGGATATGACAGGTATATAGACAGCTCTCTCTGACCTGTAACTAGAATAGCTTTCAAGACAAGACATATTACAAGCCCATATCAACTTTACAGTTCGTGACGTTGTAGGCTTGTTGTCTCATACCAGTGTTGTCAACTCTCACAACTTAGTGCTAACCGCACCCATACTCTCACAAAAGGGCGACTATCGCTGCTAAACAGCGGCGCACGATAATGGCAATGTTAACTACTTCGACAACGTCCTAGACCTTAGTCTATGGCTTGGAGATGGCTTTAAACAACGCCGTGTATTTGATTTCTATGTCAAGGACGTCGAAGACCCAAATTCACAATTTTCAGGATTTGTTAGAGATAATAACAATTCTCTTCACGGCAATTACGTCCTCTACTACACGATCCTCTCCTCCCTCTCACTTAATAAATACTATACGAATTACATCGGTTTCGACCCTCCTAAAGATAGATTATTCTGGAGAGGCGATCTATTCGTCATTTAATACAAAGGCGAGTTAGGCATGGGACACGAATATGTGGACACGCCCTTAGGGTTAGCACGGATCATTAAGGACACTATGAGGAGTGCATATTGACGTTGTACACTAAAAGGTGTTATTAAGAGTGATGAGAAGTTGGAACGCGTAATGCAGGAAACAGTGGGTACCATTCTTGGGACAAAGCACTTAAGATAAGGATCATAGGACGATGTCAACCAGACTTAATGCCAAACATAGGCTATCTTAACGTCGAACTTGTCTGCTAGGCAATTTCATTCGCAACCGCCAAAATCGAACAATCTCCATCTCTTAGTAGCTCCTATACCGTCGATAGCTGCCTGCAATAAACCTCTACGATTTGAATCCCTAATATCCAAGGGGAATCCGCTCCTTCTGCTGGTAAAGGCCACAGCAACGACGGCGAGCACAACGGCGTGCACGACGATGGAGGGAACTGCTTCCAGAACACCATGAAAAAGGCATACTACGAGCGTACAACAAAGGAGGGGCACGACGATGACAAGCACAACAGCGGACACGATGATAAGCACAGCAATGGGCACGCCGATAACAAGTGCAACAGCGGGCACGACGATGACAAGCACAAAAGATGGCATAACGATGACAGCAACGGCCATCGCGCGTAGTATGTCGTTTGAAGACCCGTTTAGTGAGCTTATGATAAATCTGAGTCGTGGAATTAAGATATGTACAAGTCGAGGTTGGAGCAAAGCACTAAGTCCATGCTCTTATTACTATCATAATGCAATGACTTAATTGGGGAAACTCCGTTAATTATCGCCCTTACGATCATCCAGCCAGCCAATCATGAACGCATCCAATGATACGCTCTATCTATTTCGTCTCCAAAGCCAAGCCTCAAACTCCTCGCCTTCCAACCTCTTTGGAATCATCTTTTCAAACAGTCTCCATCTACTCGACGTCCCAAACAAACGATGCTCTGCCGGCCTTGCGACTAGAGATTTCATACGGATGGTCAGCGGGCTATTATCCCCCTCACAACACAATCTCGCATTATACGCCTTCTAAGCAAAGACTTTTGCCCTAGCCTGGTCTCCATACGCGATGGCGATTTGGAGCGCGTCGTAGTACGCCCTAGGTACTCGCGCGTCGGTGATATTTTCGGCCTCCAGTAGTTTTAGCAGGGTGTGGACATCCTCAAGGCATTTGGCTGGATTGGAAAGGAGACGAGATCCATCGCCGAGGAGCTCATCGAGTCGCGTGATCTCGCTTTGGCGATTGTCAATAACTGGTCGTGCAGCTTCTAGCAAACTGCAAAGCTTGCAAGTATAATCGAAAGGGAATGATTTCTTGAGGTGACGACGCCGATTTTCGAATGTTCCAGTGTCTGCGTAGCTAATTGTCATTTCCTCGCCCTTAGTTATGCTTTAAACGGCGTGGATTGTTTCTTCTCCGATACTGTTATTCCATGTGTGTTGACAACTTGAGACACATGCGTCATTAATCCTTGATGCCACAAGAAACAGTCCACCTTCTAACGCAGTGGTTCCTAATGGAAGGGCGTTAGTCTTAACGTTACCACTCAACGGGTAAGAACCACTTGGCGCAACGTTATAGAGTGAAAGGAAAGCCCTTTAGTCATTTTCCGAGAGGAGATTAAGTTTTCTGTCAATTGCTCTTTCAAGAGCTGGCTGTTCGATCCCGATCCCAGATTTCGGTATCCGGAACAGTGGCTTTTCAGAGATAATCCGCGTGCCTTTTGGGATATCTTGTACTACGATGAGTCCTTGGCCCTTGCCTGGAAGAGCCGTCAAGATGTAGAATGTCGAGTTATCCTTCCTTGGAATATCAACCTCATTCTCGGGTGTGCCATCAAAGTCTATCGGACCCGGCACCGGAGGTTTAAATGGCGTGCCAAAAGCTACAGGCGGAGAAGGGGCAATAGAGGGAATGTTCTTGTCGGGATTGATCATTAGAGCGTGAGCTTCGGAATTTATATGTTGGCCAAGAGCACGCTCGTTACCAAACGAAGGACCGCACTTCTCACATTTAAACGGTTTTAGACCTGCCGTTTTAACCCTGCCCATTGTGGATAGAGTGTATAATGATACTGATACTATAACAAAGGAATCTGTTAACAATAAGATAAAAAATGGAAAGGTAATCGTAGGACATCAACAGTGAAAACGACCAAAAGCTGCATTGTGACGTAGCTCTTTTCGGACGAACTACCAAACCAACAGAAACCATAAGACTGCTTAGTCACTACAACCTGCTTCTCAGCTGAATATACAGGTCTCGAAATTTTGGATGTTAAAGTAGTAATTGACCGTGATATAAATACTGAATCTATGCATTGAAATCGGGATAACACTTGCGTAATAGCACCACGGTGATAAATCGGGGAGAATAAATACTGCCCCAAACCGCAGGGTGTTAGTTCGCCGACCAGGGAAGTCACACACGTGACTAAGCTGAGAATTATGGCTATAACGAGCCCAGGCATGAACATGGTAAAGTTTATCTCGGCTAATGTTCATTACTCGGCACTGAAACAGAAATAACCCTTGTTCGCATCGGCGTAACTCCCGGACTGCATCTTTTTCCTCTCTAAGTGTCTTTAAAGTTTGGAACCATATTATTTCGTGATAACACCTTTCCTTAAGTGCTCCGAATCTTGAAAAAACTTTAATAGTCGCGATTAAACAAGAAGGGAAGCGGAGGCGGCAATTAGTGGCATGATGAAAACGATTAATAATATTATCAAGCGCAACTCTTTTTCTTATTACTAAGTGGTGTCCTTAGAGAAATAGTTGAAGAAAGTCATATAGTAATAATAACTTTATAGACTTGCTAAGAAAATAATTGTGCCTCCAAAACTATAGATTCGTCTCGTTACAGGGTGCGTCTCGCTGTATAGGGACAGACGTTACCTTGCAAGCTGCGTACGACATGTTCATACGAGGCGAGGCGCTAAAGAGAGTTATATTCATCTGGGAAAAAAAGACTGGGCGAAATTGATAGCTCGATTTGACAATAGATCATACATAGTCTTTCCAACGTCTATGACATTCTATGATTGCGCAAGTCTTGTGACTTTTGCAAAGCTTTAATCACTTCTGCCGTCGACGCCGTGCCACCGAACCTTCGTAGGGCGTGTAGAGCGGCTAAATGGTCTGGTTTATTGCATGTCCCAGTCGCATCACTTATGGTAGTAACGGCGAAGTCCATCTGATAGGCATCTCTTGCCGTCGACTCGACACATACATCCGTCCCCACTCCTGTCAAAATCAAATGGTTGACTCCGCGCTCCTTTAGGGTATTTTCCAGCGACGTCCGAAAGAAACCAGAATTTCTCGTTTTATCGACAACTTTTTCGTCGGGCTCGGGCGTGAGTTCGTCTAGGATATCGGCATCCCAAGACCCTCGTATCAGACCTTGCAGTTCTTCAATACGATCCCCTCTGTCGCGGCCGCGTCTGTCAGAGTAGTCGGCGTTGTATCCTGTCCTTAGGAAGAAGACCGGGATATTAGCGGCACGGAACGCGGAGCGCAGCTCGTTGATGTGCGGAACAATCGCTATTGGTTCGCTTTGCGAGCCCATCTTTGCGAAGCTACCTTGTTTGTGGCAGAAGCCGTTTTGCATATCGACCACCAAAAGCGCTGGAGCGGAATCGAGTTGGACCATCTTAGTGAACGGCTGCTTTGTGTCTATTGTAATTTTCGGTATTGAAGGCTCTTACGAGAGGAAGTTGAGACTCAGGGTTGAACTTAATGTGGGGAACACGAGAAGAGTTGAATGAAGATAAAACTGATGAGAGGCAAGAATCCTATAATTCTATGGTGTGAACCGGTAGAAAACTTTCGCCTTGAAAGCTCATTAGGGACATAAATGTTGCTGTACATATAACACGACACGGTACGCGCCGTGCCTAGCGTGACTCATAATGCTCATTCCCATGCATTAGTCGTACTAGTACGATAAGCAAGGGGATGCGCATTGACTAGGCATGGAACGCAGCCGAAAATAGACCGTGTCGTGTGTGTATACTATGGTAGCAGGCCCAAAAAAGGGCATGTGGGGCAAGTACCACACTTCTGGGCCCGCTCGATGCAAGGGCCAGAAGACGATTGCAGACGCGGCCACTTTTGGCTGACATGCTGACGCGACAAGCAATTCGTTTTCGTTCCCGCCACGTACTCCATCCGTACAACTTGACAACACCGATTAAGCTTCTTGTTTTAGTCCATTCCAAACGCAGCCCACCTGATCTCTTCATTGACTGTGAGGCAACTGCTTACGGTAGATCTAACGAGGCTATGAAGCGCGTATCAGCGTACGCTAAACTCAGGGAGTCGATAGTTGGCGGCGGCAAATTAGAAGCCGAACAAGACTACCGGTATATCAAGCTGTCCGATAAACAAAAGCGGCTTTTCGACTTGGTGCGGAATATTCTCGTGGCGTATCATGAGGATGGAAGTATGGTTTTATACTATTAGACGAACTGATGAGCAGTGTCGACGACGACATGAGAACAACTATGTTAAATAGTAGAAAAGAATTTTACAGCATATATTATCGTGGCTAATCAACCATCGTTTGATGACAATGGAAAAGGCAGATGTTATTATGACAATACAGACAAGAGAAGTAACCAGGACAAACCTGGGCCGGTGATGAGTTGCACTTGTATCATAAATCTGATATTGTTCTCGGTATGTTAAATCTGATAAAAGTCATTGCGTTCATGTGTGGCGTGCACTCATGAGGATTAGTTCTGGCTAAACTAGTCCGAGACCACACATAGATCTAAAGTAGCGCCGATGAAAGGTTTATAAATATTTCGCATGAAGTCATAGTTACTTCAGTGTAAGTCGAAACTTCAGCTAGACCGAGAGGCTGAGGCTGCCCAATAGGTGTGGTGTGCATCAGTGCTAGGTCCTCGCTCTCCTTCATCTATACTCTAAGCCTCAATTGCCACAAGATATCGGTTAATCTCTTCATCGTTTTCCCAATAAACCATCTCATCGTCGAACAGGTTCAAACTAATCTCGACGCCGCCATGGGTCTGGTTCCGGGGCAATATGTGGCCAAGTCGTACGTAAGGCGCGTATCTGGCATGGAGCACCCGGAAGGACTGCGGTATGCCACCGTTGCCAAAATAGCGGTCGCCAAAGCTAATCTCGTTCAAGGGGAAGTGCACAAGGTTAGAGATTAGCAGGTCAGCCGACTCGTGCCTCTCAACGAAGCGACCTTGCACGCGCGATAGATCGGGCGTTGCTCGCAGAAAGGTGTACGCTTCACGAACCTTCTGAGTATCTAAGCGGGTGGCGCCCTCCCGGATGGCCTGGGCTATGCGGCCCAGCGGTGTCGAGGGTGCTATGAGCTCGGCCACAGGAATGCGTGCGTTGTTGAGCAAGAAGCAGTTCCCGAGATAATCTTGTGGGAAGCCAGAGCCGATGCGAGCTCGCACGTCAACAGGTGACTCGAACACGGACACGGCATCCTCGAGCGGCCGCGAGCGGGCAGCCGCTGCCGCAGAACGGGCCCTAAGCACGCCACGCCACACCAAGGCATTAATGGCATCACTGGATGAAATGGGTGAGGACCCCTGTGGGCTTGGTTCTGCAAGGCATTCGTTCTTGAGTGTGGTGAGGTCCTGGCCCGAGAGAAACATGACGCGATTGAGCATGACTAGAGGGTGGCCCGGGGGATCTGCACCGCCTGCTATCTCCTGCTGGGTCGAATCTGCAACGCTCTCACCTGGGTAGTTGGCATCTAGGCTGACCAGAGTCCGTAGCCACGGGTCGTCAGAATTATTGCTTGGTGTGGGACCCTCTAAATCATTCGCCCAGATGCGGTCCAGAAGGCGACGATCTCGGTCCTCGGACGTGAAACGCGACGGCGCAGCTAAACATCCTTCATCACGACCGTGTAGCTCGCTGAAGTTATTGGCCCACAGCTTGAACAGGCTCAACATACCTGTGGCGTCAGTAGATGCGTGAGATGTGGTGAAGGCCAGCAGTAAGCCGCCCGGGAGGAAGTTTGCCTGGGCCAGAAAGACATCGGCACCTGCCACAGCCACATCACCCAACGCGGCGGGCGCTTCCAGGAGGAGCTCCTCCGGAAATATATCGCTAGGGAAACCACAATCCCGGAGTTCGTCATACGTCCAGTCCGTGTCGAGCTGACGGTACTGCAGCTGGTGCGGCCTTGGGTCGTCAAGTGAGCAGGTCCGGTAGCGTATCTCGAGCTGCCCTGGCCGCCAATCTGGAGCGTCAGATGACTGGCGGAACACTTTGCCGCTGGCCCATGGCTCTTGTATAAATGTCTTCTGTAGGGCTAGGTGCAGCTCGTCGAACACGAGTTCATTCTCCACTCCAGACCTCAACGGGAGGGGAAAGAGTAAGCGGACGTAATTACAAGGCGGAATGTAGTCTAGCACATTAAGAGTTTGGTGAAGCTCGCTCGAAGTCATTGCAAAGGATTTCGTCGCTCAGAAAGAAAAGGACGGTAGAAGTAGCACAACATAAACACAGATACTGGATTACCGGTTTTAGATACATAATTTCAACTTGCAGACTATGTACTGACTCGAACTAATTGCTCAATAGTTTTCTAGTTCGGCTTCTGTACGAGTTCTCAAATCGCGCCTCTCAGGTCAGCCGCCCAGAGTCAGCCATGCGCTTACTAGTTGACTCCGGAATTGCTGGTCGGAGTCAATATCTGACAAGCTCAATCCTGTATATCTTAGGGATAATCCTAATCAGGTTAGACCGACTCCCAGGATCCTGATCTTTAGTCAGGTATGTCTTCTCAAGATAAGGATCGATGGACCTGTAGGCGACGAGAATTACGACCGCTTCTAGATACCTCGCAAGATACTTGCACGTGCAGGGAAGCATCCTATACGAGTTTAGGGACACTACATTTCAGATAGCCAGCCGAGTCAGGTCCTAACTCCACCAGTCAAGGATGTCCGTCTGACGGAGTCAAGTTGACCCCATGTCTTCGCAGGGGCCCTCCCATCCTTTTTGTAGACGGACGATTCAACTGTATACCACAATATGACAAGCTACACGAATATATCAATCCCAAGTTGGAAAGCCGTAAACCTGGCAGTCATCAATCCGCGCCCGTTCAAGGAAGAGCCACACCAATGGTCTTCCTCTGGTCTCTGATACTCCATATCCCTGCGAGTCCTGACCTGCATCAAAAATTTGGTAGAGTACATGGATGGATCGTAACAGCAGAAAAGAGCAGCCCGGCAACGTTAGATGTAATAACACCCATTAAAAACTTCCCACCTGGTAGGGCGGAAAGCGCGCATGTCAGTATAAGTGAAAAAGAAAAAATCAAATCAGTGGAACGGATAGATAGGCTAACCACGCAAAGACGAAACCATGAGAGACACATCATCTATTGAGCCTATCGCCATAGTGGGTCAGTCTTTTCGACTGCCCGGTGGAGCCGACGATGTGGACGGCCTTTGGAGGCTGCTTGAGAGCGGCAAAACGGCATGGACGAGCGTGCCGGAGGACAGATACAACGGAGAAGTGAGTATACAACAATTGAGAACACAAATAAGACCCAGAAAAAAGAAAAGAAAAGAGACAAGAAGTGGTATATCATAAATAAACAACTGTCATAGCAAAGCACGAAGGAGAGGAGAGATTGGAGAACAACAGATATGTGACAATAAACACTTCACTAAACATCCGACAGGCTTTCTACCACCCCAGTGCTGACGACCCTAACGGCACAAGCAACCACCCGGGTGGCCACTTCATCTCGGGAGATGTGCGCGACTTCGACCATGCCTTCTTCCACTTCTCCAAGTCTCAAGCCGCCGCCATCGACCCACAGCAGCGGCTGCTATTGGAATTGGCCTATGAGGCGCTCGAAAGCGCCGGCATGCCGCGTGAGGCAGTAGCAGGGTCGGCCACATCAGTTTATACCGCCATATTCCCTATGGACTACGACCGTCACTTATATAAGGACACAATGGACCTTCCCGTTTATTACATGACCGGCGTCGAGAAGGCCATGCTATCAAATCGCATCTCGCACCTGCTAGACCTGCGCGGACCTTCTATGACGCTTGATACGGCATGCTCTGGGGGTCTTGTCGCGCTGCATCAGGCATGCCAAAGTCTGCAAAGCGGCGAGTCGGATACCGCCCTTGTGGCTGCCTCAAACCTCTTGTTAGGGCCGGATCACTTCATCGGCCTCAGTAACTTGCATATGCTTAGTAGTAGCGGACGGTGCTACCCATTTGATGATCGTGGTGAGGGCTACGGGCGAGGCGAGGGCGTAGCCGTATTGGTTTTAAAGCGTCTCGAAGATGCTATCCGAGATCGCGACCCAGTGCGCGCCGTGGTCCGGAGCACTGCCATCGGGCAAGATGGTTACACGCCACAAAGCATCACTTACCCCAACGGCCAGGCCCAAGCCGAACTAGCCCGGACGGCATACCTCCGAGCTGGCTTACGGCCCCAGGAAGTGGCTTACGTCGAAGCCCACGGCACTGGCACCAAAGCTGGCGACCAACAAGAGTTGGAAGGTATCGCCAGCGTCTTTGCAGATTCCGCAGTCCGTCAAGTACCTCTCTATGTCGGCTCTATCAAGGGCGCCATTGGCCATACAGAAAGCACTGCTGGTTTAGCCAGCTTGCTGAAAGCGGCGGTGATGCTTGAACGTGAGCTAATACCACCGGTTGCCGGTTTCGAAAATCCCAAACCTGGCCTACCCCTGGACCAGATACAGGTACCGACCAAGGTGATACCTTGGCCTCGTGCGGAAGGCGTCACACCCCGTATATCAATCAACAGCTTTGGATTTGGTGGTGCCAACGCTCATGCTATTCTCGAGCGCGGACCGCGAGCCCCAGTAAGGACGTATGCTGATGATGCCGTGTGCCCCCGCCTCTTTACTCTTTCAGCCAATAGCCCAGCCTCATTGAAGGCCATGATACAAACCCAGCACGACTGGATTGAGCATCGGGAGGAAGTATCACTAGCAGACCTGTCTTATACCCTTTTGCACCGCCGCTCAGCCCTGCCTTATCGTTTCAGTACCGTGGCCAGCGGCCACGCATCGCTCATGGACGCATTCCGCCAAGGCCTCGCCGTACCCATTAGCAAGCCGGTCCGCACTGAGATGGACATCGTTGCTGTGTTCACGGGCCAGGGAGCCCAGTGGCCAGGCATGGGCCGCGAATTACTGCTTGAAACCACGCCACCGTCCGTGTTCCGCAGCTCTATTCGCGTTTCGCGCGATATCCTCCACGAGCTGGGCGCTACCTGGGATCTCGAGACAGAGCTTTTGCGCGACACAACAGAGTCTCGTCTTAACGAGGCTGAGTTGGCACAGCCGGCCACGACAGCTTTGCAGATTGCCCTGATCGCACTGGTCCGCGCACAAGGTCTGCGGATTTCGGCCACCGTGGGCCACTCCAGTGGCGAGATAGCTGCAGCATATGCTGCGGGCTATCTGTCCCATGCAGTCGCGCTCAAGATTTCTTTTCACCGCGGCTTCATGGCCATGGCTGTAAAGACCAAAGGCCTCGGCCCCGGTGCTATGTTATCCGTGGGGCTCGACGAGCAGGACGCCATGAAATATCTCGAGGGGCTCTCGGCAGGTGAGGCTGTAGTCGCTTGTGTGAACAGTCCCCGAAGCGTGACCATCTCCGGTGATGATGCGGCGATCCAAGAGGTAGAGAATCGCATCACTGCAGCTGATGACGGCACATTCCATCGTAAGCTCCTAGTGGACACGGCATACCACTCTCACCACATGCGAGCCGTTGCTGACGATTACCGTGCACGTCTTGGGACACTGGAAATAGAGCATGGTAACCCTGCTCATGAAATTGTCTTCATATCGTCTGTTACGGGTGAGCCCAAGACGTCTGATTTTGGTGCGGAATACTGGATCGCCAACCTCGTATCCCCCGTCCGATTTAGCGACGCCGTGCAAACACTGGGTAAAGCCCGCCATCAGCGGCATGCGGTCTTTATCGAAATTGGCCCGCATCCAGCCCTCTCGGGCCCGGTCCGACAGAGCCTCCAGCACCCGGACGTGCCCAAGTTTAGCTTCGACTACCGAGCGACTCTGGAGCGCAAAGTGGGCGCTGTCACCAGCGTATTGGCGCTGGCTGGGCAGCTGTTCGAGAGTGGTGTCAACATCAACTGGGATGCTGTGTCGACGCTTGCACCAGACGCACAAAAGGCAGTGGTGCGTCATGACCTCCCGGCGTACACGTGGGACCACTCAACCAAGCACTGGCATGAGTCACGTGTGGCACGAGCCTATCGCCTACGAAAGGAGCCCTATCACGACCTACTCGGCTTACCGGTGTCTGATGGGACGGATATGGAGCCTCGTTGGCGCCATTTCCTTAGTCGGGCAACTCTGCCGTGGCTGCAGGATCATGTTGTCGACGGTTTGACTGTGTTCCCGGGTGCAGGTTATGTCTGCATGGCAATTGAGGGAGTCGCGCAACTAGCACGTCAGCGCTTCCCGCAGCGGCTGCTCGAGACGGTGGCAATTCGCGACATTTCATTCAAACGCGGACTCGTCATACCGGATTCACAGCGTGTAGAACTCCAGTTGAGTCTGCGACCGCAGACCAGCGCAGATCTGTGCTTCCGTTTTGCCATCACAGCACTCTCGGACAGTGGAGAATGGTATGAACATGCCACTGGTGTTGTCGAGGGCATACTGGCAGAGAGTAACAGTGTTACGTCTGAGACGATAGCAGAAGAAATTCCAGTGCTTCCTCCTGGTAGCGACACGACCTCTGCAGAGAAGTTGTACAAAGACATGGACGCTGTTGGTAACACGTACGGCCCAGGGTTCACTGGTCTCCACTCGATATCCATGGCTGCAGATGCGTCGCAGGCCTCATCCGCATTTGACATTCTGGACATTCAGGCAATGATGCCAGCTCAGCACCAGCAACCGCATGTTATCCACCCATCTACCCTTGACATTATATTCCACACTGCGCTGCCACTTGCGGGCCGGCGTTTAGGCCCTGGCTCCATTATGCCGGTCCACGTCGGCGAGGTGCTGATCTCGACCACCCCTTCGCTAACCAAGCCCGGGGCTCCGCTCGATGTTTCGACCCTGCTCACATCAAGCAGTTTTCGGACTGCTGTATCAGATATCAAAGTCTTGGCGCGTGGCCACCGCGTCCTTTCAATCTCAGATATGGAGTTCAGGAGTCTGGGAGGGCTTGAGAACAATGGCCATGACGGCAATGCTTTGCATGAGATTTGCTATGAGCTGGATTGGAAAGTCGATATCGAACATATGCGACCTGAGGATTTACCGTCAGATAGCACTCTAGCGCATGTTCTGGCTCAGACCACCTTGAAACGCCAGCGGTTCACCTCCATCGGCCTGGGTGCCAGCGTGGACCTTACCGGGGAACTGCTGAACGGCCTTGGTGGCGTTGACAAGGTAGCAGCGCACGAATTTATCGACACGACTCCTGGTCGCTTCGAAGACGCCGCCAAGCGCCTCAAGGGTTTCCCAGTGCAATATCGTACCCTCCGGCCTGGCACTAACCCCACTGCGCGTGGCTTTGAGGTCGGCGTATACGACATCGTGATAACGGCTTCATCCAAGTGGCTCAGTCAAGCTGCAATGTTCGTCAAACCCGGCGGCATTGTGTTGCTTGTGCTGTCTGCGCGAGACTCAAAGGATAATACATGGCGCGCAGTCATGACGAAGATGTCTCCTCCTCTAGAAGAGCAGTTGACTCTACGCGAAGAAGTTCACGGCAAGTTAATCGTTGTGGCGAAGCCAGTTAGACCTCAGATTTCCACCAATGTTCACATCCTTACCCACACTACGGATAATCGACCAGCCTGGGTTTCGGAGCTTGAGAAAGGGCTGGGCGACCGTGCACCGTACGTTTCGCTCAGAGCCCTCAGTCCAGGAGCTCTTGAGGCTCTAGCCAGTAATGGCGCAACCGGAGATGACAATAACGAAACGATAATTGTCGTCGATGATCAGCCTGACTCGCCTATTCTGGCTGACCCTCATGCTTTTATCGCCGCTAGAACTCTGCTGACGCAGCCCTCTCGGATCATATGGCTCAGCCCTGACAGCCCCCTACCTTTCCACCAGATTGAAGGCTTCGCACGGACGGCTCACGCAGAAAACGACCATTTGCGACTCACCACTATCCATGCAGCCCCGGGCATGCTTACAGCTGCCAACAATCACGACAGATTGCTTGATCTAGTAACTGCTGCTGCTGGTCAGGTTGGGAACCCCAATATACAGCACACAGAGCGCGAGTACCGCATTGGCGAGAACGGCACCGTGATGGTCCCACGCTTGCTTCGTAATGACAGACTCAACAAGGCCATCGCTGAGAACAGCGAGTATGGTCGTGAGACTAAAAGCCGCCGATTCATAGATACTGAAAAGCCCCTCGTGCTGTCCGGTCAAGGTCTAGGACTGTTCGTCGACGATGAAAAACACTATGGAGCACATCTCGGAAACGAAGAGGTCGAAGTGGAAGCACGGGCGATTGGGTTGTCCAAGGCTGGTTCGGCTGCTCCATTGGGAGAATATACAGGTGTCGTCACAAGTGTTGGTGCCGACGTCAAATCCTTGGCACCAGGTGACCGTGTTGCCGCCCTGGCTCCCGTCGTAGGGGCCAACAGAGTGCGTATTCCGCACAACCACGCTGGTCGACTGCCGCCCAATGTACCGTCCGACATTGCATCCACACTGATGCTGGATCTCATGGCTGCCACACATGCCCTTCGCGGTGTTGGCCGTCTGCTCTCCAGTGGGGGCACGGTCCTGGTGCATGGAGTCCGCACCAGCGCTGGGCGGGCGGCCGTTGCCGTTGCCCGTTCCATCGGAGCTCGCGTCACTGCCACGGCCTCTGATGCAACCGAGGCTGGCTTGCTCAGGGAACAGCTAGGGATTGATGCGGCCGATGTGCTCGTGGCGCGTCGTTCGCTTCACCGACGCTTGCCTCGTGATGTTTTCGCCGAGGGGCTGGACGTAGTTTTTCAGACGGGCGAAAGCTCTCCCCCTGCCGAGGTACTGCCTCTCGTCAAGCCGTTCGGCAGTGTTGTCGCGGTAGGGTCCTCGTCGCGGGCCGCTTTGGCACTCAAGCTTCCGCCCAATGTCTCCTTCCACCAGCTTGACGTGTCGGGGCTCATGCAATCCCGTCCTGACCTGATCGGTACCCTCTTTAATGAATCGATGAAGGCGTTCCATCATATACCATTGTCTGGCTTGGAGGTTCCCATTCGCGATGTGTCAGAGGTCGCGGAGGCGCTTCGACTGGTCAACACTGGCGTTCAACCAAAGGTTGTATTGAAGGCAGACCCCGAGTCCACCGTGCAGATCATTCCCGCTACCAAAACCGATCCTTGGTCTAACGAACGTGCTACGTATGTCGTTGCAGGTGGCCATGGTGATCTTGGTCGGCGGTTGCTCTTCCAGTTGGCGCGCTGCGGTGTCATGCATTTGGCTACGATTTCGCGCCGCACTTTCAACCAAGAAACACACGATACACTGCAAGCGCAACTCCAGATTGTCCGTCCTGGAATCTGTCTATACACACTCCAAGGTGATATATCATCTGAATCCAGCCTGCAGGCAGTGGCTGCCTCGCTTTTCCACCAGGGTGCACCACCTGTCCACGGTGTCATTCAAAGTGCCATGGTCATGATTGTGAGCCGTCTTTTTCTTTCTCCAATTTCATCATAGAATGCTAACGGTACATAGGACCGACCGCTAGAGTTAACGACGCACGAAGATTTCCTGAATGTGACCAAGGTCAAGGTGGACGGAACGCTCGCTCTCCACCGTGTCTTTGCATCTCGCGACTTGAGGTTCTTCCTTTCGTTGTCCTCGGTCGCTAGCATCGTCGGCGCGCAAGCCGAGGCTAGTTACAGCGCAGGAAACACAGTGCAGGACGCCTTGGCCCACCAGAGGCTGCCAGAGTCCAATGAAACCCGTTTTCTAACAATCAATATTGGCTGGAGTGAGGGCGCTGTCCTGACGCAGGCAGACGAGACGCGTCAGGGTGCCTTGCGCCGGGCGGGATTTAGCCTCATTCCTGTGGAGGAGCTCATGCGCTTCTTTGACTATATCCTCGGCACCGCGATGAGTTCTGATGCCAGCCCCTCCCAGGCCATCATAGGCTTCGATGCCGAGTCCCTTGATGGCGCAACCGCTCATAATGGCACGATCCAATCAGCCCTTTTCAGCCAGGTACGCGATGTGGGCCGAGCTAGTGAGGTCAACGCTGCCGAGGAAGGGGCTGGGGCCACAGCGGGTAGTGGGAAGACCTACGAGCAGGTCATTGCCGAAGGGGATACAGAGGCGGTGTCAGACTTCATCTCATACGCCGTGACTCGGCAGCTGGCGCGATTGATATCCGTAGAAGTAGGTAGTATCGATGCGCGCCAGGGCTCCATCTTAGCCTTAGGTTTAGATTCGCTGGTCGCGGTGGAGCTGCGCAACTGGGTCACCCGTCAGTTCGATGCGCCTCTTCAGTCTTCAGAGATCTTGGCCAATCAGACGGTGCATAGTTTGGCTGAGAAAATTGCCACACGATCCAAGAAGGCAGTAGGCGTCAGTGCTTGAGTCAAGAACGTTGGATTGGATTGGGATTTCTCATGTAGAATAATGAAAAGTGCTAAAAATCAATAGTCGAGAACCTATCTTTGCCTGTGTATCCAGTCTAGGACACTTTTTTGGGTTCAGGCTCCACCATCTCCTTGCGATTTACACGAATCGGATCGGCTGATGTGGAGCTTTGGTTTCCTCGCCAAAACGTCTGCAACAGTGTGGACTTTCTCTGCTGTCACTCTGCGAATCATGGTGTCACTTGTTCCTTTCGAGCTTCACCAGCTATCAACCTTGCATAGGTCAGCGGTCGTCAAGGTTTCAATGCCATTTAATGCCCAGCAGCGCCGAATGCTCTTTTCCACTCTTCATCATGTTGTCCTTACTGCCCACAGTAAGATCAGCGTATGCAGATTCGTAACTCACGTGTGTGGCATATGCTTCATGTTAATCGTCGCTAAGGGTCTCTAAGTCGATGCATTCCATCTTGTACCCCATCTTGTCGTCATTAGCCTAATAACCAATTGCACATTGACGACGATAGTTCATGATTGTTCAAAAACTATAACGTATAATCAATTTGCCAGTTCACTTGCTACGGGCGTGCATAATGTGTGTCTAACAACATCCAGTCGGTATTCTTCCCTTATTTTCCCTCCTTGGTTCATTGAGTCGTTTCGGCCTCTGCCTCCTCGGCCAACTTCTGGACCGTCATCGTAGCGCTAAGTAGCTTGAGCATGCTGATTTCCCTCCCAAACGTGGCAAGGAACCAGTTTCGCAGCTCAGCTGCGACCATGCTATCTATACCGTAGTGGTTGATGGCCTGGTCCGTATCAACCTCGTCGATGGGGATATAGAGAAGCCGCGAGAGTTTTCCCAAAATCCTGTCCAGCGCCGTGCCCTCCTCTGCTGCACCATCTCGTTTATCCTGCTTCGCCGAAGACAACAACGTGGTAGCCTGGACAAGGTTCTGGAAACGAGGATCGTGATACCAGAGCATATCCGAGAGCGGGTACTTTTGGTCCACATTCTTGAGACCCGCAGGTTCTATGCCTACTAGCAGGTGGCCCAATGTGTGCGGGTCATACTGGTAGGCCGGATCTTGGATCGTGTCAGCAGCCGGGGACGGCAGGATGCCTTGCTCGCAGTACTGCAAGAACTCCTCTTCGTCGTTGCCATAGAAACCATTTCTTATCATGGCTTGCTGGTACTCGGGCATGTATGAAACTATGCCGATGCCTAAGACTTGGCTGAGAGCGAGACTGGTACAAGGTAGGCCTTGCGACCGCCGATGACGGGCGAACGCGTCGAGGAATGCGTTGGATGCGAGATAATTGCTCTGGGTTGCAGTGCCGAAGATGACGGTCCACGAAGACCACAGCTCGAAGAAATCCAGGGGACAGTCCATGGTCGCCTTGTGAAGGTTCAATGTGCCAATCACACGCGGGTGGACAGTGGCGTTGAAACGATCTAGTGACATTGACTCGAACAGGCCATCGTGGAGTGTGAGCGCGCCTTGGACGACGCCCTTGATAGGGTGCTGGGCCGAACTGACCGCCGTCTGCACATCAGCGAGTGAGTTCACATCGCCTTTGACGATCGAAACGTCGACGCCATGGTCTCCGAGTTCCTCGACAAAGTCTCTGGCCTCGTCGCCAACAGCTCCGGAGCGAGATAGATAGATCAAGTGGCGGGCCCCACGAGAGACAGCCCATGCGCTGAAGCTTCGGCCTAGGCCTCCCAAGCAGCCGACTAGCAGATACGCCGCGTTTGGATCGAACTGCGCGGTGAAAGCGTCTCGTTGTACCTGCAGAATCATGTGAGTAGTTTGTACAAACCGTAGAGCCATAGTCAAAGTCACTTACACTGATGCCTTTCTCGAGTTGTGCATCGTAGTTGATGAGCAGCTTTCCGACATGGGCACCCTTGGCAAACGTCATGAACGCTTTATCGATCTCGGCAACACCAAACTGGGTGAGCGGTAGGGGCTTGATATGTCCTTCGGATTTGAGTTCTTGAATTTTTCTCATCAACCTAACATGTGTTAGCGAACGGCGGGTTATTATGTACGGTGCGCGCGTGGAGTTTGATACGTACCTGGCGGTTATGTGAGGCCTGGTCTTGCTCAAAACTTCAAGATCGAAAGACGCAAAGGAAGCATTGCGTCTGAAGACGTCAAGGCTCAAGCTGCCGTTGTCCAGGACCTCGGTTCTTCCAATCTCGATGAACCTCCCACAATTGGCGATGGTCCTCCAGTACTCGTGCATGAGCTCCCCGCGGGCACTGCACAAGATCACATCGATGCCCTTACCACCGGTGCACTCTAGGATCTTCCGAGCTGTGAACCTGTCTCGCGACTGGAAAATATGGTCTTCCTCGATTCCAAAATTCATGGCTAACAATTCAGCCATCTTGTCTCCTGTGCCGACCGTGGCGAAGATTTCAGCCCCCACCATACGAGCGATCTGACAAGCTGCCAGACCGACCGCGCCGGTTGCAGACTGGATCAGTACCGTCTCACCCTTTTCCAGTCGGCCCAAATCCATCAGGCCGTATATGGCGGTGCAGAAGGCGATTGGCAACGTGGCTGTTCCCTCCAACGTGTCGCCATCCTCAAGCCGCTGACAGAAGGTGGCCTTATCTCTTACAAAATTGCCAAATTTGGAGAATGACTGACAGTATACCAGATCCCCCACTTGTAGGTCCACCACCTCACTACCAATCTTGGTGACAATACCTGAGCATTCGTCACTGAAGCTGTCGGAGTGGTGCCGGCCAGTAAGGACTGCTAGGTCCTTGTTATTGACACCGGCATACCTCACCTCGATCTCTACCTCGTCCGCAGGCAGGATCTTAGAGAACTCGGGATCTGGCTTGAAGTACACCGTACTCAATACACCTGGTTTTTCTATGGCAAGCTGGAGAGGTGTAGTTTTCAAGTCTTTCAGAGACAGCTGTTGTGTTGTTGACTCCGCATCTGCTGTAGCTTCAGATTTACCGCTAAGAGTATCATCAGAGGCCAAGCGACTGACATGGAGAACACCATCCTTGTAGCGGAATTCAGAGTCATCGTTCAGCCTCGTAGAGTCTGCCACTCTGTTCTCGAGTTGTCCGACCAGGCTGAAGATCTCTGAGTCAGAGGTGTCGGGAACACGATCGATGTCAAGAATGCTAAAGCGGACAGAGCTGTTCTCTGTCCTTATGCCTTTGGCCAACCCAGAGACCATGGCATAAAGTGGCTCTTTCCCAACGAGGAGATCCCCGCCGGTCACCCAGAGCGAAGATGTCGAGTGCTTCAAGGCCGACTGGAACATCCCCCACTCTTTGGGCGTGACGTCGAGGAAGAATGGGCTATCCACCTCCAAAATAAAAATGTATCGATTTGTTTGAGCTGTTTCGATTTCCGCCAACGGTAACATGGCGATTGGCACACCGGTGGTCCGCGCGATGTGATCAGCCATTGGCTGGGTGAAAAGGGGTGGCGTTGATCTGTAAACAATCGTAATACCAGGCCCTTTTAGGTCAGATATTGGGCGCGGTACACTTTGCACGGGCTCCGTGGCCGTGGCACAGATGACTGTCGCTGAGACGTTGCCGCCCGCGTAGTCGTCGAGATAGAAGTCGAGACCAGAAAAGCCCGAGGCGGGAAGAACTTTCTGCCAGAGCGACTTGCTCAAGAATGGGCCGTCATATCTTGGATAGCTGGGGTCGTGATCGGCTTTCCAGAAGTCGCTGAAGGTGCCCAGTACCAAGCCTGCGCTGAGCTGGGACTGGGTCAACTCCAGGAGGATCATCTTTCCACCGGTCTTGAGGAGGTTTCGAACATTGACGAGCGTGTCTTGGATGTCGGATGTGGCATGTATGACATTTGAGGCAACGACGACGTCCCAGTCTTGCTGGTAGCCTTGGGACTGTCCGCTCTTCTCCATATCAAAAGTCCCAAACGACATGCCACCGAATTTGGAGAACCTCTCTTCTCCACCGGCCAAGAATGACGGGGTCGTGTCCGTGAATCGATACTCCGAGTATTGGCGCCAACTATTGTCCCCCTTCAGAGCGGGGAGGATCTCGTTGGTTGCGCTACCAGTGCCCGCGCCGATCTCGAAAATTCGGATGCCGGGAAGCAGATGAGCATACAATGCCACCACCGAAGCCAGCCTTCGGTTGCCTTCCCGATATACCTGACCAGTCTCATAATTGTCAAGTAGCAAGTTGTCCTGCAGCGCCACTTGGATGCCCGATTTCTCTCCATTATAGATGGCGCCGAGGTTGTTGTAGAGCTGACACATGAGCCGCGCCTCGGATGACCGGGGTTTCAGGGCGCTTGACAGACGTTCTATCTCTTGCTCTCGATACGTATTGTCATATTTGGTAATGGTGGAAGCCGGGCTGTTGGGATCGGATTCTGCGGCTGCAAGCTTTTCCGCGGTCCAATCAAGTAGCCTTTGTAGATGTGGTTCTTTCGATCCTTTTTGGAAGACTTCCGAATGCACCGCTTTGAAGTGGATCAGCTGGTGCAATGCAAGGTGGTTGAGGGAAGGAATGATGGCATCGTCTTGTAGAACCACTGTCGGGTGGAGCTGGGCCAGAATTTGCGAGGTCAGATACTCAAAATCGGGCTTCCACACCATGCGTGTGTAGGGACTCGATTCTTCGATGAGCTTCGGCGCAGATTGATCTGAAGCTGTGAGGAAAATGTTTGTCGCCTCGAACATTCTTTGGCCCTCGGCCCCTAAGAGCAGGACATCGGCCGACAAGCCCCGAACGCCCTTCAGTGTAGCGTTCGCATACGATTCGGCATGAGTATTGCTCTGACTTGCAACTCCTGGCCATACTTTGACACTTTCAAAGCTAGTGGGCATGAATGCCCGCTTAAACCTGGTGGCAGTATTTTTGTGCGCCGCGAGAATCGAGAGCTGCATACTGGCATCTAGGGCTGCGGGGTGGAGGATGTATCTCGACTCTCCTTGCATTGCCTTGGCAGTTGGTTCAAGGCCAATCCTCGCCTTGGAACTGTTCGCTGTTCCGATAGCAGAAATATTGGACAGGCCCTGGAACATGGGACCATAGCAAAGCCCCGCTCTCGCAAAGCTTTCATACCATTGTGCGGCATTGATGTTCTTATTTCTCGAAGAAGCTTGCAGTTCGTTCATAATGCAGCTCTCAGGGAATGCTGCCGACGTTAGGCTCAGATAGTATTCAAGCTTCTTGGCAGAATGACTTACAGTATTTCTCAAAGCCTATTTCTACCTGTCCCCGGCAATGTTCTGTGAATGTATCCACTCCCTGGTTGTTCGAGACCGTAGTGAGAACAAAGTCAAAGAGCCACTGGTGACGGGATACGGCATTAAGCGAGGTAGGTCGCAACGAGAACAGAGTTTCGATTCCAAAGTCGTCCTCGGGTACAATGAGCGCTTTGGAAAGACTGACATTCCGTATATCGTAATACTCGACATCAGAGGCTTTGAGACCCTCTGTCTCAACGACCTGGGTAGAGGCCTCTAAGACCATGGCGAGATAACCCGTGGAGGGGAACACGACGTCCTTCCCAAGCTACGAAAGCATGTCAGATCAACGCAATAGTTGTTGGAGAGATACTCACACGATGGTCTCCCAGCCAAGGGACGTTTTTGACGGCCAATTTGTTACGCCATAACGGTTCTGTCTGGTTCGTGCCGGGAATTCTGCTCCCTAGAATATCGTGTCGCGGATGCATACGTAATCGCCATTCGCGGGTGTACCGATTTTCGAAAAGCAGAACTTCGTTCGGATATTGCCACTGGTAGCGAGGCAAGTCTGTGATGATCTTACCCGTTTGGAAATGACCCCCACCTCGACTCTCTGTAGCATTGACCCGGGTGAGATCGACATCGTATCCCCTAGCGAAGAGGCTGCCAGCAAGTGTCAGCATGTTTTGCGCACTGTCGCTGCCCCTCGTAATGGCTGAGAGGTATGCTGGAAACTTGACATTCTTGTCCATCGTGTTAGACAGCTGCCGCAGAGGTCCCTGGAGTGCCGCATGGGGACCGATTTCAATGAGTATCTCCACAGGAGCCAGAGTAACCAATTCCGCGACGCCTTGGTGGAAAAGCACTGGCGATTCGAGGTTCTGTCGCCAGTACTTTGCACCCAGTATAGACCCGGGGGCGGCATGTCCATGGACGGAGGAGAAGAAAACCGCCTGAGTGCGGGCCTTGGAAGTCTTGAGCGACCGGGCACCTGATCTCTTGGGCATCAGAGTGTTGAGGTCGCTTTCATACCGTGGCCCAAGAACTTTCATATGATCCGAATGGTAAGCATTGTTGCTGGTTTGCAAAAGGCGGCAAAATATCTTCTTATCGTCCAGCAAGGCTTTGAGTTTCAACATGTTGTCGGCATCACCGCTTAGAGTATGGCTCTCTGGGGAATTGTGACACGCGACCTTGATCGTACCCTCATATTCGTCGATGAGGGGTTGGATTTGTGCGAGGGGGCCACCGACTGCCATCATGAGGCCACGAGCCTCATTCTCCGCGACGGCCTTGCCTCGTAGATACGCCGCAATCATTGCTTCTTCCTCTGTCAAAAGGCCTGCGGCGTAACTAGCGGCTATTTCACCAGATGAGTGGCCTATGACAGCACGGGGTGTCACGTTCCATTGTGACAGGAGGTTTACTAGCATAATTTGCAAGGCAGTCACCAGCGGCTGTGAAATTTCCGCCTCGTGGATGCGACTGCGTTGATGGTCCTGCTTCAGGACTTCCTCAATACTCCATTCCCGACTTGTTCCCTCGTCGAGGTCGTCGAGACACCTGTCCAGCCGTCGAATTGTGGCCAGGCAGCTGGGGTACTCAGCCATCAGGGAGGCCCCCATTTGAGGCCACTGCGCCCCTTGGCCTGTAAAAACGAAGCCCAAGGTAGGACTTCCAGCTGCTTGCACCTTGTTCACGTACGGCAACTCTTGTGGTAGCGTGGGTCCGCCATTATTTATGTCCTTTACGATGAAAGATCGATGCTGGAATCGACTACGCCTGCCACTCAAGGTGTGGGCAATATCTCCCAGGTCCCATCTGTTTTGGGACCTAACCAAGGCATCGTAGTTTGCGCGCAGTGTCTTTTCATCATGGGCCGAAAATGGGATCAAAAATAGCGTCTTCGACTGGGAGGTTCGTAGTTTGTTCCAGTCGCCTCCATGATTCGTGTCGCCATTGGTTGTACCGTTGGTATGCCTGTCTGCGCTGCCATTCATGTTTCCGTTCATAGTTCTACCCAGACCGTTCGTGTTTCCATTTGTATGGCTCGGTTTAATCGTACGAACTAAAGGAGATGAGACTCCATTCTGCCTGGCTAGGGCTTGGATGCCGGAAGATTCGGTACTGGCTTGATGTTGGGATCTATACCCTGGGAGCAATGTGTCAACTGATTCGACAATGGCCTACATGTGTCAGCAGCGAAAGGCAGATATAGAGATCTCAGTACCACATACATGAGCATTTGAACCGCCGTATCCGAACGAGTTGATACTTGCTCTCCTAATGCCAAGATCTGGCCACGGGACACTTTCGGTAACTATCCTCAGCCGTCCTTCCTTGAGATCTACGTTGGGGTTCAAGGTCTCGATGCCGATCGTAGGCGGTATTATGCCTCGTTCGATTGCCAAGACAGCTTTCATCACACCAGCAATGCCGCTGGAAGGCTCGCTATGCCCCATATTTGACTTGATGGACCCGATCAACAATGGATTGGAACTCGACCGGCTACCCGCAAAAACTTGGCCAATGGCAGATACTTCGATTGGATCTCTGTAGATAAATCAGCAATACTTCCGTATTGTGAGACTTCTAAGCCTACTTACCCAACGGGCGTGCCAGTTCCGTGACATTCGAAGTATCCGGTTAGCGACATGTCTAGCCCCCCGGCCCGCTCGTACGCCCTGCGTATGCAAGCTTCTTGACCTTCTGGACTCGGGTGAGTGATCCCTCCAGTGCGACCATTTGCATTGAAGGATGTCCCTCGGATCACGGCCCTGATGGGGTCGCCGTCGGCCACAGCCTGAGATAACCTTTTCACGAAGAGTGCACCGATTCCGTCCGCCCGGGCATACCCATCCGCTATTCACCTAGTCAGCAATCGACGAGGTTCGTATACTTATATCCGGCGTCATTTAACTACCTACCTCTCGAATCAAACGTATGACAGACTGATGTGGGCGAAACAGCACCCAAGACCGATGAGAATATCTGGCACTCAGGGGTTAAAATCAGGTTGGTCCCGCCAACTATGGCCGAATCGCAGTCCCCGGTTTGAATGGCTGAGCAGGCGAGGTGGAGTGCATAGAGTGAGCTGGAGCAGGCCGTGTCGAGGGTCATGGAAGGGCCTTTGAGGTTGAAAACATAGTTGATCCGGTTGCTAAGAATCGTAATGCCACTGCCGGTAACGGAGTAAGGCAAAGCATTCTCGGGATCGCGGTAGTGCATCAGCTGGTGATCGTAATTGAAGTTTCCCACAAAGGTACCGGTCCTGGAACCCGACAGCTTGTGGAGGGGCACTCCCGCCGATTCAAATGCTTCATATACAACCTCCAAGAACTTCCTCTGGGCAGGATCCAGGGTCAGGACTTCCTTTGGGTGGATTCCGAAGAAGCTTGCGTCGAACTGTCGCACGTCGGACTTAAGAAAGCAGCCACCCTCAGTCTTGAAAGAACCTGGCCGGTTGCCGTCGGGATGATAGAACGCATCAACGTTGACCCTGTCCTTGGGAAATTTGCTATAGGAATTCTGTTTGGAATCCAGATAGTCCCAGAGTTCAGATGGTGACTCTGCATCACCAGGCCATCGGCAACCTGAGCGGCTGGTCAGCTGAGCTTTTTGCCATATATTAACTTTGACTTACCCATGCCAATTATAGCAATAGGCTCTGGTGCATCTGAACTCGGCGGTTCAGTAACAGTGATTGGCGGCATCATGCAATCTTCCTGTGTCTATGGTATTCTGTTGAACCTTCTTAGAGCTCGATAATGATGTCCCTCTATCATGAGCTGATGGTCAACAGGCTGCCAAATAAGTTGAATGTAGTGTAGAACGTGTACTGTCGTAAGACAGAAGTGATGTAATGTAGCTTAAGGCGCGGTCGGAAGATGGTTCAACATAAGTCTCTAGAATGCGTGTTGATTTATGTTGACATGTGATATCGATTATCTTCATCGCTTGCATGCATCATCATTGCCATATACTGATTGGTGTGTTGATATCGTCTTTGATCGGAAAGGGTTGTCCTCGAGGTGACACTATACTGACTAATCCGTTTTGCATCGCATACCACTCCTCAAAGCAGCTTACGCAGGTGTTGACATGATACGCAATTCCCTGAGTTGCTAACTGGTGTACCTTCTATGGTATGACTTCGAATGACTTAGAAGCACTTAATCATGAAGGGGGCTCACAATTGGAGGCCCATTTTTCCTCAGCATGACAGCTGACTGCATTGGTGCATCTGAAAGCGAGGCTCCTGCCGGGCGATAACAGTATGACTGCATAGCAACTCTGAATCTGTGACTCCAGTCCCACAAAATGGTATTCCACGCAACAATTCAGTTTCAAATCTGCTTGTGTCCAAGGTAGCTCCACTGCTGACTTCTGTTGCATCGGTGTTTTGTCTGACACTCGAAGATGATATGATTCTCGGTAACTAAGCAGTCTCTGATAATCCGCTGCACATGTGTAGTGCATAGTATATGTGTTATTCACCTGTGTTCTCTATACCACTACATGCAAAATTGCCACTGCAACGAGACGCCGCCACAGTCTGCATTGGTTTCGCATTACCTTGAATTTTTTAACATATTGAATTGACCGTGTTTCACGATGGCACGCTGCTTGCGACCGAAAACTTTGTTTGCCTTCGTTGCATTCACCTACATTTACACAGTTGCAGCGGAAAATGCATCAGCGATTTTATCTTTGGCGCCGGGCGGGCAACAGCAACCGCTGTTTGGAGCAGGAATGGTCGATACGGGCTGCCCCAAACCCGAAGCCTATTTAAAGCTGCTTTTAAAGGAAGAGTTACAGAAGCGATTATCAACCTCGTCAAATATCTCTCTACAAGGCGAAGAAGGTTTTTCGATCGTCGATGCGCGCTATACGGACTACAAACGACCGCAGTACATTGCCGCTGTCCAGGTTGCAGAGGAACAGGATGTTGTAGAAGTGGTAAGTTACTTACTACTAGCCCCAGGGACAAGCCGTGACTCACCCTGCACAGGTCAACTATGCACGTTCGAGAGGCATTAAGTTTGCTGCTCGGGCCGGAGGTCATAGCCTCACCAGTTCGCTTCGCCGCATCAAGAATGCGATCGTCATTGATATGCGAGGACTCAACAGCATCAAGTATGACGAAGTGAAGCAGCAGATGACCGTCGGGGGCGGAATCACGACAGGCGAGTTTGCGAACGCAACATACTCCCATGGGATGGAAGTCAGTAAGTTCAGACGACCAGTGTGAATCCAAACAAAAGAACTTGGGACATATCATGCTAATTGCATAAAGCTGTCGGTTCGTGTCCTTGCACCGGTGTTTTAGGTATTTCGCTGGGCGCTGGAATCGGCCGTCTTCAGGGCAAGTATGGTTACCTGAACGATAATATGGTCACTGCCCGCCTTCTCCTAGCAAATGGCACCATCATTGAAGCCTCTCACGAAACGAACCAAGATATTTTCTGGGCCCTTCGCGGTGCTGGACACAACTTCGGCATCGTGTTGGAGGCCACATACCAAGTGTACCCGCAATTGAATGACGGCAAGCACTTCAGTGTGGACTTCGAATTCACGCTGGACAAGGTAGAGGACGTCTTTGAGACGATCAATGCAATTTCCGACCCCATGCCTAGAGAGGTAGCTGTATTCGTAATAGGCCGGCGTCGAGGAGCTAACGGGGAGGTCAGTCATCCAAACAGTGGTTTGAGGCAGAGCATGCTAACGAGCTTTCAGCCCACTATTAATATCAATTTGGTGTATTCAGGCCCCGAGAAGGAAGCTGTCCCATTCGTCAAGCTGTTCGATGCGATATCGCCCATTTGGAAGGACACCAAAATTGCCACATGGGACGCGTTACCATGGGCCACTTACAACGGTCTCAACAACGTTCTCTGCACACCCGAGGGCTGGGCCCGATTCCCCATCAAGAATTTCTATGCCGCGAACGTCAAGTCGTACGACATCGCAACCATGCGTGCTTATTTTGAGGCCTGGAGAGACATGAACCAAAAGTATAATGGCGAAGCCGTCTTCAGTGTCATGTTTGAATCCTTCCCGCAGCAGCGTGTCCGTGAACTCCCTGAAGATTCAACAGCATATCCGTGGCGTCACGGAGCGCAACACTTTCTGTAAGTTCAGTCCTTTGGGCGTGAGGAGAAAGTATCCCAATAGTTGTCTGATCCGAAAACATTAGTATGATTGAAGCAGCATATAAGAGCACAGTTGAAGAAGAAGTGATTGATGAGTGGCTATCGACTCAGCAGGACAAGTTTATCGAGACCTCTGGCTATGGACGGTTGCAACAGTACGTCAACTACGGACATGGATCCAAAGACCCACCCGAAGCTCTATATGGTTATGAACCGTGGAGGCTTGAGAAACTCAGAGGTCTCAAGCAAGAGCTCGACCCAGAAGGCTTGTTCAACGGATATCAGCCATTCATAGAAGAAGATAAGCTAGATAGTATATGAGAAGTACATTGAGTCCGTGATGGGCTCAATTCTGGTTTAACAATCTACGCCCACGTATGCCTTTGTGCAATATTTGACCAAAATTTTGCTACAATTACTGAGTGCTACGACAATTGAGTTATGTACCGTGTGCATCCGCATGTAATCCACTCGAGTGTGACTAATGTGTATACTGCTGGAGCGTAGGAAAGTAAGTGAGATATGGCTTCGATTGCCATGTAACAAATTGAGTGCAAGTCACGTGTATGTTAGCTTGAGACTCCTTGTACTTTGACGATGGAGAAATTGCTATGACTGCAAATAGCATAAATTCTTGGCAGGGTGTAAAATCAGTTGTGGTGTCACTTGTGGTTTGTTGGTATTTTCTTAGCAAATGGAGCCGGAGAGACCCATATAAAACTGGTACGCCGATGACAAGCTCCGTTGTATGTATGCACTGTACTGCTTTGACCCGATTCGGCCACTCTGCCATTGACTATATCCACAACACCATGGGAACTTTGACTAGCCGGGCCTTTAGATCATACATATGCCCTGCTAATACGGTGTACCCCGTTCAGGCTGTCAGAGATTTTCGAAGGATTTAGGTTGCATCAAACATACCTGGTCAAATAATATCAGGCAGTGTCAGAAAGTGTCAGAAAATGTCAGAAAGTGTCAGAAAGTGTCAGAAAATGTCAGAAGTTGTCCGGCCATGTCAGAAACTGGCAGAGAAGGCCGAGGTCTGTTATGCGAAGAATGTTGATTACGCTGGCAGGGTTACATGAAAAATGCATGTAACATAGACACAGCTCCACTCAAATGCCTTCCAGTTTCTGACCAACGAATTACTTGCAACTTACCACGGGTCGGAGGCGCGTATTCCATCCTATCGAAATTTGAAGGATCTCAACCACTCGTTCAGTCAGTTGCCATACACGTTGCAAAGCTGCCGAGTGGTAGCAATAGGTCTGATGTTGATATCAACAACTATATTGATCTGGGTAGGGGAGTTACAGGGAAATGGCTTCACAGAGGTTTCAGATCAAATCGTACACTCACGTCGAAGAAAGAATGCCAAATGTGCCGAAATTGTCAGAATCCATTGCATAAGGTGATAGGCTAAAAACTGTAGACAGCGCATGTAACTAGGCATATTCTTCTACTTGGAAGCAGTATCTCACGCATCACAACTGAGTTCTTGGCACCCTCCTAGTCTACCCACTTTAATTTGCAGGGAGTTCAAGTGATCGCAGATTTGATTCACACCTCTTTGATTGTCGGACTATCTATCCTTTGAGTCTGATCATAGCAACCTACTGATCATCAATTCGCTTGAAATGAAGGTGTAACTACCATTACTATCACAAAGATCAAAAAACATGTATAATGACAGAGGAAAAGTGGTTATGCGCCAACTGACTAGCAATTGGCATCCTTGCGACCTGGTAATCTATAGTAAACTTACAGCATGGAATCAGTACACCATGCATGCTCTTAGACCTAGTCCCATGACGCAATTGTGGTCCTGCTTATGAAGCTAGGGTAGATTGTTGAAACATGAAATCAGCTAATGGCAACTCGTTTCGACAAAACAGGTTCCAGAAGTTGGTACTGTTCCAAGAAGAGGAGCCTCCAGACAACTCAAGAACGGGAAATGAAGCTTTGTAGCATTGAGCTGTTTTTATTGCGGTACCTCAGTGATAGAAATTATAGATGAGGTAGAAGTGGGGAGATATCAGGTGTCATTGTGTAATTTGTGTAATTTGTGTTGCATTCTCTAATCAAAACACGTAAATACACTACGGTTAAGATGCCGAGTGAAGACTGTGTTCGTAAGATAAGTAGGTCTTGCTATAGCATCCTCGTGTGCTCAGACCATTACCTACAACAGTGCCCTACGCAGCAACGCCAATAAGCCCATTTCTGAAAGACCTATGCAGCACAGCCGCCACTATGATGAATAAGGAAAGCGTATTTATAACTCGTAAACGTTCTGTCTCATCTCCTTGGTAGGTCCGGCCCATAAACTATGCTCTGCCAGCATCCGGAATACCGCAGTTTGCTGCCATCAAAATCCCCATTGTGTACACCAGTGCTTCATTAATTCGGGCGTAATAGCCAGGGACCCTCGCATCGAGCGTGTCGTCTGATTTGTCCGAGACATGTCCAAGATGACGGGCTCTGCCTTGGAATTGTCCAACAGTGATCGGTAAGTGTCGATGAGTTTCAATCCTGGGTTCGCAACAGATGCGGATTCATCGTCTGTTTGGCTCGCACCCAGCCTGGTAACCCACTCCTCCAGACCAATGGTTTCGTGTATGCGCTCGCCATAGAATTCTTGGATAGCCGGGACGAGGTACTGCCAAGTAGTTGATGAAGGATTGACGCAGTGGAAATAGCCGCCGAGTTGCTCCGTCGCGTTGACGGATGGTTCATTGTCCACACCAGCAATTTCAGTAATCAAGCTGGCGACCCGCTCCACAGGAGTCCAGTCCACCCTATTGGCTCTTCCTAGATCTCCTGGCAATGCCGACAGATATAAGCTGCTGGCTATGATGCTTGGAAGCCACTCGTTGGCGTTCCAAGACCCTCCGCTATCAGACTCGGGACCAGCAATCTGACCAACGCGGATTGAGACGGCTGGGAAGTCGCAAGCAGCCCCTGCGTCTTCGAGGATCAAGCTACCTATCATTTTACTACGGCCATAGCCGTTGCCGGGTAGCTTCCAATCCTCGATTCTTTGTTCTGGCACTGGGCCTTGGCTGGGATCCCACCTATCCACTGTGGAAATGGACGAGATGAATAGGACCATGACCCGCTTCACGCTCTCTGCAGAAAAGTCACACAAAATTCTGATGCCGCGTATATGTGGCTCAAACGATTCCGTGGAAAGGTTGAAGTTTACCGGCCAGGCGCAGTGAATAATGCGATCAGCCTCCTTAAGAAGGCGCGAATATACGTTTTCCGGAAGGCCTAACTTATCTTTGGCCAGTTCCACGTGGTGAAACTCTGCCTTCTCGTGGCAGTGTTGTGTCAATCCCCGATGCTGCATCGCTTTCGCCTGCTGCTCAAGGCCTCCATCTTCCGCTCTGTTTAGACAGACTACTTTGCCGACGGTGGGATTTCGTAGAAGGCAATCCAGTAGATGGGATCCCAGAGTCCCCGTTGAGCCAGTCAGGAGGATAACTTGATTCCTGATTGCTGCATCAGGACGCCTGGGCTGGCTTTCTCTAACCAGGTTGTGATTGTATCTCTCATACAGATACTTCATAACCTCGAGCTCGTGACGTTCCATATCCTCCTGTTGTTCCAAAACACCTTGTTCACTTTGTTTTACCAGACGGATGATGTGCTGGGACAACCGCGTGGCGGTTGGGTTGTTGTAAATCCCCCTCGTGATGAGAGATTGTGTCATTTCTGGATATCCGGAGGCCACGAGACCAGCCCGAAGCCTTCTGGATGCGTTCATAACCTGCAAAGAGTCCATACCGGCGGAAAAGAAGTTGGTATCTTGATCCAGACTTGGCAAACGCACATGTGGCAGCAGTATATGCACAAGCGACTGTGTAAGAGCAGTGGGGCTGAGATCTAACGGCTTGCCATCCAAGTCAGAGACTTGCTCAGCCGTTTCATATAGCTGATCAATCTCATTTGTATATTTCTCGATTGTCGCAGCTCGTTGAACCGTGCCTTTCCCAGCTCTGCTGAAAGGTTTGTCAGGGCTAGTCACCGCAATGAAGTCCTTGGAGATTTGACCATGAGCAACTGTTTCCTCGTTGGCTCTCACAACGTGTGGCCACAAACTCTCGATAAGCTCACATCGTTCGTCTTCATTCCGTGGATGGACGACAGGTTCAATTAGGAGGCCAGGCTGTAATCTACGCGACCCAGCCACAACCAACGCGCCTTTTACTTGTGGATGCCCCTGAACGATGCTTTCGATAGTCACCGGGTTTAGCTTCTCGCCATTGGAGAATACGATGACATTATCAGCACGGCCGTGGTACCTCCAGTGATTGGGTAGAGTAGGGTGAGGTTCAAAAAGATCGTTTGTGCTGACCTCATCCAGATCTGGAAATGTGTAGAAGAAGCCCTGCATGCCTGGGTGTTTGTCTTTGCGCTCAATCACCAGCTCGTACACATTCTCACCTGCTTCGCGCCAATTGCAACCAAAAAGATCAGGGTTTATGATGAAGTACTGCCACAGCTCCGGTCTTGGTTGGAAGTATACGGGGAAAGGGGTAAATCTGCCTTCTTTCAGCTTCCACTCGACATGACAGGAGATGAGCAGCTCCGACTTACTCGGTCGAGTTTAGGAGGTTGCATAGTACCACCCCCTGCTCCACTAAGTAGTCTCCAGTATCTCTGGCCAGGCTGCCTACACTAGTTAACAGTATGAACGTACATTTATTTCTCGTAACCTACCTCCTCCAATGGGAATAAGCTGAAGCTTTTGCAGGACTTTGAGACCCTTGCTGTCTTGGCTCATATCTTCGAGGACAGACGGCGGGAATGCTGCTGACTCAACGTCTAGGGCACTCAAGCATTCGGTAGCCAGTTCGGCGGTCAGTGGCCGGTCGCCCAATCCTAAGGCGATGGGAGTCTTCCACCAGATGACACTTATGATGAACACATAAAGACCAGCGGCATGAAAGAGAGGCATCTACGCGGTTTATCAGGTTTGAGAAATCTCTTGGATGTTTGAGTCGAAGCTTACAGGAATAAAATGTCGCTTGGACTTTTCCATCCACGCGCAGATCCAATGAGTACATCCTTGCCAGTCACTGAGATTATGGCAGGCGTCGCTTATGGCAATCATTCCCTCCATGGATGGGTTAGAAACTTGGGAGAAGATGTTTTGACTACGGCCAGAGCAAGGTAAACTTACTTGTCGCACTATGATTGGTTTAGGTAGCCCGGTGCTACCACTGGTATGTAAAACACAAAGGGGGTCCCACTCAGCCTCCTCAAAAGTCTTATCGTAAGGGAAATGTTCAGCCTCAGTCTTGGGGAACCATGAATCGCAAGGGCTAACTTCAATGATGTTGATGTCCCTAGTCGATGCCCATGGTTTGATGGCGGAATAGTAAGTTCCGTCGCAGAACAAGACCTGACACTCTGTTTGGTTGAAAAGAGAGATCTGGCCTTCCGAGGAGTTTCTGGTAGATACAAAAAGTGCCTGTTGATCCGCTTTAGGCTTTCTCAAAATTTTCAAGATCACAGGGCAGCACCTACTTGATAGCCGGCCTTGACAGCAGCCACCATGAACACAACATATCGTGCGTCCTGTGGTCCGATGTAAGCAAGTGTTGGAAAAGTGCCAACTGGAGCTTTCCCACACAACTTCACAATCTTGTGTGCCTGCAGGTTTACGGCATTTGAGTAGTCCCAAAACGTGATAACCTCCCATCCATCTTGAGGGTCTTGCGAGAGAGGGATCTGAAAAGCCTCACGGAGGGGATCATCTCGGGCAAGTTCATCAATGACGTTTGGTATTAGCCGATGCCCGTACTGGGCGCTAGCTGAGTCCCTCTCACGTTGCATATTGGCGTCCACGCTTTACAGAGAACGATTTGGGCTTATCGTCAAGCAGAGTTCAATCAACAAAGGCTTACTTTTTATACTACCGTATAAACATATTCACTTGTGGTCAAAACTACGCGTTGAAAAGTTTCGAATGACTTTACACGGAGAGTAACGTACAGCACGTGTCAACACATGGTCCTATTGCATGTAACGCACCGATGTTGTTGAGCGCTGCGGCCGCTACGACAGTCGACTGCGATCAAGATCTGCTGTATCTGTCAGAGTAATATCAGGCCTGATGTGCGTACTGCAGTCATCCTGACTACCTAGCCTACCCGGTTCACTGACCCACTACTCCAACACGCCAGGATCCTTGGCGACTACTCATGCACCTTGTGCAAGGTGGAGCAAATACGCCTGATGTGGGCTTCAGCAGCGACCTGGAAGCCCACTCCGCGAGTGGCCTCCAGGCATGGTACGAAGGGGTAATGACCCTTGCATCTTCTTAGCATAGCAATAGTGATGGCATACCGATGGGCATTGTCGATAGTAGGAGGCATTCGGCAGCATAGAGTACTTAAACACCCGAAAGCACTGGCTTGCACAGATGACACTGCACTGGCGGCAAGCAACACTGTTTTTATTCTCACCCAATTTCTACATACTCTAGACATCAAAATGCAGAGACTCTGTGCTTCGATCAACCTCCTCGCGTCACAGTTGCTTTCGCTATCTTCCCCGGAGACTGCCCACGCTCTTATACAACAACGAGCCGAGTTCTGCCGTGTCCGTCCACCACATGCTTCTGCGCACGGAACTCTGAGCTTCTCATATCCCTCACCCAATGTCACTCGAGCGACCATCAATAACGGACCGGTCAACTTTGTCGACCGCCGCTTCGCAGACGACCTGCTGGATTTCCTGATACCGCTGCAGAATGTCACGGAGTCCACGCCCAAGGTCGTCATCTTCGACTCCTCCAATCCCAACTTTTGGCTGGGTCACATCGACATGAGGACGCTGGCGACGCCGATCACGGACGAGAAGAAGCAGCTTGGAGCCGACTACATCAAGTTTACTCAGCTGTTCCAGAACATCACCTCGACCATCTTCATCGCCGAGATCGATGGCCGTGCTTTTGGAGCTGGAAACGAGATCGCGGCACAAATGGACATGCGCTTCGTTGGACCCCGCGCGCGCACCGGCTCCTTCGAAGAGGCACTCGGCCTAGTTGCCGGCGGCGGCGGCCAAACGTACATGGGCTCCATCCTGGGCAAGGCCAAGGCCATGGAGTATCTGCTCGGGGCCAAGACCTTCACCGGCCCAGCCGGGGAGGCCCTGGGGCTCTACAACAAATACTACGACGAGTCCGAGACACTGAAGAGTTCCGTCTTGGAGTTGGCACAGCGCATCGCCCTGTTCCCGCGGGTGGCCTTGAACCAGACCAAGTCCGTGCTCAGCTTTCTGAACCCACCCAACGACGCCTTCCAGTTGGACTTTGAAGCTTTCTACCAGATAGAGCAAGGCCCAGAGCAGCAAGCCAATGTGAGGCGCTTCCTCAAACTGAGCGAGGACCAGACGGCAAATCACTATGAACTAGGTTTGGGGGAGAGCGTGATGGCATTGTACGGCTTATGGGATGGCTCCGTGGCATGAACGAGGGCAGGAGCCAGCATCTGCGCAGCTCATGAGTAAGCGCCCAGACTCTGGAGAAAACCGACGGTACGTAGTTGGCTGTTCGAGGAAAAGCTCATTTCGCGTTATTATTATCACAGCTACTGTAATAGGGCCTACCGGTGATAATCTCGTAAACGATCTGCCTGGAATTTGACGATTTAAGTGTGTACCGTACAGTACATAAATACAACGTGACAAGTCCGTAAACCGCACGCAGGGTACGTTTGCCAGGAGGGTCAAGACCCGCATTCCAGTCCGAACGGCTTGCAGGGATTGTTCGGCTGGGCTGATTCAGGAAATAATGGCGGGTTTAGAATGTACAGTAGGCATCAACTCTAAAAGAAACTGATTGGGTATTGTTCGTCTAGGCATTTCTCTTATCATGGCAAAGAAATAAATGAGGAGTCGTAAGCTTGCAGGCACGGGGGTCACATATGGTCGTATTGGGCACCACCAACCGCGCGCGCCTTTTCCCCTACATCGATCAATGCGGGAGAGTGTCAAGTTTGTGCCAGCGAAATGATGGCGAGTACCATTGATTCAGCGAATCAAGTCGGAATAAAAAAAAAAAACTCTGCGTGGCATTCCCCTGTTTAAGCAGACAAGGGGTTACGCTGGGAAGGAGTTAGGCGGGCTGGTACTGTATTACATATCTACAAACCTACCAGGATACCCTGTGCTGCGTGGGGCATCGTGATACCTACTGGTCTACTGTAACTGGTTCTAACCCTTGACAGTTGGATCAGCGAATGCCGAGACGCTTCTAGTGGCTGGAGACATCTTTGCTGTGGTGGAGACATGCTGGGGGATCTACCGTCTAATATAACGGGCACACACACCAGCCTTACAGTATGTATGCGGTGGGGGAGTACATGTACATGGACGTAAGTATGGGTGCACTATTGTAGTGTCATCATGTACTGTACATAGTGGTACAGTAGTGCTCAGGGGACATAAGGGGCATGAGTGAAGGATACTACCGGAACCGGGCGGCTTTAATTTCCGAAGGGCCTTCGAGGCTAGGGTAGGTCAGCGCTAGCGAGCGGGAAGCGGACGGCCCCGCCTGGCCGCTACTGTACCAAGCCTGGAGCACTGGCGCAAAATTGATCTGAATCTGCACTGGGCAGGATAAATCATTCTGGGTGAACTACGGTAGGTACGTACCTCCAGGGCCCATCTTACTACAGTAGAGACCCAGAGTCCCATAGTAACTGGGCTTAGCTGTGTGGACACTTTTAGTGACCCCCGCCCACGTGGACACTTTTAGTGACCCCCACCCACATGGACACTTTTAGTGACCCCCGCCCACTACGAACTGTGTGGTCTGGGGAGAGTCCAACTCTGTTTTCTAACTAAATGAAAGCTGGGTGAAGTACCCGAAGTTGTCACGGTAGGTAGGTAGCGTTGGAATGCACCTGGGGTAGACCCCCGAGACAGAGCCGACAACCAGAAATCGAACCTTCCCATAAAGTGGGACGTGGCATACCTAAAATCAGGTGTTTAATCACGTTGTTGTGCTGTGCTGTACTGCACTGCACTGCACTGGCAGAGGCCTGGAGATTGCTTGGAACGGTAACTCGTATTTTGTTCTGCACTTGGTGTTCTATCTGATTTATCAGCAATTCGGACTTAGTCGGACGTGTCAACATAAGTCCATCGGCGATTGAGCAAACAGCACAGCTAGCTGTACGGTAAACAAACCACTTTGGCAATGGCTGCTTTTCAGTAAAACAGCCAGCTTCCAAGTTACACCTACGCCTTCTTTCTTTCTTTGACTGAGTGTGACTGAAGAGATTGAAAAAGTCTGGTGAGAGCGAACGCACTGCATTCTCGTTGCACTGCACTTTCGTTGCACCACGCCAATCCCACCAAAATACCGCCCAACATGCAGCTTCACATGGAGAGCACCATCTTTGGCCAGCTTGTCCGCGCCATCACGGGTAACAAGGCCTTTCGGTATCCCGATGAGCGTGATCCCTCGCTGTGGGAAAAGTCAATCCAGCGAGACGAGCCACAACCCCAGCAACAGTCGCAGCAGTCGCCATCGCCTTCGCAGGACACCAACGGCGCTGGCGACGCGTCCGACAAAGAGGCACAAGACCTCTCATCTACAGCTACGGAAAAACAACCAGAAAACGGCCATGGCGACCTTGATGATCTCGTGGTAGGCTGGTATGGCCCGGATGATCCAGAGGTAGGCTTTTCAACCGCTCAGTATCCACACGATTACACTTACTGACCCATCATCTGAGCGCTTAGAATCCTCAGAACTGGCCCAACAGCTTGAAGCATTTGATCGCCTTCCAAATGTGTCTCCTGAACTTCGCGGTGTACATTGCGAGCTCAATCTACGTTCCTGGAGAGCCCTATCTTATGGAGGAGTTTCACGTCAGTTCCGTTGTTGCAACCTTGGGTCTTTCGCTGTTTACTTTGTAAGAGATTCCGCCCCTATCGGTCCTTGTGTTACAGATTTGTTTTGATTTTTAAACCTTTTTATTTTATTTTGCTGACGTCCTCCCCCTTCTTTCAGTGGCTACGGCCTCGGTCCAATGCTGTGGTCGCCTTTGTCGGAACTGCCACAGCTCGGACGGACTGGTATCTTCTTCTGGACGCTCTTGGCCTTCGTTATATTCCAACTCCCCGTCGGTTTCGCCCCAAACATTGCTTGCTTCCTGTTCTTTCGATGGCTCACAGGCTTCTGTGGTAGCCCCTGCCTAGCGACTGGCGGTGGTACCATCAACGACATATACCCAGGCCCTACAGTACCATACCTCCTTTGTCTCTGGTCGTCAGCGGGTATCATGGGACCCGTGTTTGGCCCTATCATCGGTGGTTACCTTGCGCCCAGCATGGGATGGCGGTGGACTATCTGGGTGTTCACATTCCTATGTACCCTTGTGCTTATTGTCATGTTCTTCTTGTTTCCCGAGACTAGTGCCGCCAACATCCTGTACAAACGGGCTAAAAGACTCAGGAAAGCGACGGGGAACAGCCGTTTGAAGAGCCAAACCGAAACAGAGTCTGTCCACTATTCTCCGAAGGACAACCTACTGCTTCTAGGAAGAGCATTCGTCCTTACCTTCACCGAGCCAATCATCCTCTTTGTCGACATGTATGCCGCTCTTCTTTACGGCATTCTATTCATATGGTTCGAGTCATTCCCCATTGTATTTGGCGATATTTACCATTTCAGTTCTGGCCAACAAGGACTTGTGTTTTTCGGCATTCTCGTTTTCACATGCATAGCTGTTCCATTCTTCCTCTTGTGGATCAAGAAGGGTCTCATACCGCCAATGATGTCGGGCAAGTTCAAGCCTGAAATGGTGTTACCGCCCGCATTCGTCGGTTGCTTCGCACTCCCCGTTTGTCTGTTCTGGTATGGTTGGTCGGCAAGAGAGGATGTGCACTGGATAGTCCCAGTCATCGGCTCTGGCTTGTTTGCAATCTGCATGGTTACATTGTTCAACTCGGTCTACATGTACATCGGAATCATCTATGCTCCGTCCGCAGCATCCGTTTTCGCAGGTGCCACTTTGTTCCGCGCCTCACTCGGTGCAGCTTTCCCCCTCTTTGTGAGTCATAATCAACAGCGCTACTCTTTTTGTTCCAAATTGCCCCCTCTTGGACAATTCTTCCTTTATTCCCTCTTGTTTTTGTTATCTTAATCATAACTGTTTGGGCTTTCTCTGGCTAATACGACGGTACAACTAGGCAAGCTCACTATTCACTAAGCTTGGTGTTGGTCCTGGCAACTCGCTACTCGGCGGCCTCGCAGTGCTATTCATTCCCATTCCATTCGTATTCTATCGTGTAAGTGCAACTATGACTCTCCTGACGGCTGGTCTGATGCTAATCAATAATCAGTATGGTGAACGAATTAGAAAATTGAGCAAGCACGCTGGATAATTCAATATCAATAGGGTGGTGAGACTGGAGCTGGGAAGGTAGATGATGCCACAGTTCTTTTTTAGTCTTTGTATCCATTCCAACATGTAATACTGACGGCTGGAATGCTTTGCCAGCCGTAATAGCCCTATGCTTCGCGCGGTGTTCGGTTCTGATGCCGACCAATCCACGACAAGCTCTTTCTATTACGCCGTGTCCAATGATATACATTACAGAAGGATGGGCAAGTGAAAATCAACCAAGTCTTAGTTCTCAGGTCACTGACCGGGCGATCGATGAAGTAGATATAGGAGTAAGAGAGTTTGATGGAAAGATAATTTCTATGCACTGCACCGTGTTGGTTTACTCATGGACAGAACTAGAAGCCCTGCTGGGTTTGCATCACGACCGGGAGCGAGGCACGTCCAACTGAGAACAAGATCATGTCTCAAAATATACCACTACCAACTCAAAAAGTCTGATCCGTCAGGTCACCAAACTTCCTTTCTCCATTTACATTTCTTTCCTATATTCATGTAGTACGGAGGTGCCCAATAAGAGGTTAGAGGAAAGCTTAATTCATGACAACGAAGCTATGGAGAGGAAGCCATCTATGTCCATTGCATATCTTGACCCGTAGCAGGGCTCATAGTTCACTGATTACCTCGTCCCCCTCAGCCTCACAGAGCGACCCTGGTAGGACCTTGCTAATGCGATAGTCAATGTAGGAGACGGTGTCGCTGTCGTCGGACGGGTATACCCTGATATTGGCCACAAAGGTCGACTCGGTCAGCGCCGCGTACTTGCCCGAGGCTTGGAAGGTCCAGGTGGTGTAGGTCTCGATCTCGCCCCAGCTCGTGGGCTTCACCCCTGTCTCATTGGCCATGATGGCCTCAATATGTTGCGTGTTGGCCAGAAGACCTTTGCCATATATACCAATGTAGTGGTCGTCATCGGTCTTGAGCACGCCCTGCGCCGCCAGAATGTACGGACCACCGGTAGACCTCGCATTAAAGTCGTCCATGTGAATCGTTGTGGCATTCACATACAGGTCAGACCCGGGCACAGATGTCAGAGTGCCGACGGCGTTACCATTCGACCAGAGCCCGCCGGTGGGCAGCTCGCCCATGGGATACATGGCGAAAACCCGAAGCTGTATCAAGGAGGGGTCGAGTTATTTTACTTGGCGTGGAGGCAAGGGGGATTTATCGCGCACTTACGTTGAAAGACAGCGCCGGTGCCAAGGTATTGAATCCACAGAGCAACATTGTCTATAACGGGGCTTAGGCTTTGCCTGGCAGCTCTTCGACAAAGTTTGGGGTACAACGGAACTTGTGACTAATATAAGTTTAGCTGATCTTCAAAGGGTGTGGAGGAATGGATCGTGATGGTAAGGATCGGGTCCCTCCTCCAGCCATATCGATAACAGTTCTCGTTCGACGTCTTATAGAATCATGTCTGGGTACATGATCCTGAAGGATTCGCCTGCATATAATATGTTATCCCTGTTCTGCACAGACCGACTGTATGCGTTATGTTCTGACGCATCTACAAAGGTCACGTCGCACTGAGTAACAATATATCATCAGACATCAAGCGATTGTACGGGATCCTTTGAGCTCGGTCGCCTGCACAGGCCGTTGAAGAAACCAGGAGTTGAGGCCCAGCTTATGCATAACTAGTCCGGTCTTACATGATCTTACTGCATTGCTATCGATTCATCTTACTGCATCTCAACCCATTAATCTTACTGCATGATAATAAGCGAACTTCACTCCGGGTATTGCTATCAGATTCCCCTAGACGCTAAAGAATGCGGGCACGGCTCGGGCTTTCCCTTGCGGACGCTCGCTAATACCGTAAGCACTAAGGTCAACACGGCGCCATCCGTCTAGCCAGCCATGGAACGTGTCACAGAAATATTCAGCATCCCCACTGACTCCATGAAGCTCTAGGTCCATTTTCTGAGATTTCTGTATAGACCGTGGAAAAGAGAAAATGAATAGGTAACTCTCACCCTCCTCTATCCTATGGCGCAAGACGGCTCACCATGCCAAAGTGAACACAGCTTGATGCCTTCGGACCAGGAGATGGAAGAAAACTGGGTTAATATTCGAGACGCTGCATTACGCAAAAGGATCCAAAATCGCCTTGCCCAACGGAAACATCGTAAGTCAGCTACTATCCAACCACAGACCATCCATTGTGGCTAGCTGACACTAGCAGGCCAGAGAGTTCAGGAACTGAGTGCCTGCCAAGGTAACGTGGCGCAGAACAGCATGGGCCTAACGGCCACTAGTTCCTGGAACTCGGCAGACCTTCAAGGCGACCAAGCCGCAATGGCGGGAAACCCCGGCCGATTTGAGTGGGTTCCGGGATCACGTACCGACGGTACGTCTGAGGCTGTCGGCGGTGATAATACTTCAGGCATGGCACCCGATGCGGGAAGCTCTGCCATGAGGATGGATTTTCAGCAGGATAGGGGCGGTACAAGAGCCTTTAATTTCGCACAATATTCTAATGGTGGTACGTCTTCACCAGTAGTCCGATCTGACCAGCCTCCGCCATGGGACATGATGCCGCAATCAGAGAACAACCAACAGCAACAAGGTATGGTGAGACTTCCAGAAGGTACAAACCCTCCGGCGAACTTGGCAGTGCGGAGTACACCCGAGCACCGAAGAAGGCGCTCGAGCCCGTCTATCATGAGGGTGGCCTTCGATGCTGCCGAAAATGGCGCTTTCGAGAGTGGGAGTTCGAGCCGACAGTGTCTCCCGTGCACCACTAGATTGACCGAGCCCTCGCGGATAGAACCTCAAGCTAGTTATGAGCTGCGATCAGCCCCTTCGTCTAGCTCCGGCCGTGGCCATACGCCCCATTACTCGGGCTCGTCCCGCTCTTCGAGATCTTCAGGGATACTCCGAGAACACGGCATAGATCTAGGTGAAATTTTGTCACATACGGAACCTAAGAGGAGGCCCTCGGTCTCGGCGCCCTCGAGGCCGAGAACAAACCCACAGCTATCCGATCGATGTCCGGAACACTCATTGGTAGAGACCAGCCCTTCTAGTCTCGATATCAACAGCGACGATGACTGGAATCACCCCATGGGTCTTGGCACGGCCCAGGACAGCCACAACCACGAGTACATAGAAGGGTTACGTCCTCGAGTATCAAAAGTCGTAGTTGTATATTTCGATGAAACCCCGCGCTGATCAACGGCCAAGTGGGTCCCACTGTATACTAGATGATTTGGCTCTTTGGAAGGGTTTTATTTCGAGACATGTTATGCTTTGGGTTTACCCGTACAAGAAGTGAGTGGGGCCGCGATCGACGACCAGACGGCGGCCGAACGCTCACTGCAATAGATTTATATTTGTGGAGCAACGCAGAACCTGCCTCGTGATTAAAAATATGCCCATGTCTGAATTGCTCATGGGGTTGCCATTCCCCGGTTGGTGAACGAATTTTGCGCCGCTACACACACGCCCCGCTTCAGTCGGTACCGAAGGAGTTGTTGTATTACGGGATCTTGTCAGAGTCAACCTACCTTGTTGATTGCAACATGACGGCTGTGCGTTCCCCTTCAAGGAGAAATAACTGACAGGCCAGGGGCTGGAGTCACGCAGAGCCTTCCAATTACACGTGCGTGATTGAGACAATGTCAGGTTCGTATGCTCCCTGACGGGAACAGGGCGTACCCCCTCCCAGTCTACAGAAGCGGCCCCCAATAGACAGGGTGTAAGTCGATTATGATCATACGCGTCAATCGTTGCATGTGGGCGGAGTTGGAAGTTACACCATCTTCAGGGCCACGGTCAGTCTCGTATTAACCTGACAGTCGCATGTCAGATCACGAGTTATCACAGCTCATCCTCTTGTGGCTTGTCGCAACATAGCTTACTTGCCATCATCTACTCCTACTCACGTAATGAACCGCGTAAAAGATATGTTCTGTTATTCCCGTCATGCTCGTGGCAATGCCCGCAAACGTTCAGTTTCAATTTACCAGGACGGAATTAACCAAGTAAATCGGCCCTGTAACAATCGTCATGGATACCATGAACGTTCTAACAGCCTCAGCCCCTGTGAAGGGCAATTCCATCACCGAGATGTCAGAAGTGCAGCCGCCACGCTATACATCCGAGCCAGCGGACCGCTCTCGGCTAGCAGAGCCGCTGACTTTCCACTTCTCCGGCCGCACCGCGCCGAATCGCTTTATGAAGGCGGCCATGACGGAACAGCTGTGCACCTACGACCCGCAGGACTCGGAGAAGAACGGCATGCCAACAAAGAACATCGAGCGAGTATACGAGCGATGGGGGCGCGGCGGCATCGGCTTGATTCTCTCAGGCGATGTGGGCATCAGCCTCACTAACCTCGAGTCCGTTGGCGATCCAGTCATTCCTCCGGATGCGCCCTTCTCCGGGCCCCGCTTCAACGGATTCGCAGCCATGGCGCGCGCTGGCAAGGCCCATGGCTCCCTCATGGTGGCCCAGGTGGCCCATCCCGGACGACTTTGTGTCTTTGTCGACTCGCCAGTGTCGTCCTCGGAGGGCCAGGTTAGCAATGACGGGCAGGGCGACGGCATCTACAAGTACCCAAAACCGCACGCGGCCACGCTCGAAGAGATCCGGGATCTCATCAAGGCCTTCGGACACGCTGCTGAATATCTGGCCAAGGCCGGTTGGGACGGCGTAGAGCTGCACGCCGCCCACGGCTTCCTCCTGGCCCAGTTTCTCAGCCCCAAGATCAACAAACGCACTGATGAGTACGGTGGCAGTATGGAGAACCGCATGCGCTTCATACTCGAGATTGGTCGCGAGATTCGCCGACGCACGCCCCCGGATTTTATCCTAGGCATGAAGGTCAACAGCGTTGAGTTTCAAGACACGGGCTTCGTCACTACCGAGGCGCGCATACTGTGCCAGAATCTGGAGCGGGAGACTTTTGATTTCATCGAGATCACAGGCGGCACATACGAGAAGATTCTCATGTACCACGGGTGGCGCGAGAGCACCAAGAAGAGGGAGGCCTTCTTCCTCGATTTTGCGGAGCAGATCGTGCCTGGCCTCACGGGCAAGACCAAGGTTTATGTCACGGGAGGATTGAGGACGATCGGTGGCATGGTCCGGGCTCTCGACTCGGTCGACGGGGTCGGACTCGGCAGGCCTCTGTGCGATGAGTGGTTCCTGTGCAAGGAGCTTCTCGAGGGTAAGATCGACGGGGCCACCATTCCGGGCATCCCCCAGACCGACTTTTGGCTCTTCTTGATGGCGGGGAACAGAAACATGCGACTGGTCGGAATGGGAGCTGAACCTGTCGAGTTCTGGAGGAAGGAGGTGGTGGATGAGCTCAGGGCGAGCTATCCCGACTGGGTCGCCAACAAAAGTACGGAGAAAGAACTCGGTCGTTATAAGCTCATTGACGAGCCTTATATTGCGAAAACCTTCACGACGTCGACCTGAGAGGGAGATGCTAGATTGCAGTTTATTGTATCCATTGAGTCCAAATACAATTGAGCAATGATTTCCTGTCTAACGTGTCGATACTCTCATGACATACAACATGGTGTAGCTGCCCAAGCATTTTACTAAATACCAGGAGTAACGCCTCGCAAAATAGAGGACGCAGATTACGTGTTATCATAAATTTTGTGCCATATTCTGCTCTTGACTTTGAATTTTACAGGGCGCATATGTTGCTGTGTTCATCAAAACTGAGCTTCACACAACGGGCCATGTCAACCTTGAAACAGGAATGCTATATATAACTTTGTCCAATATTGGGATGCGACTTCAAACTTTCCATTGTCCCCTATTAGGCACAAAAAAACCTGGCAGTTTATAGCATTCCCAAGGCTGAAGATTAATAGTGACTTATCGTAAAGGGCAACCCACTTGCGACATGGCATGATTGATGACTGCCACATCTTATCAGAACCTGATACATAAAAGCTGCCAGGGATTATAGAGGGAACCATGAAACTGGACCTTTAGTCGATACCAGACAAAGATAATGAGTTTGTCTCGGCACGCAATTCTAACACCACTAGGTCGGAGGGAGAGGACCAGGTACAGGGCTCAACGTCCTCTGTGTGGTAGCACAAGAGACCGGCAGCAGATAGCCGATACCGCATCGATTGATCCCAGATGTGGTCAACCGGATTCGCAACGAATACGATATATCATTTATACGTGGCCTTATCGAATGCTTACCCTTGGCCGTGGTTCTGACCATCAACACACTGTAGGCTGTCCTCGTCACATAAGCCCCCTAATAGCAACTGATATCTCGGACTTTGTAATCGGATTTTAGCTGTAGGCTCTATAAGACTCACCTTTGTCAGACCACGTCATATGCGAGTGACCGCAGAGTATCTGAAACCTGCACATTGTGCAACCATTGCCTATGTACTTACTTACATGGGAGGATTCTGAAAATGTAGGGCCCATCTGTGAAGCTAAGTCGGCATAATCCTCTGTAATGATGACCGTGGGGGTCAGAACACAGCATTGTGGGGGGCCGGGTATAAGGGTTGTATGTGTGTGTGTTTTTTGTGGTCATCGAAATCGGGGGTCCGAGGACCCCGGTTGCGTCACATCGCTCTTACAAGGCCCACTGTGCTGGCCCAAGCCGTAGTATACCAGATTGTATGGAGTGGATGAGGATGAGTGACTGAGTCTAGTGATTTATGCGGACTGACACGCCAAAACCTGTCTGACTGGTGCATAAGTCAGATGTCAGCGAGCGATATTAGCTCACTTATTCCCGAACAAGCCCTTGTCTCCAAATGGGGGGGGGGGGGGCGCTTCGAGGCTCGTCCCTGGTCCGTAACTTACCAATCACGTTTTCTCAATTCTGTTGGCATTACTCCAAGCTGAGTTCAGATCCCTATGGTTTTTAATTTCCCGCCCGTTCTTTGTTTACTCTCTTGGAACTCGTGAAATTCGCCCAGGTATACTATAGCTTCCGAAGACTAAATTCATGATGAGAAGTCTGTTCACCGTTATTCCTTCGTTGGTTGTGGTAGCCGGCGCGGCTCGCACATCAACGACCCTGGCGGTCTGCCCTCCAATTGAAGGCGATATTACAGTAAACGTTCCCAACATCTATCCAGAAGGGGCCGATTTCGCCCTCTCTAGTTGCAAATTCTACATAGGGTTAGTCTACACTTCTTGGGTGTAATGTCGCATTCGTGCCGCAATCGACACCGAGCCATGAAGATTTTGACAGCTTATTTTTGCACAGGTCACTGAACAATGGAAGTCTTGTTGAGTGGGATCCTTACACCTCGGTGGCCAATATCATCGAACTGCCAGGCGTCGGTCACAACTCTGACTACTTTGTTTGTGGGGTAGACTACAGTCATGCAACAGGGACCATCTATGTTGCCGTCAGTGCTCGCGCCCCGTGGTATCCCAGCATTGGGGGAAATCTCACAGGACCAAACCGCCTAATACATTACTCCCCTCTTGAGAAGTCCATACTGTGGCAGGCGGACGTCGATGCACTTGTAAAAGAGATCGAACAAGAGACTGGTTCGCCTATCGCTGGCTTTCAGGAGACAGCCGAAGATATGGATGGAAATGCTTATTTCATAGCTGCGTTCAGCAATGTCATCCTCAAAGTCGACAAGGATGGACAGGCCACAAAGTTCTATGCACCGGAGAAACCTGATAGGGCATACGGGTTTGGTGGTGCTTTCGTGACCCAGGAGAACGTTTTGGTGCTGGGCGACGCATTGTCTCATGCATTTGTGCGTTTCGACCTTTCCGGTCCAACACCCACGAGTCCTACATTTACTGCGCCCCAGGGCCACCCAGACACGTACGAAGGGATACTAGAGTGCGACGCCCTGATCGCGCCGCCAAGGTTTCACGACAAGGTAGCCCTCTGTTCCAGCGTATTGAACAGGAACTACTCGCCCCACGGTGCCATTACCGTGTATACATCGGAAGACGGATGGAAGACCAGCAAATTTGCCGGTGTCGTCCCCGTAGAGTTTGGCCAGTCGCCCGATGTCTGGTCTACGGCGCAGCTGGCCTCGTCAGACAAGGTATACGCGCTTTCCTCGGCCCTTCCCTACGACGGAGGCTCGTTTCCCCAAACTCACAGTACGACGCTCGTGGATATTACCGCACATGTCGACGACTTGGTTCGCCATCTTGTGCCCAGCGCAGAGCCGCTCGAGGATGCAAGTAAACACGAGGAGCTATGAAGGGTAGGTCCTACAGGATGGGTTACCCTGAAGAACTCACCATGTGGAGAGAAATGGTTATCTGGCGTTTGGTATTTTCTGTGTTATCTTTACGCTGTCAATCAATATTGCTTGAAACTTATTCACCGTGTAATATTGAAAAGATCTACGTGTAGCTACGGGTGGAAACAATTGTCATACCCTGTCTGTTTGAACTTCCGTGCTTTGTCGACGTTTAATTCATTTCATGCTATGTTATTTTCAAATAGATGGAATATCCACCAGTCAATGTGAAGCCTATAAAAGCTGTATCGCCACATTAATGCCTTGGAGTTGGAAGCAACTGCAAAGCTACGTATATTGATCTAGAGGATTTTCTCTGTGTAGTTGGAAGCAACTGGGATGAAGAACAAAACTTTTCTCTTTCACGCCCTCTTTCGTTATATCATGTTGTAAATATTGCGCGGAAAGATCACAAAAAGATGCCCAGATCAAAGCGTTCATGATGATGGGCAATCTAACGGTCACTATACATACAGGTCCGCTTTCAGCCATGCGTCTCTATTAACACTAGAGTCCAGCCGCTTCGCCGTTTTCGTCATTCAGACTTATTCCTAGTCCTTGCAACATAGTATCACAAGAGTCTCGCATGAGCTTCTGAAACATCTCCTCCGTATGATAAGCCTCATTGTAGGTGACAGCGACATGGAATCGTCCTTGCCAAGTCCAAATTGTGACACAGCTCATGCCTTCCAGCATGGAATGATTAACCGTGTAGGTATCCTCGACTGTAATGGAATGGCGCGTAGGATCACCAAAGCTGCTTTTGAGGAACCTCTCGGCAATCCCGAAACTGGAAAAGTTGGGAAAGGTTGATATCGGCATGCCAGGGACAAAAAAGGACTTGTACAGGTGGTTGATAGCATCTAAGCCAAGGTAGTCCTTCGCAAACGTGTCCCTCAAGGTCTTGAAGTTGTCATTTGCGGCGCCAGCGACGTTTTCAAACGAACCGCTGCTGAGATCCAGGCAGAAAGGAAGGACGCCATGCAGGTCGGTACCCAGCGTCAGAGAATCAATATCGACCTCCTTGGCAAACCAGGATCGCGCATCGAAATTATGGAAGGACAAAGCCAAGTCTCCAGGTGTCCCGTGTTCAGCTTGAATCTTGCGGCAGCTCATCGATAGAGCGGTATAGTACGCCGCTGTAACGGACACACCTGCTTGCTTACAGGCCCTCACCAGAGCCTCTGTCTGGGGCACAGTGATGGAATATCTGAGTAACCCATTGCGGTCTGCACCGCTAGGAGAATTCTTCCCGTCAGGGCTCGTCTTGATGTTCAAAGGAGGCAGGGCGATAAACTGCTTGCCGGCTTCTGCGTGTAGCGCTTTACGAACCAACGTCTGTGCCTTGGCGTATCCGTCCATGGTGGGGTATTGCGCCATGCCGATAAGGTCGTCCCGGGCTAGAGGAAGACGCTTCCATTCGTCCCCAAAGTGAACGTCCCTAGGGCTGACGACAAGATCGAGGAGCTTCCCCCAAAAGACCCACATGGTTCTCGCATCAAAGTAGCAATGCTGACCGACAAGAAGAAGCTCTTTGTTCTGCGGCAGCCAGTACAGGTGAGGATTGCTCTCGGGAAGGAGATGCTGCTTTTGGGCCTCTTCGGCCGTCATGGTCGGGAATGTATGAAAGGTGCCACTCAACCACTCATCCACCTCTTCAGGGTAAGGAATCTTGTAAACCTTGTAGTATTCCTCAAGCTCCAGGGCGAGGCCTGGATTCTCGTATCGCATGGTCACCCAAGCATTGCGCAACAGCTGCTCAAGTTCCAGGTCGGGAATCTCTGTCTGGATCCTAACATATGACGTTGACTGCAGCAGACGTCGTCCTGATGCGTCCAACTTATTCCACATATGCTGCATAGTCAGAAAGCTGTCGTAGTCTTGAGTATAGGTGCCAGGGGCAATCCGCCTCCACGGATAATTCTGAGCACCGCCGTGGGTCACGTTGATACGACTCATTTTCACCGCGAGTGATGGCATAAGTATTGTTCTGGGATACTTTGATCGTCTGGAGTATTTGTTACATTAGAAGAAGCTAGTCCGGGAGGTTCTTATCTTTGCCTGCCGAAACTGAAAAGTCTTGTGTATTGTCTTCGTCCGATATATAGTGTATATGTGCCACCTATGCTCATCCACTGCTAAAAGTCATATCAACTCTGCCTCTTCGGAATATCATCGAACCGCTGCCGGAGGCAGTGGATGTATAGAGAACCCCCTTCACCCCAGTGATTTCTGACTCTGTGATACTAGTGCGTGTAAGCCTGACTGATTCCGTTCGAGGGACCAGGGGGGAAACGGTCAGCCATGGTGGCGGCCAACTATCCCCCCTGGCACTGCATGAACAGGGGCTATGTAGGGGCCCGCAATGTAGGCAACTCCGACCAAACGACCTTGACAAGAAGCACCATGGCGATGCAACCAGGTTGCAACACATGTTCGGGTTGAAAATACACTCATCTGCGACACAAAGAATATTGTGATAGTTCAGCACAGTTTAACCTGTGAATAATTTGATTGGTAACCTTTCATTCAGGCCTTATCGTACTCGAGCTTCAACACAAGATGGACTCTTCGGTGCAGCCCCCTCTACCACAGGGTGCAGGTTATGGCGTTGTCGTGGGTTTCGGGGTGGTCTTTGCATTGGGTGAGCTGATAGAGAAACTACAGATCTCTAGAGCATCACTTACACTCACTAGGTATGGTCTGGGTAATGAGAACTATGAAGAAGTCTTTCCACGAAGACAACCATTCGACCGAAACGTACGCAGACAGCCTGTACCCCCCGAACGCAAGTTTCTGACGATTACCAGCTTCATGGTCGCAAACCGCAGCGTCGGAACCGGTCTCATCGCCGCCGCTGTCATCTCATCATGGCTCTACAGTATCGCCCTTCTCGGCGCTACTCTCCTGACATACCGGTATGGTGTGGCTCTGGCGGTCTGGTGGGGAGCCTCTGCCAGCACTATGGTGACCTTCTTTTCATTCATCGCCATCCAGGTGAAGCGACGAGCGCCTAATGCCCATACGCTTCTGGAGCTCATCAAGGTCCGCTATGGAACGACGACGCACATTCTATGGATCGTGCTGTGTCTGGTGAACAATCTCTTTGTCTTCTCCACCATGTTACTGAGTGCAAGCACGACGGTCAGCTCACTGACAGGTATGCACGTCATTGCAAGCACGTTCTTGATGCCTGTAAGTCATCCGAGCCCAATTCATCCTCCTACGTGCATGGCCGTTGACAAAAAGCAGATCGGTGTCGCTATGTATACTTACCTCGGCGGCCTCAGGGCCACGTTCCTAACCGACTACGTACATACATTCGTAATCATGATCATCTTGGCATGGTTCACCATTAGGGTCATCACTGTGTCAGAGATCGGTTCCATTGGTAATCTGTACGATGCAGTGATGACAGTCGATCGCGAGAACCCAGTAGACGGCAACTATCAAGGCTCACATTTGACCATGAGGAGCACACAAAGTGTTCTCTTTGGAATCCTCCATATAATGTCCGTGTTTTGTCTTCGTTTTGTCCGCGTTCCTCATATGCAGAATGAAATGAATCTCTCAGAGAGTGCTGATTATCGATCTATAGATCAAATTTTGGAACAATCACCATGGATACCGGGTTTTGGCAGAAGGTATGGAAGCGTCACCATGACATTGTGCTATGCATCTACTCAACTTACCATCCGTAACTGCAGGGATTTTCGGCCGCACCCGATGCTGCTGTACCAGGATATGTTCTCGGCGGCATCGCATCGTTCGCTCCGCCCTACGCCATAGGAACCATTGTCGGTCTTGCTGCCATCGCGCTGGAAAGTACGCCGGCTTTTCCAACGTATCCTAGAGTACGTGTAATCAAGAAAAGCATCCACTGACTTCGTGACCTGATTTTTGATATAGATGATGACCGCGGACGAAGTCGACGCCGGCTTGGTTCTGCCGTACGTCGCGCAGGCTGTTGCCGGGAAAGGCGGCGCAGCTGCCATACTACTCGTCACGTTCATGGTGAGCAATGGCGGACGAGGGTCTCCCTAGAGAAGCTTTGGGTGCTGACCATCTGAATAGGCCTGTACCTCGGTTGCATCCGCGCAAATGATTGCCATCAGCTCCATAATCTCGTTCGACATATACGGGACGTATATCAACAAGACGGCTACTAACAGGCAACTGATCAGATGGTCTCATATTGGCGTTATTTTTACATCATTGGCGATTTCGTCCATTGCCACCGGTTTCCATCTGGGCGGCGTGAATATGACTTGGCTCTTGTACGCCATGGGGAACATTGTCAACCCTGGTGTCTTTCCCACGCTTTTCGCTCTCTTGTGGACAAGGCAAACAAAAGTGGCGGCGACCATTGCGCCGTTTGCGGGTCTTATTGGCGGAATCTCCGTATGGCTTGGGACGGCTCACAGGCTCTATGGCGAGGTCACCATCACTTCCACTGGGGCTACGTTGCCATGTCTCTACGGGACGATCGTCGCATTCGTAGCTCCTATCCCAGTTTCGGTCCTGGTGTCACTGGTTAGTCCGACGGAGCCGTTTGATTGGGATGACTTCAAAAAGATCCACACGGTCAAGCCTGATGCCATTGCATCGGAGCCGCCGGTCGACCAGCAAGGGCGCGAGCAAGATCACTGGCTCACCCCCGAGCGCCAGAGCTACATGAAAAAGATGAGCCGTTGGGCTGCCTTCTGGACCTGCTTTACCTTTGTCGGTCACGTACTCTTATGGCCACTTGCCATGTACGGTAGCAAGATGGTATTTTCAAAACCGGTATGTGGTCATCTACTGTATTCAAACCCACTCTATTTTCTTACCCACCTGTGAGGCGAACCCCATTCACTAACAAGCAGAAAAAAAGTTCTTCACCGCATGGATCGTGGTTACATTTATCTACCTCTGGTTCTCATTGGTCGTTGGAAACTTCTATCCGATTGTAGATGGGGGATATCAGCAAATCTGGAATGTGATCAAGGGAACCCGGAATGAACGGGAGAAGGCTATAAATCCTGTTGATTCTGATGAATCCAATAATGGAACCAAGGAGAACATGAAGGGTGCCGTGTAAGCGACAAAGAGAGAGCCGAGTCTCGCCTGGTAGTTCTCTTGTTCCTTCTAAGATAGGACTGGAAATTGCTTTTGCCAACTCATGAGGCTACAGATTGAGTCACAAGTTCTAGAGGTTTAATGTCTGAACGATGAATACAACTAGGCTGCGGAGATACTGATTGGCGCTATTGTGTTTTGAATCTTATCTATAAGGCTTCCGTCCTCCCTCCTGTGACGACATACTCAATCCTAATTGATGAACCAAGGTACCAAAGAAGCTGGGAATGAACAGATCACTCCTCCACCGTGTCGACGTACAACTGGCTTTTAACAAAGGCTGGCGCTCGCTCGCCCGCGACACCAGATACAATATCTCTAATCCGTCCTTCTTCCTCATCTGTCAATTCTACCTGTAGAGCACCAAGGTTCTCCTCAAGATACTTGATCTTCTTTGTCCCGGGAATGGGGATTACATCCTGACCTTGTCTCAGGACCCAAGCAATGACCAGCTGGGCAGGACTGCAGCCCTTCTTCCCAGCCAGAACCTTGAGCTGTCGGACTATATCGAGGTTGGCAGCGAAGTTCTCGCCAGTGAACCAGGGATACAGTGATCGCCAATCGCCCTCGGCCGAGATGGAGTTCTGTCCTTCCAGGTTTCCCGCCAAAAGGCCTCGGCCGAGCGGAGAATATGCCACGATAGCGACGCCGAGTTCTCGACAGGTCGACATCAAATTAGTCCCAGACTCGCCCTCGATACCCAGCTCGAAAGGGGAATACTCGACCTGGACCGCATCCACTTGACCGACTTTGCACGCACGGCGCAGCGTCTGTGAGCTGATCTCGGACAAGCCAATATGCTTGATCTTGCCCTCGCTTCGGATTATGTCAGTGACCTTCCATCCCGGCAGACGGATTCGAGGTACTCACGCCTTGAGTTCAAGCATGCCGCGCATGGTGTCTTCGATCGGAGTTTTGGCGTTGGCACGGTGCATGTAGTATAGGTCAATGCAGTCGACGCCAAGCGCCTTGAGACTCTCCGCGCAAGCTTTCTTGCAGTAGCCAGCCGAACTGTCGATGTCGGCATGGGAACCTTTGATGAATCCAAACTTGGTCGCAAGGAAAATTTGGTCTCTTTTGCCGGTGCGTTTGAACCATTTCCCGAGGAGCTCTTCGTTATCGCCGTACATACTTGAAACGAATGACTTAGTCCTACTGTAGAGATACACCCACGCACCTTCAAAATAAGTACCTACTCTGAACTGTCCCAGTTTCTCGCCCCAATTTCTAGCGCTCGGTCGAGGACGGCAAAACGTTCTTCATCGCTGGGTGCCGGGCCATAGTGAATGGACAAACCCATAAGCCCCAGTCCTACAGCTGGCACCATGGGTCCATTCTTTCCGAGCTGGCGGAACGGGATGTTTGGGTGAGACATCTGGCAATGGTGGTGTCAACAAAAAACGTAAAATGTGATCAAAGCAAACTATGCGACCTTTCCTTGACACAGATGCGTTAATAGAAGGACAGAAAAACGGCAAGGTTCAATATACCAACAACGCTCCGATGTAGACTTTTTGTTGTGTCTCTTATGTCACAACTAACCATCACACCAAATGGCCCGGGGCAGCTTTTGGACATAACAAGGCCGAAGGGAGGGGAGAAAGAAAGCAGGAGTGAACCCGGAGTTGCTCATCATTCCGCTTGTGGTAGATGGTGGGGCTAATGACGGGAGTTGGGTTACACAGTATAATGCATAGTGACATATAACTGGACCCCCACTTCCTTGTCAGAAAGACGGAAATCTGAGATGATACCCGGATGCATTGTCCAATAAACTCATGTGAATTCCACGCCTCTATGCAGCGCTAGGTAGCTCTGAACAATGACCGGGGGAGATGCTGCAGTTCATAATTTGGTCACGCAAAAAGTGAACTATCATGGGTGTCTTAACTTTTTAAACCCGTAAAGAAATATTACCCTTCCGTTGTCCTTCCAGGCTGGAAATGAAACCTCATACTATCTCAGAAGGCCATCGATGATAACAGATCAATCGTAATTTACTAGTCTGTACAAGCGGCTATCTGCTTTTCCGTGTGTTTGAGCCTGACTCATGATGGCGTCAATAAGAGTCGACCCAGATCTACAGGTGGTATTGGATCAATTTGCAGGCGTCGAAGCGCCCAAGTATAAGAATCCTCTTGCTTTTCGTGCTGGCAATGATGCCATGCTTATGCAGCTGTTTGGAGCGATCCCCTACCCCCAGGGCATGAAGGAATCCACGCACACGATTACCTCGCTCGACGGAAGCAGCATTGCGGTGCGTCGTCTCCTCCCAGTATCGGCGGGCACCCAGCCCGGTGCCCAGCGGGCAGCCGTCTGGGCCTTTGGGGGTGGGTTTTTCTCGGGGAGCGTGGATGTTTGCGTGCGCGTAGCTGCCGAGTTGGCCGAGATGAGCCAAACGCAAATCTTCGCAGTCGACTATCGTCTCGCTCCCGAGAACCCGTTTCCCAAAGCAGTCGAGGACATGTACGCCACAATCGTTTGGCTACAAGCCAATGCCAGCTCGTTCAATGTGGATCCGTCCCGCATCGTGGTCGTCGGCCAAAGTGCAGGTGGAGGGCTTGCCGCCGGTACTGCTCTTATGGCCCGGGACAAAGGGCTCGAGCCTCCACTTGCTGGCCAAATCCTGAAGTATCCCATGCTCGACGATCGCACGACAATCGACGAATCCTCACCGCTGTGGAAGCATCTCAGCTGGACGGTCGAGTTCAATGACATGGCCTGGAATGCTTATTTGGGTGGTAAGGAGCGGTGTAAGTTAACCTGATGGTACTCGTGATTGATTAAGTACTAATGCATTTTTTGTGCGAAAAGCTGAAAGGAACGATGAAAATGTCTCTCCATACGCAGCCCCGGCAAGGGTCCGGGACGTAAGCAGGCTGCCGCGTACTTTCATCGATGCGGGGGGGCTGGACCTATTTAGAGATGAAAACGTTGCTTATGCTGCTAGGCTCGCTGCAGCTAACGTTGATGTCGAGTTCCATCTATATCCTGGGGTGCCACATGGTTACGATGGCATGGCAATGCAGATCAGGGTTACGAAGGAGGCCAATGCTAACCTCAGTAGATTCCTGTCTAGGGTCTAGTTAATAGAGTAGATTAATTCAGATGTCAACTTATGCGCTACACTGCTGGTGGCTACACACGTGCGCTGCGGGTAGATTCATCTAATGGTAGATAGCACACTCTTTTGGAAGAGCTACTCAAATATTCTGACCTCACTAGACCCATCCTTCCAAGTCCTGAAAAGAATGAACAGAAGTGGCCGCATCAGATTTCAGGGAGAATAGTACTGGTAGCCAAGTACAAGAGAAATTTATGGAGAAACCCCATTTGGCGACCAATGCCATTGAAAACACTAACCACTTTTATAAGGTTTGCTTGCTACATACAGGAGTCACGCTATCTAAATCGTATTTGGAAAATTGGTATGCTATTTGTTGCCCAAACTCATTTGTTGCCCTCTGAACATTGAATTTACACCCTCGGTATGGCCCAGGTTTCACCAGAAGCGAGAAGTCAAGGCGCTGTTTACTATCTCGAGAAGTGTCTCTGCTGATCAGGCATCATGCTGGCCCCTAGCCTTGGCTTGATTGAAGCGGTGAGCTGCTACCAGAGGCACGGTCATGAGAAGCACGGCAACCGCCATGACAACACCAGCAAAGACTTGCGCAAACTTGAAGTCAGCATGGGCAACGTCAGCCAGGGCGCCCGCAACTGGTGCTCCAATCAGCACGCCCACCGCGGCTGTAGACCAGCTCATGCCGAGTCGTGCACCAATGACGTCGATACTAGGGCTGAGAGTCGGATGAGCAGTGCTGGCGGCCGGCGCCGTGACCAAAACTCCGGAGAGGAAGCCCCAAGCGATGGTCCACACGACCATATTAGCCTTGGTATTGACAGTCATCCAGCCGAACAACAGCACGATGCCGACAGCCTCCCAAAAAATCAAGATTTGTATGGGAGTAACACGCGAGCCTACCAGATAGGGAACAGTGCGACCAAAGAAGGATGCGGCATTGCTGATGGCCAGCAGGTCAAAGGCGAAGTCGACGCCGGTCTTTAGTTTGACGGCCGCGAATGTTGTAAGGTAAAAGAGTGGGATGTAGTACGCCAGGAATTGGAAAAACAGGGCAATGACAAAGGTGCCAAAGACGGGCTCGCAGAAGCCCCGTGGATCCATGATCATCTTTGCTTTGGGAGCTCGGTCGCCAGGCTTGCGGCAAAGGATTGCCAAAGTCACGATTGAGACGGCTAGGTTGATGTAAGCGATGACACGAACCGCTGACGCAAATCCGAGGACCGGCGCAAGCCTGCGAAATGCTATGGGGAAGACTATGCCGCCAATGCTTGCGCCGGTGGAAGCGCAGCCGAGCGCGATGGGTCGCTTCGTTGTGAACTTGGACGAGATTATGGCGAAGGCTGGGATATTGATCGCTCCAGCCCCTAGACCGACGCAGAAGCCCTGCGCCAGCATGATCTGCCAATATTTGGTTGCAGCTGAAAGCATAAACATGCCAAAGACGACCATGAAGTGGCCGACAATCATGACGGGGCGCAAGTAGCCTCGATCAGTCAGGGGCCCCGTCAAGAGCCCAACGATCGTGACAAACGTCGACTGAACGCTCCCGATCCATGCCAATGTGGAAGGCGCAGTCCCTTGAAGAAGTTCTGTTCTGTAATGCTCTAAGAACACTCCGAATGTACTGGATAGGCCCCTGGGAAATATCAGCGCTGCACCAATTGGGGTCACGAGCGGGTGGATTTACCATGAATTTACGAAGATGAAGAACCCGGCGAGGACGATGAGCCACGCCTCAAGCCCTCCATCCGGAGCCGGCTTTGCAGTGGGCGGCGATTGGCCGTTGGCCGGTGCTAATAGAGGCTGTCGCTCTGCACTCATGTTGCCAGTGCTCCGTGCCGATACGGTATTGTTGGTCGCCGACATTCTCGCGCTTGTCTTGTTCCGATCAGCTGGAGTCTTGTCGACACTTCTCTGCCAAATACTCTCTATACTCACATTTTTCGTCCGGTCGGCCATCATGATCTGCCAATGGGCTCAGCGTCTCCAAGTGTTTTGCGATTGAGTTGTTTCAAGGTCGAGTTGTATACGAGCGTGAACACGCGCTCAAGCTGATATTTGGTAGACAGTTTTCTTGGCTTCTGTGGGGCTAGGCTGGCTGGCACCATAAATCCAAGCAACATGAATTCATCAGAAAAGTAACCAAAGTTGGAAAATTCGAGGTCTGCAGTCCAGCCATCTTGAGTACGTGTAAACTGATGCTATGCAAATCTGAACTAACTTTCCAAATCCATGACCACTTACAGCAGTTGCCTCTTCCCGTTATCCCGTTGCGCGGACTGGAGACGTGAGTCCGGCTTTAAGCCGGAGTGCAACACTGACAGCAGCACTCTGACTAAGGTTACAGCGTTCTGACTGCAGCGCTCTGACTACAGCGCTGACCAGGGTACAGCACTCTGACTGCAGCACTCCGACTACAACCTTTGACTTTGAACTGTACATAACTCCGATTGTACACTTTACTGCCGTGCCTGACCCTAACAGCGTGTCTTTACCTGGACGGCAAACTACTGGCTGAGCATGTTTGGAAGCAAAGTGCAGCCTCGAGCTTCCAAGTAAGTACTTATAATTGTGAGATTCTTGTCTCCTCGGCTCACCTGCTGGTCCCACCAATGCCATGTACCAGCAGGCCGTCTTAACTACGGCACGAATACATACATAGGCTCCAACCTAGGCAAAGTAGGTTCTTCACTGCCTAATTGAAACCACGGCAAGCGACAAGGAGGCCTGGAAGGTTGGTCAGTTGCGCCTAATATGGAGCTAGATCAGCTACAGCAACAACTGCATTACACATTTGTAAATGGTGCCATCATTCTAGGTACTGGGCTTGTGCTTTGCGTGAGTCCTATGCACGAGAATTGATTTGATTATGCTGCGGCTGAAACTAAGAATCTGACATTGTGTATTAGGCATCTTATGTTATAGCCTATCGGTTGTTTTTGCATCCTTACAGTAAATACCCAGGCCCAATCATCTCGAAGATAAGCGGTCTTCCAGTTTTATACCACGCCTACAAGGGCGACTTTCATCATTATGTCTACAGGATGCACAACAAATACGGTAAGTTAAGAGAGAAAAAGAAAAAAGCGCGACATTCCGCTTGTTGCCACACAAGATATTGACGACAATGTTCAAAGGGGAAAAGGTTCGGTACTCGCCCAACAAGCTATCCATCAACAGGGTCGAGGCTCTCAGCGGTATGTGCGAGAGAGAACGTCTTCCTCACTCCTGAACCTCGTGCTAATGCGTTACAGATGTATATGGCTTCAACAAGAACGTATCCAAACCGGAAGAGTTTTATTCCGCTTTCAGGGTGAATGCGCACGCGAGAAACGTTTTCAACACAGCGGACAAGGAAGAACACCGAAGGAAGCGTCGCATCATGAACAAAGCATTCTCTGCTAAAGCCCTGCCAAACTATGCGCCTTTTATTTCGTCCAAGGTGGATGAGTTGACCATCAAACTCAATGGCGGCGTGGCGCCTGCCGAAGGCGCGCAATGGAGAACATTTAACATGGCTGACGAGGTCAACTACCTCATGCTAGATATCATGGGCGGTCTTTGCTTTGGCGAAGCATTCGGATTTGTAGCCGGAAAGGGCACAGAGATGATGGCAAACGTGCATGCGCGGGCCATTCGAATATATGCGGTTAGGTCTTGTTCCCGTCGCACTCTGGAGTACCAAGGCTAATTTGGCGATCAGACTGGGCAAGAACCTCTTTTGAAGCGCTTGTCGCTGGACAAGCTTCTCTTCCCACAGTTGTCCAAGGCGGCCACTGCTCTGGGTCAGTATACTCGGTATTACACCGAAAAGCGCATCAAGCAGCGGGACGACCTCGAAGCTGATCAAGAGGCGGTCAAGGAACGCGGTTACGAAGACATCTTGGGACACTTGATTAATAACAAAGACGACGAGACAGGCACGATATACAGTAAGGATGAGCTTCTAGGGGAGGCGACCTTACTCATGATGGCCGGTAAGTGTACTCACAAGGCGGCCCAACCCAACCCAACCAGGGGCGATGACTGATGGCTGACAACTTGGTGTTTAGGCTCAGACACATCGACAACGGCGATCAACACTACGCTGTTCTACGTTGTGAACCACCCCCGCGTGTTGAGAAAGCTAGAGCGCGAACTCTACCAGTGCTTCCCCAAACTAGACGATATCCAGCCCATGACGGCAGAGAGCTGCAGGTATCTGCGGGCCTGCCTCGACGAGGCGATGCGGCTATGCCCTTCAGTGCCCTCTAGTATCCCTCGTGTGGTCGATCAGGGTGGGATCAAGGTACTGGATGAGGATATTCCGGCAGGTATGTGGGTGTCTGTGCCACACTTTACCATCTTCCGCAATGCCAAGTACTTTGACCGACCGCACGATTTCATCCCCGAGCGCTGGATCGCCGACGAGGGCACAGACTACAGCCCCGAGGACGTCAAGCTCGCGCAGACGGCATTCCAGCCCTTCTCCATCGGGCCTCGGCATTGCGTGGCGCGGAGCCTCGCGCTGCGCGAGATGACGTTTGCCCTGGCTCGCATGTTCTACCTGTTCGACTTTGAACCAGTCCCCAACAGCGGGCGCTGGATGGGGTCACTCCCCGGTATAGACACCGGGAACAGTCATTTCATTCATGAACAGATTGACGTATTCACGTCCCTGGAGAAGGGTCCCGAGGTCAAGATCAAGGTGAAAGATAGGGCCACTTCGCGGACTGATTCTTGAGATTGTTCAGTATCGGTCCATGATGCCCGCTCGATACTGGCGCCGGCTGGCTGATTGTGAGTGAAATAGCAGCAGTTGTTTGATAGCTAAGGAATAGATACAACGCTCAAAGGTATCCGGCCGCCAGCCTATGGAGAATCGTCATATAGCCACGGTATGATACGTCATGATAGGGCCACTATTCAAGTGTAAAATGTGGCCTCGTCTCAATGAAATAGACTTTATGCATATCATGACATTTACAATATCTCGCCTGTTTGAAGAATGTCGATTGTCTAAAAGTGAAGCTGTTGAATTCTATAGTTTGTGTGAAGTTATATAAATATTCTTTCCGCGTTCAGAGGTCACATGTGTCCGCAATGGACAATATCTGGAGGCGAGATATCACACTGCAGGAGCATGTCATATACAACATGAATTTGTTTGTAATCCTCGAAGGATCAACTTGACCGGTTGGGGAATCATCTCCATTACTCGTTCCAAAATCCATTCCTTCTGTTCTTTCTCTAAGCAATCATTCCACAGTATCAAGATATGATAAATATTCACTTTATTGCAACGATAAAGCGTCAACCGGTATATAAGAGTCACACGTCTTAAGCAGGTTTCAGTCCACAAGCTCATCGATGATACAACCCAAATGTCAAACAAGCAACGACATCACTCCTGGCAAAACTTGGCGGTTTATGAGCAATAGTCACATTCCTTTTGGTCTTACCATCAGGCTCGATAGCGGCTGCTTAGTATACAATATAATCACGCATGTAGGAGATGGAGAGCATAAAGGCTCTGCTTGTGACTACATAGCGTGAATTGTACATCCAGAATTGTGAATTTGTATGGTGCATACTAAATAGGTATTCGTTGGTGCAAGTGACTCAAACGTCCCTGTTCAAACCCCGGACTCTAACATTGTTTTTATCGTCGTTGTAGTAAAAGGTTGCTATCAACAGCCTTCAGACGCTCCAAGCCTCTTCGTTTTCAATTGTATGTATTCAACCTGTAAGAACATCAAGATGGTGGCTAATGTACTAAAAAGCAGGTGGTTTCAAATCCTATGGCTCTAATTGGTTTAATTGATGATCGAGTCAACGGGCTACAGGCCTGCTTCGAGCAGGCTATGGTTTCCTTGGTCCATCATTCCATCCACGAGTTCGTCGAGGTACTGGAGAAGGATGGCCGAGACAGGCAGCACAGCCAGGAACGGCATTATGTGGTCATGTACACACATCCAAGTGCAGGATATCTTGGCGATCGGTGACAAAGGCCTGAGCATAATCCAGAAGCTCGAGGGTTTAAGATGAAACTAAGTCGCATGGTTGTGCCGCTGTTACCGCACGACGGCAAGCTCTACCACTTTGCTACTTGCCAAATGCGTATCCTGCTTAAACTGAGCAACAAGCTCATGCCGATGTATACGGAACGGACCCTGGTCAATATGCTGAGTTGTTTTCATTTGTTATTATTATCAGCTGGACTCTATCATCTTATTTTCATTTGTTGTTATTTTCAGTTGGAATCTACTATCTTGTGTTTTTCTCCTTTTCTTTCTTCTTTTTCCGGGTGATGCTGGCGGGTGTGACTGGGTGCATCCGGACCGGTAGTTGACCGCCCACGCGGGGAACCAGCTTCAAGTTGAAGCATAATGCTCCGGTGGTGGACGCGATGCGGAAGTCGGCCTGTTCGGGTCGGAACTCAGATCGGCGGTTGCCAAAAGGTCAAGTACAAGTACCGTACAGTGACTACTCGAAGGTCTCCAGGCCTACACTCCCCCCGCGGAGAACGGAGGAAAATGCACATTCAGTATTGGTGGAGAAGCGGCATCCCACTCTTAGACTAGCGGTATTTGGCTTGGCTGTGATCGAATGCAGATCGTCCGTACCCCCCAACATTCAGTCAGTCTTACTCCGTAAGTAGTAGGTACGTACTGTCTGACGATACATGGGTCAGAATCTGACCAAAGTACAGACGTGTCACCCAGCTTATAAGGGTCCCAAGTTTAACCCCGATGTACGGCTTTTATGCAGCTTACATACCTATGTAACCTAACCTAACCTAGTCTAGTCTGGACTAAGTAGTACTGGGCCTGCCCCCAGCAGAGTCAGCCAGCCGTAAGGGTCGATTCCTCGAATTGAGCTTTTTGGAAGCATTACTCATCGACAAATGCAGTCACGGTTGATCAATTGCCTACCCCCACCCTGTGGCATGACCTACAGCATCTAACCAGGTTATGGTTCTCTTTCTGACATGGCTGCAGCCAGCCATCATGCAGCTCTCAACTCTCACATGATATTGACGTCGACGCGTGGGCTGTGACAGTGCTAAGAACACAGTTCGCACCCAACCCTCTAACCTACATGCATGCTGTTCACATACTTCGAATATCGCCTTCAACGTTTGATGCCATGATGAAACAGAAAGCGAACCGATTCCTCCCTCACTGATCACGATTCTTATCGAGACATGGAACCCATACAGGCCGCAAGGACACAGCGTCCCCAGCGCCAACCACAACGGCGGCAACAGTACTTACAGCAGCAGCAGCAGCAGCCATCGGCGCAGCAGAATCAAAAACTGTTCAACACTGGCACATGGTCTCCGGCCGAGGATGCGCGCCTCCTCGATGCCGTGGCCAAGTACGGAAACCGGTGGGTGCTGGTCACGGGCAAGGTGAGGACTCGCAGCGGAGACCAGTGCGCCAAGCGTTGGAACGAAAACCTGAACCCCGAACTGGATCATGGCCCCTGGACGACCGAAGAAGTAAGTAAAACATCTGGCACCTTGTCAAGGTCAAAATGTACTGTTGAGATTGTCACAATGGCAAACCGAGCCCAACTTACCCTCACCAAGCCGTGGGCGCTCTTCCGACGTGGGACAGATGTGCACGTTGCGATGTTAAAGTCAATTGCCCCACCTCCATGGGCTGCTATCCTTTCCGTAAATATTGTACATTACAAGTCTATATTCCTTGCCGCACGCAGTCATCTAGGATGCAGATTTTCAAACATGTTTTTGATCCTTCTTAAATGAGAAAACCTAAATTCATCTCCGTTGTTTCCTGCGTGGTCAATCTCAAGCCTTGGCTGACTTGTGCGGTGGATCGCCTCTGAACAGGAACAGCGTCTTTTAGGCTTGGTTGAGATTTACGGCCATAATTGGAAGCTCATAGCCAAGAACTTTTTCGAGGCGCGCGCACCCTTGGCTCTCAAGAACAGGCACTCTCTCCTTATGCGACGTGTCAAGCGCCAGGAAACTTGGAGGCAGCAGCAGCAGCAGCGACAACACCAGCAGCAGCACCATCAGCAGCAACACCAGAAGCAACTACAGCAGCAGCAGCAACAACAACAACAACAACAACAACAACAACAACAACAACAACAGCAGCAGCAGCAGCAGCAGGAGGAGAAGGAGCAACTACAACAACGACAGCAGCAACAGCAGCAACTACAGCAGCAGCAACAGCAGCAACTACAGCGACAACAACAACAACAACAACAACAGCAGCAGCAGCAGCAGCAGCAGCAACATCCACAACCATCTGCCAATATGGGGGGCGGAGCTAAAACATCGCCTGGCATCTCGAACCCTCGCCTGCTGGACGAGGCCACGTCGTTACTCTCCGACGACAACATGAAACTGGCAAGCTTCTTCGTTGATGATGACGCTTCGCAAGGGCCTCAACACATGGCCGACCCAGCCATGGGCGCCGCTTCCAACAACATCTGCCCCCCGGTACCAGTAAACGACATGAGTGTTGGTATGGCGTCCCTGAACCCGACCACCGCCGCTTCTAATCGGCGAGGGTCGGACGACATGATGCCACAATTGACCGAATGGAATGAGCAGGATTTGATCTGGCATCCGCAGTCCTCTTTCCTGGAGGATGGGACGGCGATGCACAGTCTGCCACCCAACAGTGCGGCCAACAAGAAGATCAATGAAGCAGAACCCGCGGCTATCTTGTCAGAAAACAGGCCTGGCAGCCAAGATCCCTTCCAGGGCGCAGGGGAGAGCACAGAAGGTCATCACAGCGTAGCGCCGTCGAAGAATGTGAACAGCGACGTTGAATATGCCGTCACCTGCCAAAGGGGCAAGCTCAAGACGCTGTTGAGCCACCTCATGGATGCAGCCATGTCGGAAGGCGCGATGTTGGTGGCCGAGGAGCACCCGGTCACGGTCACACTGAAGCTGAAGGTTTGAGACCATACCTAAGTACAAGAGTGGAATCCCGCTGTACGATATACATCATATATATATGATAACATGGAACCCTGCGAGGCTCTATCTCTGCATACCCACAAACCTATCCTTGTCATAGGCGACTCTTCTTGTAGAACTTGTGAAAGGATACTATGTGGAGAGAGGCGAGTCTTCGTAAGGAATGGATGGCTGGTCGGATATATATGGTAGCTTAGTTTCAGGTACCGGCACAGCCCGTAAATGGACCTCAACCCCGATATCATAGTAAACTGTTCAGTTGCAGGAAGCTGATGTCCTTCGCGAGGTGCAAGGAACCTCAAAATTGCGCGATGCAGATGATGCCAAAGTATAAATATTACTTTCTCATAAAATCAGCCGCTCAGCCGCCTCTGGTGAGGCCGTGCGGCCACTCCGTCTGGTCATGTGGATTTTACATTACAGCACCGGAGTCGCAAGATCACTTGGGTTGCGCCCGTTCCAACTTTCACGTCACAAAGCGAAAAACTTCAAATACAGAGTCGACAGGCGTTATTACTCCTACACGGATACTCTTACCCCAAATCTGCGTTTAGCCTTCCTCTTGACTTTGATCAACTGCATCTTTTTATATCAAACCATCCCAAGCTGTCTGGATGAGTACTGGTGTTGGCTGACTCGATTGGTACCAGTAGGATGCCTTGAGGGCTCTTGCGGGCTGTTGCATATGCTAGCTGCCACTGTATACTGGGCATTTTCTATAAGGTACTTACCTAGGTCGTCTGACTAGTTTTCTGTTGAATAGCGTTGTTGCTGCTGACCCCGGGTCACTCCGGATAACTCCGTAAGCACAGATTCAATAGACGAGGAATGCATATCATTCGGGGTCATCTTCTAAACTCCGAAACCGTTCCAATTTTGATGTCGCTTTCGGTACTCATGAATCCAACCAATGTATCAGTCGTCATCTCAGCTACAGCCAGTCAGAGGACTGGCCGTATTGAAAGTGTTTACGGCAATCGTATGGAAAGCCAGGTTAGGTCGGCAAAAGCCACAAATCGAGAGTTTCGCCATCTTAGGCCCCTTTGGTTTCTTTCTTGCTTTTCGTCATCTTGCTAGGTGACAGCCGATCTCCCCTTTTACCGCGACGTCCGTCAGTAACTTCTACGCTGCAAAAGCTCGGATAGTAAAGGAAGCAAACATGGACCCATCTACCCACAACGCCCAGACCTTCTTGATGTTCGGTATGCTGTCCTGGGGTATCGACCCAGCGTAGACTGACGTGGCAACACAGGCAATGGTTGGATCGCCAACCAAATCAAGGATGTGCTTTTGGCACAGGGGCGTACTATTATCATGTCCAGGGCCAGGACGGAGAACCGCGAACAAGTGCTCAGGTACGTTGCATTGCTTTGGATCGTGTGAGGCTGGTATAGCGGAGGCCTGAAGGCCCCACAATCTCTTCCGGGTCGAGACTCGGGCGCACACCACACTTTTCCGTGGTACACGGTTAGCTACTGCCCCGTTAGCTAAGGCTCCCTCCCAAAACAGCGAGATCACGAAGCACAAGCCCAGCCGGGTCTTCAACTGCGCCGGCACCCGCGGCACGCCCAACGTAGACTGGTGCGAGGACCACAGGGTGGAGACAGTGCGGTCCAACATCCTGGGCGTGCTCAACGTGGTCGACACATGCTTCCAGCTGGGCGTCCATGTCACGCACATCGGCTCGGCCTGCATCTACACACTTTCCGAAGAGGAGATCTCGCAGCACCCGCCGTTCAGAGAGACCGATGAACCGTTCTTCCAGGGTTCCTGGTACGCCCGCAGCCGCCTGCTGAGCGAGCTATCCATTCGTCACTATCCCAACTTGTTGCTGCTGCGCATCCGACTTCCTATCGCGGCTGATCTGCACGCGAACAATCACATCGGAAGGTTGCTGAAATTTGAAAAGGTTGTGGATCTAACAGGGGTGAGAATACTTCTAGTTGTCCTCTCATTCTTTGCTAAATCTGAACGTATAGTCTGGTACGGTTTTACCTAACTTGCTCCCCGGAGCCGTCATCTTGTCAGAAAATGGGGTGACGGGAATTTATAACTTTGTAAGTCGACCGACATACCTGAGACCATTCAACCATCCCATCTGATTCAAGAGTCCCCCGTCATTCTTAGACTTCCCAAACTGATAACCACCAAAAGGTGACACCAGGTCAGATAAGCAATGTGGAGATTATGGAACTAGCCAAGAAATACATCCGGCCAGAGCTGGAATGGCAAACCTTTGCGCTCGACGACATGCTGAGGGTCTTGAAGGCACCGCGTGCCAACTGCGTCATGGACGCAACCAAGCTGCAGACGAAACTGCGCGAGTACGGGTACCAAGTCAAAGAGCGTCGGGAGGCTCTGGAGGATGTCTTCCGAACCATGGCAGAGAAGGGGTTATAGCTATGGTGCGTACCGGTATAGCGTTGTACCAATAGCTTGGTGCACTACCACCAGCCACGCTTAGTCCGTCATAGCCATACATCTGTTTTGGCTAGCATGGCTCAGGTACCGTCCCTTTCTATGTACTCCGAATACAGCAGATGCAAATGGTCCACTCTACTCTGATGATGGGGATACAGTAGATTATGACTCTTCATACTGTACAATGAAAACTATAACTGTCCCCTGTATGTAGGTAATATACGTCACCTAAATCACATTACCATGCCTCTGCTCTCTAGGTGTTTCGATCGGAACCCATCTGGCCGCTGGCTCCCTGGGTGTGATCTCGCTATCAATAGATGAACACACTAAATATGTATATCTTTGCTTTACACCCGTCATGTCATACCCAAATCAATGCAGATCTTTATCCTTCATCTTGACTAATTTACAACAAGACAGAAGTTTGCCGCCGAGCGTGCTGAGAGGCTGTCAAGGTACCGACTATGAAACCTCGAGTATGACGTTTCGGAGAAACAGAGTGAAGTAAGGTACCTGTACGGGATGGTGGTCCGGTGTGTGCCGCGAGTTGTCACCCAATCAGACATCACCACATCCTCGGTCACACCACATCAGTCGGGTTATCTGCATGCAAGGGGGGCTATGATCCCTGCCGCGTTGGCGCCTCGCTCAGTGCTTAGAAATCAAAGTGATTCTGACAAAAGCGCGCCAAGTACAAACAAAGGAGTGCGATATTCACCTAAAAGTATATGGTTGGTTCCTCACACATCCTCCACCATGCAGCGCTTTCCACGCCCTTTATCAGTTTTGACTACGCGACCATCCTACAGCTACTATTCCTCTTTGAACAAACGCTCCTTGTTATACTGTCGAGGACCCCACCAAGCACGAGAATACTCGACCAGACCAGCCACCATGACTTCCCTCTACAATCAATCGGTTCCCGTCTTTACCAAATATCTCCACAGGATGTCGGGCTTGGTAGAGAAAGCCAAGGCGCATGCAGACGAGAAGTCGATCGCGCACGATGACATCCTGAACTACCGAATGATGTCCGACATGAGGGGGTGAGTTTTGGCATCTCCATCCAATCATCACGGCCGTCCACGCCGTCTATCCGCACTGTGAAAGCCGTCATCAGGTCACTAATCAATCGCCCGTGCCGCAAATAGCCTCATCTGGCAAGTGCAGTCCTGCTGCAACACGGTCGTCTGGTACGTGGACCGCGTTGGTGGCCTGGAGCACGTCGCCGTCGAGGACAACGAGACGACATTCGACCAGCTGTTCCAGCGCATCGAGAGGACCGCGGCCCACCTCGGCAAGATCGACGCCAAGGCGCTGGACGACAAGGTGGCCACGCCCATAGAGATACACATCAGGGCCGGCGACTTTCGTTTCGACAACGCGCAGACTTACTTGACCGAGTACGCCATCCCGTACTTTCACTTCCATCTCACGAGCGCGTACTGTATCTTGAGATCCCAAGGCGTGCCGCTCGGGCCTCTGGACTACTTGACGATTGTCGATCACAAGATGTAAAATAAGTATCTATAGATTACCTTGTGGATGCGCACTCTCTGTGTGTCGGGTGAGAATCTTAGCAAAAAGAACAGTGTCCTCTAAAATCGTCATGCCAGCTCTTTAATGGTTGACAGGAGACGCGTAAGTCTTCCATATTGACTAGACAGTGTTGCCGCGACCACCTTGGTCTCACCGATCGCAACGGTAGGTCAAGTTCTCGGCTCATCGTCTACGCAAAACCCTTTTATATCCCGCCTTCATTCACACATATGAAGCAGCCGTGTTTGTCAACCATGGAACGAGTCAGTCGATATTTAGCTGCATGCTTGCACAAAGTCTCTACCAGTGGTGACTACCTAGCAGTCGGAGATCTTGAACCCACCAGGTGTCCTCTTCTGAAACACACCGTCAGGATCGTACTTGAGGGCGGTGCTCTTAATCCTGGAAGGCTCCAGCAGCGACCCCAGCAGCGACCCCAGAGGGTCCTGGGCCTTATCCGCGTAATTGACATAAGTCCAATCAATGTATCCCTCTACGGACTTTGCAAAATCGTCAACCTCCTTCAGATATTCCTGAGCCACCTGGAGTCCGTACTCGCGAATGTGTTCCTCACTAACGTTTATCGAAAGAAGCATGGAAATCGCGTTTCGGCCTTTCAGGTGCTGGTCCAGCCCCATGACGTTCCCGCCGCGCTCGTCGCCGAGCCTGCCATAGTAGCTTGGCAACGACTGGAACAGACACAAGGAGCTAAAGTGACCCGACTTACTGACCTTCTTGATCTTGTCGACTGCGGCTGCGTGCGCCTCGACGGCCTTGGCCATGATGCGTTCGTCGTTGATGAACGTGGTTGTATGCCAGTAGTTGCTAGTTTTCTAGTCAGTGGTCCGCTGAGACTCTGTGAAACAAGAGCTATCCTTACTAGTATCCGTAAGGCTGCTCCATGGTGCAGGCGAAATCGTAGAGGTTGGTGTGTTTCATATCCTTGAAGATAGTAGAGATGTCGCAGAACTGCTTCAGCTCGGGCGGGTCAGCGACACCGCGGGTGTTTCCTCCAAAGGCAGTAATGATGATGTCCTTGAAATTCGTCGGCTCGTAGTTCCAGAGCGCTATGTAGGAACTATCTGGGCATGTAGTTGTGCGGGACGAGTCGAAAGACTGTAAGTAACTCGTCTAGCGTTTATCTACTATCCGCTTTGTGTACAGATCTAGGTCAAGTGAAAACGAGACATGCCACTCGATGGAGACGTCCGGTACCCAGTTAGTTCTTGCTGTATGCGAGAAGAAGGGCAGCAAACCAGCTTCAGTCGGCCCTTTCGACTCGATGCGAGATATAAACCTTCCGCTTCAGCTCTATTCCGATTAAGCATCTCCATAATCGACAGCAACCGCAGCAAGGCCATCCTTTACTTGCGTACCCGACCGCATCTCATCTACTACTATTGATAAGATCGACGAAGGTCTATCGGAGTTTGATGGCGCTATCTCATCGTGCTACCCGAGTTCATACCCAGATTTTGTAACGCCGAGGCACAATACACTTTCATTAATTAGTGCTATTCGCGACGGCGGAATGATACTGCTTTCATCCCCTCAACCAAGATCTTACGGTCATAGATACTCCCTTGCGCTAGCGAAACGCTACTCCGAATGACTTCTAGAATATAAGATGCGGCTGTTACAGCGCGACGACACAGGCAAATATAACCTCAACCCAGACCTCCCTGCCGGCGATGTACCACGACGGAGCAAGATGGCCAAATTGTTAGTGACGTTTTGATCCTTTGGTCGGCCGAGCAAGTAGGCACCACCGGGCTGATTTATAAAGTAATGGACGCTTATATAAATGCTGCTATGATCGTATGCTAAGTAAGTACATGTCAGATCGGGGTTGGCAGCAGAGTGAAGGGTTACAAGAAAGGCAATAGGTAGGGTATAGAGTGAATACAGACTGAACTCTGCCCGCTAACTAACAGCTAGCACGTCCTCATTTATCTAGCGCTCTCCTAGCGCAACGCCTGCGTTGCGCTTAATAGGCGCTATTGTAGATCTGTCGGCCCGGTTTTAGCGTGCGTCTTAGGGCGGGGCCCCTGAGACGCAGCTCGCACGCTGCTATTATAGTTCTAGGTCAAGGGGTCAAGGCGTGCGCCTTGGCATAATTCCCGTTTGATATAATCCTCCCCCTTTAGAGCTCTTGTCCTAGGAGCTTTTCCTCGCTACTAGGTCTAGACTTCCTTTATCGTAATAGTGATTATTATGGTAGCGGAGAGTCGCGGCGTAAAAGGTGCGCTACCGTAACGAACAATAGGGCAATCGGGACGATTATAAGTTGTAAATCGTGTTATTAATAATTAAAAACTCGGATAATTAGCCTATTCCTTATATAGGCCTTTCCTACGGCGCCCTTAGGGCTACTTCTCTTTAGGCTTACCGTAACTTTATAAGATACCCTTGCCCTTAGGTGCTTAGGCGTAGCGTAATAGTAACGCTAATTAATAATAGTTCCCGCTATTTTTCCTATTAATTCGAATTATAAGTAGCTACTTACCCAGAGCGCTCTTAGAATGCTAAGTGTTTTATAATGTTAATTTTAGTAATAGTCATCCTTTTTCTACCGTTTTCCTTAATAAGTCGCCGCTCTTATAGCGCGTTATATCGTTGCTAACGCTCTAAGCTAGCACCACTTACTAACTACCTTTTTTCCGCGGTACGTACCCTCGTTTTGTTGTCGTTACGTATTAGCTAATCTTATATAGATGTCTTCTCTTGCCGTCGCCGTTAACGCTCCGCCCCCGCCCCCCCTTAGTAGCGGTGGTCGTAAACGCCCCGTCCCTGCCTCGCGTGCCGGCCATATTCGCGGTGCCAAGAAGATTAAGAAGGCCAAGCTCCCGCGCGGCGCCATTCGCGTGCCTTAGCAGTGGTGTCGTGCCTATATCCCTTGTTTGGCCCGCGACTAGTAGTATCGTTATTATAACCAGCTCGGTACGCCGCGTCCCTATCATTAAATGTTCAATGAACTTTACTAAAGTTCATTGTTTCGTACACTAGTCGTTAAGAAGACAAGGGGTATAGTTCATTGAAAATCCGTAAGCAAAGTTCATTGACCTTTTTAAGTCTAATTTATAAAATACATATATTAAATGGAAGCGCTCGGGCTTAACATTTTAAATATATCTTTAGAATCGTCGTACGACATATATAGCAATAGTGTTGGAATATGGTTATCCGCGGTCTCGCACGACCATATAGTCTAGCTAGTTACCGGCGTACTGACGGCAAGCCACTACAGCCACACCGTGGCTGTCGGCAGCTTGCAGCCGTATAGGCCAAACCCCTATCTGTAGATCGCGTACGATGGGAAGAATCCCTTCTTCCTTTCGTACGATAGCGCTGAATAGATCTATTTGTCGCCCAAACTGTACGGAAAGAAATGAATGGAGAAGCCATTCCACACTGATCAGTGTTCACTTGGCTGTGAACGCAGATTGGCAAGAGTGAAGAGACGGCGTTATCTGAGTACGTACGGTAGTACGTAGCGAGACGTCGTGCTAGATCCTATTCGTGTGAAAAGAGTAAAAAGACAACGTTATCTGAGTTCGTACAATAGTACGTAGCGAGACGTTGTATTGGATCCTATTCCCGAATAGAAGACGTGTACCGTTTTTCTTCTTCGTACGAAGGTGCTCAAGTCTGAAAGAGTCCTATCCCTTCCGTACGAACATAGAATTACACGTGTGTGCCATTACACATCGATAATGAGTTTATCACCTCCCGCAGAAAGCGCAGCTACCGGTGCGCACGAACCGGGCGACGAACAACAACTCCGACAAGATGGCCTATCGCACGAACAAATGGCAGAGGGGAGCGATATTACCCTTAATGCTTGGCGAGCCGGGACAGCATTCGAGTTTTGGGACCGTACGATCGATCTCGAACAACCGATTAACGAAAAACACATTAATACGTACATTGGTCAGCTCGTAGCCGAGTATCAGGGCATCTCAACGCTCCGATCACTCATACGAGCATACCAGGAAGATTTTGAAGGATGGACCACGTTCCAGTTCGGGCACGCCGCACGACCTTTCAAGCGTGCCATGATCGAGAGACTTGAAAAAGGAGGATACCATTTCCCAAGCGGCCTTACGCAAGACAAACAGCTCGTACACCCGCTTGGAAACTCCGAGGCTGTCAGAACACCTCGTGTATCACCCCGTACGAGCACCCTTACACCCGGACCAAGTCGTACGAACGAATTGCCTCTAGAACGGATCGAGGATAACCCCGATCAACACCAAAGGACCGAACAGCAGTCGTACGCACCGGATGGCGTACGACAAACAGTCGAGGCCCCCATAGCAGGCAACCGACCGCAAAGAGACAGTAGGGAACGGTCGAACGACACCCAGGAAGTACCCGATCGTACGACTCGCTTCCCATCACGCCCTGCTCATATATATCAAGAAGAACAACCAAGGGCGTATGACCAGGACTACGGCTACGGCAATGTCCCACCGGGAGTACCATTCACGATGGAAAGTCAGGGATTTCCATTCGCACGAATAGCAACAGTTGGTCCAGAAAATCCGAACGACCCGTACGCGCTTCCACCACCCAAAAGAATATATAACAGCACGTGTAGCCCATCCCAGATCCAGGCCTTCGCCAAGGTTTGGAGAAAAGAGTTGAACTATACAGGAAAGCCGTACGATATCCTATACGACAAAGCCCGGATGTTTATAGCTGCGTGTAGGAAGATTGGAATCACCGAGGACCAATTCCACGCAGTATGGTCGTACATCTTGTCAGATCGTGCGTTAGACTTCTATGTTAACTATATCGGCCCCGACAAGATCTGGTATGATATCTATCGTGCGATGGATTTGCATTTCAACCACAGGGTGAACCACAACCAGTACTGGGCAGACTGGAGCTCGTTAACGTTCGTACGAATGCGAAAAGAACACGCCGACAAGACCAATTCAGAGGTCCTAGAGATGCTACTAGACAAGATGCAGTTGACCCAGCGTGCGTTAGGAGCTGGATATCAAGGAGAGATCCAACTTCGTACGGCCGTTGAAAGAGCATGTCGAGGTGTCCCAGAGTTGGAACCCGCTCTAATTCAACAAAGACAGTCGTGCGAAGAGCTATTCTCAGATATGAGAGCAGCCATCACTGTGGCGTCAGACCGTGAGCCGACTATATACCTGTCACAACTAGACTCGTATATAACCAGGTATCTTACCGACCGTACGTATACCCGTAACCCGACACAACCGTACGAGCAGAAAAGATCAGATGCTATCGTACGAAGACCATTCCGGGACAGAAAGTTTGGATCACGACCTCAGGGTCGTACGGACAAGAAATGCTTCGTATGTAAGAAGGAAGGATGTTGGTCTACAAACCACACTCCGGAAGAGAGAGCAAGATCTCGTACGAGATACTTGACAACATGCGATGACCAAGACATCGAACCTCTATCTCGGGACGATTTTGCATCGTACGTACAGGACTACGAGGGACAGGACCCTGACCTAGAGGATACGTACGACTCCGAAGAGGAACAGGGACAAAAGGTTGTCCAATACCTCCTATCTGCGTCGTATATCCATCGTGCGACAGGCACAAGTGTATACGACATGCCGTACGATCAACCATCCTCAGAAGCATTTGTCCTAGAGAACCAGTATTCGCACGAGTACCAAGGTGAGCTCTGGGATACTGGAGCATCACAACTTTCTACAGTCGGCAAATCACAAGCCCTCGCGTGGCTACGTGATAACCCTCGTACGAAGGTCAAATGGGGTCCTTCGTCTAACACATTCAACTTTGGAGGAGGAGAACCCTTACACGCAATTGGTACAATAACCAAAACCAATCCCCTTGGTGAGGTTACGTACTATATCCTAGAGGTAGACACCCCATTCCTGTTATCATTAAACGATGCAGACCGCCTTGGAGCATATTTTGATAACACTACAAACCGCATCGTACGGAAGAACGATGGTATCTCACTTCCGGTCGTACGAAAATGGGGACACCCGTTCTTTAACCTGTCTCGTACGGAGGCATCCATGTTCTTAACAGAACAAGAGCTAAGGCGCCTACACCGTCGATTCGGACACGCGCACGCAGACCGACTCTACCGGTTACTTCGGAAAGCCGGTATCGAGGATGTTAATCACTCCGTACTAGAGGGAATACAAAAGGTGTGCCACCATTGCCAATCGTACGACCAAGCACCCAAAAGATTCAAGTTTACGTTAAAGGACGACCATAACTTTAACTACGAGATCTTTGTAGATATCGTACACTTATCCGACGGGAAGGCCCTCCACGTAATCGACGCTTCGACGTCGTACCAAGCCGCTGAGTTCTTAGAAAAGGAAGACGCACGAAGCGTGTGGGATGCGTTATGCCGATGCTGGATCTTCGTATACCTCGGGCCGCCAGATATTATCTCGCACGACCCGGGTACCAACTTCGCATCCAAGGAGTTTAGGAGCAGCGCACGTATAATGGGCTGTACGTGTAAGGAGGCACCCATCGAGGCTCACTGGGCAATCGGAAAGATTGAACGCGCCCATCCACCCTTACGGAGGTCGTACGACATCCTGAAGAAAGAGCTCGGCCATAGTACCGACAACCGTACGATCCTCCAGATGGCAGTTAAGGCCCTGAACGATACCGCCGGACCAGACGGCATCGTACCAACGCTCTTAGTGTTTGGAGCGTACCCACGGATCAACTATGACTCTCCACCATCAACAGACAACATCGCCCGTGCGAAGGCTATTTCCAAAGCTATGACTGAACTCCGGAAGATTAACGCTCAAGTTGATATTAGTCGTGCGATCAATACTAGGAATGGTCCTAATCCGTACGCCGTAAAAGCACTCCCTCTCCGTAGTAAGGTCCTCGTATGGAGAGAAAAAGAGGGATGGCAAGGCCCGTACGAGATCGAATCGCACGACGGGGAGGATGTAATCCTTGATATGGTGAATGGACCGACCAGGTTCCGGTGTACGCACGTCAAGCCGTACTATGAACCGGAGGTCGAGGAGGAGGAGGATACGGAGGTTGCTCCCATCGTACGAGAACCACCACCTGTACGAAGGAGAGGACGACCACGTAAGAGTGTCGTGACAGATCCGGAGATTGCTCCTATCGTACGAGAATCACCACCCGTACGAAAGAGAGGGCGACCACGTAAGAATGCCGTGGCAGATCTGGAGATTGCTCCTATCGTACAAGGACCGTTCCCCGTACGACGGACAGGTCGACCACAAAGGCATGCAGTTATCCATCTAACTCAAAAGGAGAAGGATAATCGTACACTAGCAATCAAGCTAAGAGAAGATGGTGTTATTACCACTCCTGGAGCACCGTTCGAGGAGTCAGATGCTGTGGAAGTAAATGATCTTACCGTACGAGGTGTATTTGAAATTATCAAATACGACCCGTATCTCCACAAAGGAATACGGATCTTTAAGACTCGCCTCGTACGAGAAATCAAGGGCAAGACAACACGACCGTACGAAAAGAGCAGACTCGTCGTACAAGGGTACGGTGACGATTCTAAGGATCAGATTCTAACCCAGGCACCAACTATCCAACGGGTAAGCCAACGGCTTATCCTTGTACTTGGTCCAACTTTGATCAAGTCGTACGGAATGGTTGGAGAACTACGAGATATCACACAGGCTTATCCACAAGCCCACGACCAGCTCGCACGACACATTCTAGCAGTATTGCCACCAGAGCTACAAGCCAAATACCCGGAGGGTACCGTCTTGTGGATCAAGAAGCCTTTATACGGCCTGGCAGAATCAGGACTATATTGGTTCAAGACGTACCATAGTCACCATACGGAGAATTTGAATATGGACACATCAACGTACGACTCATGTCTATTACTCTCTAAGGACAGCTCGTACGAGTTTGGAATCACAGCCCTTCAAACAGACGACACCCTAAGCTTCGGTACGGAAAGTTTCTCTCGTCGAGAGGAGGAAGAGATGCAAAAGGCAGGTTTCCGTACGAAGCCCAAAACTGCTCTATCGCACGACAACCCTTTAGAGTTTAATGGTAGCCGTATCGAGATGGATGGGGAGGATATTCTATTCCTCCAGAAAGGGCAGACCGAGAACCTACAGATTGTTGACCATCGTGCGGAGGATGCACCCCAGCAATATGTCTCTCAACGCGCACGAGGAGCATATATCTCGTCTGTCTGTCAACCAGAGGCAGCGTACGACCTATCGACTGCTGCCCAAGTAACGGAACCGGAGGATACCGATATCGATTTCCTAAACCAGCGAATCCAATGGCAGATCGACAACCCTCGTAGAGGCCTAAGGTTTATTCCTTTGGATCTAGCTCGTACGAAGTTATATGTGTTTACGGATGGTTCCTTCGCGAACAACCGTGACCTCTCATCCCAGCTTGGGTTCATTGTAGTACTCGCGCAAGAGATACATCGTACGAAACAAGAAATGACCTTAAGAGGGAACATCGTACACTGGACATCGTCCAAATGTAAAAGAGTTACGAGGAGTGTTCTTACGAGTGAGTTGTACGGCATAGTAAACGGTTTTGATATTGGAATAGCCATTTGTACGACACTTAGAAAGATTACCGACCGCCTAGAACTACCACGGATCCCTATGGTCGTCTGTACAGACTCATTTTCCGTGTACGACTGTCTTGTCAAACTCGGCACGACACAAGAGAAACGGCTTATGATCGACATCATGGCCTTACGGGAGTCGTACGAGATGAGAGAGATTTCGGAGATCCAATGGATTAATGGGAACGATAACCCGGCAGACGCTTGTACGAAAGCAAAGCCTAACGCAGCATTAGAAAAGCTGGTATCGACAAACCAGCTTACCGTACGGATTGGAGGATATGTTAACCGTCATGTACGAGAAGAATGACAATCATAGACACAAGGAGGCACCGTACGGAAGTATGGTCAGAACGCAATCAATTATATCTCGTACGAACTACGAGAACTACCCAGTTCCACCCCGGGTTCCTTCCTTCTAATCGATCAAATGCAACGCTGTGCGTGCGACTTCCAGATGCAGTTGGAACAGGAGCTATGCTAGTATCCTTGGACAAGGATACAACGGTCGAAGACCGGAAAAGAAGCATGGCATGAGTGTGCACACGGCCGATCGGAAGCTGTACCAACGGCAGAGACAAGACTATACATGGTTAGCCAGCCGTACGAGGACAAGAGAAAAGCAGAACGTACAGTGCAGTAAAGTACGAATCGCGTCGTACGATCTTGGCAATCGCAAGGGGGATATGGCCCCAGTCGTTGTTCACCGTAATGCGCACATCTGTCATAGGCATCTGGGCGAGGGCGAGCTCCTCATTCTAGAAAAGAGCGTTAGTATACGATCGTGCGATTATAAAAGCAACGTACGTACGTTCTTGCAAAGGGCGAGAATATTCGCACGAGTCTGAGCATCGCTACCACAGTGCACGATAAACGTCTGCTTGCCACCTACGGACCCGATGAACGAGGTACGTAGCAGCGGGTTGGTGTTTAGGGCAACAGGAAGAGTGGCCATAGTGATAGAGTTGAAGAGCATGGAGGGAGAAGAGAGAGACCTAAGGAAGGGCGTACGAAAGGATCCTTTTATATCTTTTTGGGCGTACGTTCTCGACAGCAAAAGATGTGATTCACTCACTCGACGTGATTCACTCACTCGATGTGATTCACTCACTCGAGGTGATTCAGCCACGAGCAAGGAAGGCATGCAAAACAAGCTGTTCATCACAGCAGAAGCGTACGAAAGATCAGACGGCCCGTACGAGCTAATCGTGCGGAAAGACCTGATAGCAGGTACACAGGGGGATATCTGGATTCAACTCCAGGTACATTCCAGGACGACCCGGAGCCATCCTTTAGTCGTTTGTGACTGTACGGAGATAGCTGGACTTAACCAAGGCCAGTTGCCCCTATTCCTAGGGAAGAACGTTTTTCATTTGTTTTACTATCGCACGAACCGCGAAAGAAAAGATAGCTAGTGTTGGAATATGGTTATCCGCGGTCTCGCACGACCATATAGTCTAGCTAGTTACCGGCGTACTGACGGCAAGCCACTACAGCCACACCGTGGCTGTCGGCAGCTTGCAGCCGTATAGGCCAAACCCCTATCTATAAATCGCGTACGATGGGAAGAATCCCTTCTTCCTTTCGTACGATAGCGCTGAATAGATCTATTTGTCGCCCAAACTGTACGGAAAGAAATGAATGGAGAAGCCATTCCACAAATAGGCATTCCGAGTTGAAATACTTGCGAAAAGTCTCAATGGGGGAACTAGTCAATCAAAACGCGGGGTATAAGCCTTTTTAAAAAGTGGGGTCTATATCCGTCGTACGCAACTCAAGCAGTTTCGACCAGGCTAAAGAACTAAAGAGTAAGGTCTACTAGCCGTCGTACGCAACTCAAGCAGTTTCGACTAGCCTAAAGAACTAAAGAGTAAAGTCTATAGCCGTCGTACGTAACTCAAGCAGTTTCGACTAGCCTGAAGAACTAGAGAGTAAGGTCTATAGCCGTCGTACGCAACTCAAGCAGTTTCGACCAGCCTGAAGAACTAGAGAATAAGGTTTATAGCCGTCGTACGTAACTCAAGTAGTTTCGACCAGCCTGAAGAACTAAAGAGTAAGGTCTATAGCCGTCGTACGCAACTCAAGCAGTTTCGACCAGCCTGAAGAACTAGAGAGTAAGGTCTATAGCCGTCGTACGCAACTCAAGCAGTTTCGACCAGCCTGAAGAACTAGAGAGTAAGGTCTATAACCGTCGTACGCAACTCAAGCAGTTTCGACTAGCCTGAAGAACTAGAGAGTAAAGTCTATAGCCGTCGTACGCAACTTAAGTAGTTTCGACCAGCCTGAAGAACTAGAGAGTAAGGTTTATAACCGTCGTACGCAACTCAAGCAGTTTCGACTAGCCTGAAGAACTAAAGAGTAAGGTCTATAGCCGTCGTACGCAACGTAAGTAGTTATTACTAATACTTAAAGCTAGAATAAAACATTTTATTCTTTATATTTATCTAGTTATTCTTATAAAACATCGTCGTACGACGCATTTTAATACTATTTAATATCTTAATATAATTGTACAATTATTCCGAGGTAGCCTTATAATGTTAAAAAAAGTATAGCTTATCACTCAAAGGCGTTATGGTATAACAGTTAAGCGGTAAACTCGATATCTAAAGGTTTAGGGTTCAATTCAGCTAACAAAATCTAGAAAATGGATCTTATTATTAGCACCGAAAAGTCCACCCATAACAGTCGTACGACGGTTACCATCCTCACCGGTAACAAAGATGTGAATAATATCATTAAGGGTCTATATACCAATGTAAGTAATATTACGAATATATGTTATACGACGCCTAAGTATAGTAGGACTTATAAAAGGCCCTTTAGGAAAAGCCTGCTCGCAACATCGAGGCGTATGACAACAAAATCGACCCGGACAAGGTCCGTACCCGCCCGTCCTATGTAAATGCCATCATGATCCAGAGTCGTGGTAAGTAATAATTGAAATATACGTTGTACGACGACTAATAATAGTAGGGTTGGAGGGGGAGACTTGTGCGCAGTATGCTAGGAATAGTGGAAGGGGACCATTCGTACAGTGCATTCGGGTAAAGGGACATTTCGGAGGATGTTGTGGCAATTACAAGTGGCGCGACCATGTAGCTAAATGTAGCATGCATACTCTAAATGAGTTGGACGACGATGTAATCATGGTCGAGGGCAAGAGAGTTATAGAGGTCGAGTAAGCAGAGGACAAGTTTACAATGAGCATTGCAAATTCATGACTTTCTTTTTTTTAATTGAATTAATTTGAATTATATACGTCGTACGACGTATATAGGGAAACATTTCACCATTTATTTTATAGAGAATCTTAAATGGCGGTGAACATTGAATATTTTACATTTGTCGTACGGTACTCCTTGCTCTTTTTACCTTTCTCTTTTTTACATTTTCTTCTAATAATTTAGGAATGGATCCTTTTATTTATTTACAAGAATTCAAACTTATGGTTTGCAAAGATTATAAATATGCATGCCTTAGTAACGAAACTTTTACACATCTTCGTACGAAGCATTACGAGATTCCTAAAGCCAGGAGGAGCCATATTTGTAATGCCGTACAACAGCTCCCTGGCATTCTTCAAACCCTAAAAGACCTAAATCAATTACAATATCCCAACCCAACACATGCGCCAATTCCAATGCTCTAAAAGCCAAGAACAAATGGATTCAAATGTAAAAGCTGTTAATACATTGCTTACTAACCACAAAAGATTCAAGATCATTGTCGTACGAAGCACAATTAGAAGAATACATGGGTAAAAGGTGGGGATATACGGCGGAAAGCGACGATACCCCGTAACAATCTACCATGGGAAACCAACGTCCATTGCTAATACTTCTTTGTTAGCCGTAATAAAAAACGGTGGTTCGAAGTGTCTAGCACGTCGTACGACAACCAAGTTTCTCTAATTCAACATAATATAAAAGAGGAAGCTTCGAAACACATCTTGGATTTATTTGTTACTAGATCTATTACATTTAACCATCGTACGAAGATTATTCAAGATAATCACCATAAAATAGAGCCGAACCCATGGTTATAACGTGTTGGGTGGGTCTAACACTTATAAGGCTTAGATTTCGATAAGTTACAAACATCGATCAGTCTAAATACGAGTCAAGGTTAGACAGACGAAACAAATAAGGCCTACGTACTAGAAGAACTTTGGGCCAGTTTGGATAGAGTCGTACAAAGCGCGCAAGAGATAGTAACCCTAGAAGTTGTAAGGACTACTGTATTATTTGAAATCAACCGTAAGGCTATTAATCAAAAGCCTAGAACGCCATTCCATAGTCGAATGGAACCATCAACCGTCGTACGATATACGAGCGTATGGAGACACATTCTTGGTTACCTCCACCGGACACAAAATTGGGCAGATACAGACCGACCATCGTACGAACTTACTGAACAACAAGGCGATACATTTGACGACTTAGTTGAATTTATCCAAATTCAACCAAAGCCAATATTAGAAACTACAATTTCTATACTAGATCGCAAGTTATTAAACTTGTTGGTTTTTCTCTTGGACCACGTTATTCCCGATACACCGTACGAAAGTGTTCTTTTAAGCGCATTAAGCGTTTATAGCTTAAAAGGTGATATAGAGATAATAGCTTGGAATAAGGCTAAGAATTATACTTAGATCTACTTAGTTGTTATTAAGTTTACCCGGTTATTCGTCGTATAACAGTCATATCTTAATTGTATACGGATTAATCCAATCTCGGAACGGGTATTTGCTCTAGGCTTGTTTGAAGTCGTACGACGGAAGGCTTAACGTTTTATGACGATCGTGTTTAACAAGTTTATACTATTACCCATCGATTAGATATTCGAGTCAAGGTCGTACGGCTTGAAAATCCGCTTTACTATAGTTATAATAGGTTCTATTTTTTGGGAAGGTTCGTGTATTACGTATTAAAAGATTACAGTCTTTATGAACGAGCTTTCCGAAATGATTTAGAATATCATAACTGAATTACGTCGTACAATACAAGAGTTATTATTCATTAAGGATGAATCTAACCTTTTAAGTGTTAATTTGTTAGAATTGAAAGACGATGCTAGCTAAAAGCGATCTAGGTATTCATTTATTCAAGACGATCGAAACTAATGGTCTGTTAATGGCTAAGACTGGGTCGTACGACGTATACTTGTAAATTAACGACTTAAATTTAATTGGTTTATGCCCGATTCTTTATCTTAAATGCCATTTTAGCTAAATGCTGTTAAAGATTATACTAAGTTAATTAAGAGCTTTTTTAGAAAGCTCTTAATCTTAATGCATTTACTAGGTGGTTAACCAGGTCGTACGACAGAGATTCTAAGTCTTAGATACTAAAATACATCGTACGGAGGTATTCGGAACATCTTCTTATATAAAGGCTTGGTTTGCTTCGTAACTTCTTATTATAAGAATTACGTAATAACGGAACAACTAAAAGTTATCTACCGATATTTACCCTAAAATATTAACATTGATTTCGTACGATATCTTTGGCTAGTATTACTATTTTGGCAAAAAGTTCAAGGGATTATTCAAGATTTAGCCGAAGTTAGCCCATTTCTATAGACGTATAATATCGTACGAAGGAAAGACGATAATAATATTATATTCTAAGGCTATTTATTAGACGAACTCTAGTTTAGTAATAAGATGCGTAATATCTTATAATTACATAACGTACGACTAATTGGGGTCAAGTTAAACATTAGTGCTTGGTAACATATTATAATTGCCATTTCTCGACGATTTTTAAATGGCGATTTCGGTGATTCTAATCACGAAGGCGATTATGAATCGTACGACGATATAGGCGACGAATTGGATAGCATTTAGGACTTACAAAGCGGCCATAGTACATTAGTAGCGGGCATGATATATGCCCGTGAATTATAACAAGGCAGCTTTGGTATTACCGTACGACAAGAGCAATTTCGGAAGATTAGCATATTATAGCATCGATTCTTTACAATTAGTATGTCGAACTAGCTATATAATACTGCTATTCAGTCGTACGACAAAGAACGGGAAGTATTAAAAGTCCAAAGGTTACATCGTCTAGGACAAGTTAATCTCCGGGGACTATTACGCCAAATGCTTGAAAAGGAGGATATATTATTTCGGGGAAACTAAGAAGGGGTTCTTCGAGCCGTCGTACGAGGGTTAACACTAATTTTGCAGGTTATAAGTACTAGTGGTGGAAAGAGTTTATCATTTATATTACCCGCATATGCTTCGTACGACGGTATTACCATTGTTATTGTTCCAATGGTTGCTTTACAAGAGGATTTACACCGTCGGTGTTAAGAATGCCGTATCGAATCAAGTATTTGGTCTTCATCAAAACCAAAATTAACCCGTGTTATTTTAATAACACCCGAATCTATTATTACAAAAGCTTTTCGGATATTTGTTAACACGTTACGCGTACGACAACAATTAAATCGCGTCGTTTTCGATAAATGTCATATGGTATTAGATAGTACACCAGAATTTCGCCCATTACTAGCTGAGGTTAGTCGTACGATTATCGACTTTAGTGTTCAACTAGTATTCTTAACGGCGACACTACCTGTTCGTGACCAGGCGCATTTCTTTTCAATCATTAGGACAGACTAAAAGCAGGTTCAGATCTATCGTAATCGTACGACGAGGAAGAATATTACATATAAGATTATATACGTCTCTAGTATCGAAGATGAGGAACTAGAAGTCATACGACAAGTCCAACGCATTCTCTAAGAACATATATCCACAAAGATTATTATATATTGTGGACGTATCGATTAAGCCGAACAACTAGCAGATAAGCTTAGTTATACGATGTACTATGCGAAAGTAGACAATCTTGAAGGAAAACGGAGACGGATTTAAGAATGGATTTCGAACGGCGGTGTACTTATAACAACTAATGCTATTAGAGTAGGGTTAGATATACCCGACGTACGATACGTATTTCATATTGGATTACCACGACGAATACGCGATTATATCCAAGAAAGTGGACGAGCAGGACGTAATAATCTTCGAAGCGAAGTTATTATTATTTTAAGTTCACAACGTATGGTAAAGTTTGAAAAGGAGCCAGTATAGGTAAACCCAGAGTTACAAGATATACCAGACTTCGTACGAGGTATAAATGGTTGTAAGAGGGTAGTGTTAGATTCGGTTATAGATGGTATTTCTAACCGATTAGGATGTTAAATTGACGAAAAGCCGTGTGATTTATGCGAAAGAAATCAAGGGATACAAAAGGAGAGGGACATAGTTAAAAATACGGACAGAACAGAATCGTACGAAGTTATAACACAAATAGCTAGTATATAACAAAACCAAAGTACATGGCAATAAAGGGTCGTACGGCAAGATATACAAAGAGAAGTAGAAGAGGTAAAATAACTTAAGCAATGGTTAAGGGATTGGGATAGTATATGTATGATATATTAGTAAGAGGATGGATTTACAAGTATTGTACGACATCCAAAGGATATTTGCCCGAGGGAAGAGAATGTGTCATGGTAACGGTTAAAAGAGATCGAAAAGACTATCTATACCAAAGTATGGGAAAAGAAAGAGATGGCGTCGTACGGCGGTTGTTTCATATGTGGAGTTCCATAAGTATGGTACGAGAAATGGGTAAGAGTAAGAGGAGAAGAAGGAAAGTTTTACATGGACAGAAAAGGGAAGTGCTAATGGAATGGACTTGTCGTACGACTATTAGCAAGTTCAGTTATGTGGTATAACGAAGAGGTTAACAAATGTGTATGGGAGGAAATGGAGAAAAAAGGGCTTTACTAAGGAGAGGATATTTGGAAATGGTTACGAAGCCGGGTAGAATGGGGTGGGATAATAACAAATGGGTTATGTCGTACGACGTATTTTGGTCTTAGAATAATTATTTCAAAGAATATATAAAAAGTATATAGATTTTTATATAAAAAGAAAAAAGGAAATCAAAAATGAAAAGAAAAAAGGAAATTAAAAATAAAAATTAAAAATGAAAATCAAAAATGAAAATTAAAAATATAAATATTATAAATATTATAAATATTATAAATATTATAAATATTATAAATATTATAAATATTATAACTTAAATAAATTAATTATATAAAAAAAAAGAAAAACTTATAATATATTAAAAAAAGAGAAACCCGTTATATATTAAGA